GCAAAGGCATAAAGTGATCTACTCCAACTTAACTATAATTTAAAGGCTAAATGTCTATTTAAATATGTACATTTAATAATATTAATAATGAATAATTCAAATACTTACAACAAGCAAGTACCATTTAGTTACTTAGAAATATTACCGCAAATTTTCTAGTCATATTCATAATTAACCTGAGAATATCACAAAATTCTATAGGTAGGGAGACTGTTGAAACCACGTTGAAACAGTAATATTATATTTTAAAACGCGGTACAGGCTTTAATGTCTTGAATTTAATAGCGTACCTACTTTGCAATATCTCTACAAAATTGTCAATTTTCATTTTCAATTGTCTAGCAGAAAACTATTCCGTTAATAGCTTAATCTATATGTTTAACGCGATGTTTATAGTTGCAATATGTTACCTGAATACAAATAACTACATATGTAGTGGTACTGTCTCAGTTCGCACTAATGACGCGAATAAATTCACCGTAACACAATATTAGGGGCACAGAGTTAAACCAATTTAATTAGAGTGTAAACTCACTTTGAATTTCTTTTTTCTTTTTTGTATACAGATGTTTCATGTCCCGTACATATTTAAAAGAAAAAAGAAAACAAAAACTTTTTTCGCTAAAATTCGATTTTGATACAAACACAACGATTCCTTCCAAGCGTGAACTGTTATAATTCAATGCAAACAAACTAACAAACAAACAGTCAAATCTCTCCTCTTCATAGGTAATATTAAAAAAAGAATTGCTCACTTCGCGAGACCATTTCCAGTTTAATCAGTGAAAATAAGAATCCGTTAAATTATAAATCAATTCAACCGATAAACTGTAATTGCATTAACAGAATAAGATTCTACAGCCGTGGTATTACTTAATTGGGATAAATAGACGTCTACTACTTATCAGTGGCAGACAGCAATCTGCAACGGTCTCTGTTGCGTATATGTTCGTGCTAAACACTCGTTTGTCAGATGGTGGAGACCACTCGTTAATCCATCTAACTGTTCAATCGTATGTGACCATGTACCTTTGCCGTTGCCTTCTCAGTTTCTAAATAGGGTTCGCTCACCGCCGTATTCGCGGTCAATTGATTCATAATATATTGCATTCCAAACTGTTTTTTTTTTTATAACGTGTAATATTATTATATGCCAGGACTTCGTGCGATGGATTAGTTATGTATACTGGAACAACCTTTATAATGGCCGCAACGCTGAATTCACAAAAAAATAATCAGCTGTTTCATACGGAATTGTAATATCTACAATCTTTGACAGTATGAAACAGCTGAATACTTTTCCGATTATTAAATATATTGAGAACATAACCTCTGATTTTGTTTTGCTTTTCGCGGGAACTGTTGATTAAAATATTATCTAAGATAATAACTGCTCTGTAATAAATTATATAACATTCTAAACGTCAAAGATTTTCTTAGTAAATCAAATAGTTTTTCAGATTACATAAAAAATATAAAGATTACTCTTATTGTTTGTGACTAACACTAATATTAAAAAAATTGTACTACTTACGTGTTAATAATACCCATTCTTAACTGAACTAACGGCTCCTATTTTGCCGGACCAAATGGATCACGCACAAAAATCAGGAGCTAACCTTATTAAGAAGAATATTCCGCGTAAATTATCCTATTAATTATTAATTAATATTATAAATGTGAAAGTTTGTTTAGATGTTTGGATATTTGTCGATCAATCACGCCGAAACTACTGAACGGATTTTAATGAAATTTGGTATACAGATAGGGTATTAGCTGACTTAGACTTTTTATCCCACTTAACATTTCCCTAGGGTCCACGCGGGCGAATCCGCTGGCGAAAGCTAGTATTTAATAAGTATACAAAAGGAAAAGTGATAATAATTCAGATGGCAGATCTGACAAATGACAACCCTGGCTCGGCGTACGAGTCGATTAGGGGTGCGTGCTCTGCATCGCCACGCGCTCATTACACCTCTCCTCCCTATTCATTACCCGCTGGCTAAATAACTAATGGACGCGCCGCCTTAACACGCCTCACGAACATCTAAGCCTAGTTCAGACAAGATCGACGTATACACCGGATAATCTAATCATCACCAAACAAACTTCGCCATTGTCAAAGAAAGCCCTTCGAATAATACGAAGAGTTGCTATTTGCCGCGCTGTTAAACTTATTCACTTAATTCAAGTGATATTGAAATTGTTCAGTAACAATTTTTTTTAATATTCTTTAGAAACTGGTTTTAACTTTGAAATATTAATCACATATTGTGTATGAAATGTTGGTACCTAAATGAAGAAATAATTGATACGGGATGACTAAAAAGTTTTGTTTGTATAGATTAAAGAAGAATATTAAATGCGTATTTTTTTTAATTCTTGCGTTTTTTTTTTTGTTTGTCCGTGAGAATAATTAAATAATATTAAATGAGTATTTTTTTATGTTTGCGTAATCTATAAATTACGGCGATACAAGTTGAAATGTCGCATGACGTCACACTTTTGTACATGATCTAAAGAACTGTGACGTAGAAAACCCCCACTCCTCAACTTTAATGCATATTATCTAAGTAATTTCTTGTTTAAATTGAAGAAAAAAAAATACGTATCTAATATTTTTCTATTATCTAACTAACGGACATCCCTATTAAATGTGTACTTGAGGATTTTAAGGTACGTATCCCCTGCATTATCAAAAAAAGGATTCGTAGTGTTTTCTTTCTTTCGCCTATCCAACGAACAGATTAGTGTATACTATACTTTAGCATCATACACTCACTCACAGACTATTCACCCCTTAAGATTTCGTGAACTAAAGTACGAAGGACGATATTAACGCGTGCGTGCTCCTTGTCACCTCAGATTCAATTAAACCAACATACAGATAATCGAATAAGTGCATTTATCATTTTACATAACAAAACGAATTATCTGACGTGGATTTATACAACTAGCAGTCTCTGGATAACCGATTATATAGATATACGATATTGTCTGTCTGTTGCAAACTGTTAATTTGATATGCCAGCGCAACGTTAACACAATTTCAACAGATTATTATATTATTAATTTAAAACAATTATCGTACGTTTTAACAGCATTTAAAAAATGGTCTTTAATCGTGTTATTTTAAAGTGTTTTGGACTGTACAGCTCTTTATGGTTGTTTCAGAATACACGACAAGTTTCTGCCTAAATAACATGTCTCTCATTATCATAAATCAAAATAAACACGATTCTATTACTGTTTATTACTTGAAGGCACTTTTGAGTATTAACCACATAAATAATACTTATATTATAAGAGTGCGATCTATAAAGCAACTTTTTAGTCTTAGATCTGATATGGAAAATTATCACATGCTCAATCTTCAATTCAGTTGTGTAAGACGAAAATTTGAATATACAGTAGGGTGATGTGATTATTAAAAAAAATAGAAATATATATTTATTTTGTAATTGAAACACGTTCTCACTTTATTTTATCATGTCATGACCTTTAAATACTGCTAATTTCTTTAATAATTCTCTTGCCCTCAAATTGTACCCAGTGTCAGGTAGGTATTTGTCAGGAATTAATTTTCGTATGTTTTCTTCCTTTCAATAATTCTTAGATATTGGTTGTCCAGAAGTGCTTTTTTATTCAAACATATTTCTTATGTTTTGTTTTGAAATAGTTTTCATTTAAAGCAACTATAAAGTTCAAACAGATTTATATAATACTTATAATGAATACCGCTGCAGTATTCGTATTACAAATTTGTAATAACTAAATTAATAATACTTATTAGCACATGCTCACTGCTCAACCCTGTAAATAACTATTTATTACTATAACATTTATGACCATGAAAGTTTAAAACAACATTTGTTACAAAAAACAATCCACTTAGTAGAGTATTATGCTAAATCTTAGATATGATTTATGTCAGACTCATCATAATCACAGAGATTTTCAAATCATACTTATTAAACAATATTAGTAATCAACAAAAGTCAAAACTTTTATTCTAAATCTTAGATATTTAAACACAAACACAAAAATCGATCTGTGGTTACTTCTCCACGATCCATGGTCTCAGGATTTCCTTTTGATCGGCCCCATCTAGTAAAAAGGATTTTTCAAATAGTCATATTTTTATATATCCTAATACGAGATATCTCATTTTAGGAGCACTCGCATGTCTCATATTAGGAAAACATCTACATTCAACAAAATGGCTGCACATTATTTCTCAGTAAAGAAAATGTAATAAAACTGCATATGTATCATAAAATTCATGATATAATTGATAGAATGATGGTAAATTAAAATCATTCAGTGTAATTAATACAGTTGTAGTATACCTTGTAAATATTTGATGAGAAAAATTTGGTTTTGGGGTTTCGTGAAAACCCACGAGACTCGCGCACGAAGGGTCCCGTATCGGAAACGAGAAAAAAGAAAAACGTTTGTATATAATACATATTTCACAAATATTTTAAGCGTCTACCTGTAGTCCTTTTAAATATCAAGCGAAATCAAGCGAAAAAAATAACTGTGGCTCTTTGGGAACCTTTAAATATTTATTTATTCTGTCTTTTAGTATTTGTTGTTGAAGCGGCAACAGAAATAATATTTCAACTATCTAACTTTCACGGTTCATGATATACAGCCTGGTGACAGACAGACTGCGAAATCTTAGTAATAGAGTTCCCGTTTTACCCTTCTAGGTAGATAACCCTAAAAAAGCAGCCCTTGCTCAGTTTCTTTCTCCGGCCGTAGATTTGTGAACCGAAGGCATAGGGTTTGGACTTTAATAAGTGTTTGTAACTGCCAAGACTGTATAAATGAATTTGAAATTTTTTATCAATGTCCAAGATCTTGAAAAAGGATTTCCCTTTATCTTTCACTCAAACAATTTTAAAAATCAGATTTGCCCTACTATATCTTGTGCTAAGGATACATATATAATATTATATTTGATTACCAAACATGAGACGTATAGCGTGATGTAGGCCTTATTTGTACAGTATACCGGTGCGACTATGGGCGGAGGTTGCGGGGCCACCGGTACTCGGGTGCCCACCGCGGCATCGCCTGCTAACACAGCCAGCTCGTCTTCCTCTAACACCGGCTCGGCCGGTGGCACCAGGTCAACTAGCCTGAGCACCGCACCACCGCCTCCGGCGTCATCAGCGTCGACAACCGGCGCAGTGGGGGAGCAACTCAGCCGCACCAACCTCTACATACGAGGCCTTAACCAAAACACTACCGATAAGGACCTTGTCCAAATGTGCCAGATGTGAGTTTGATACATTTCCCTTATCTAACAGTTTAGTATTACCACGTATTATAATTATAGTGAATAGCTCAATGTAGTAGATAAACGCCGCGGCCCACTAACGTAGTTGTTAAGCAACTTTCTCAAGGATCAGTCACGGAATGGATGATCAAAAAATTATTATCTGGATCTACTCAGTACTTCTAAAGCAAGTTAAGCCGGGACTTCATTTTCAGTCGTTAATACCCTTCGGTCCGCATTGACCTGTCCTCCTTAACCATCTTAAAGGAAGGCCTGAGCCCCTACAGTAGGGTCATAATAGGGCTGATAACGATGATAATTATAGCTTCAATATTATTAATTCCAAAGACACTGTTGGTGCTAGTATCAGGCTTAATACAAAATTGATAACAAACGAATCGGTACAATAAACAATAATTGTATCTATACACTATCTGTAACCAAATTATTTTATAAGTTTTAGCTAATGATGTAAAAATCCTATTTTATTACAACGAAGTTACATTTACGTAAAGTATATTTTTGTATTTCAGGTATGGCAACATAATTTCAACAAAAGCAATATTGGATAAAAATACGAATAAATGTAAAGGTAAACAACATTCACTGCCGCATACCTCTTACTCTATCATAGCGAAATATTACCTATTATACTTCTAGATAATGTATCTGTGCATAGTTTTTTCACGTATGTATTAATATCCTTTGACATATCTACATATAGATTTGCATCTGTAATATTAATCGCAACAGAATTATTTAATACAATATTAATATTTTCTAGAATACCATATACCTTCATTAAACTAACCCATCTATGGTGAGATTTTTTCCAATATATGCACGAACACTAGATACGTATATTTTAATTCATATTTATTATGACATTCTCATTATCTAATTATAATATATTTATTTAACACATTTTCGTGTTGTTTTCAAGTAGACTATATTCATCATTTTATATGCACCGAAGCACAGATGAAATTTCTTAATATCGCAATAATGAAGATGCACACCAGTAAATTTTTGTGTCTATTATCACAATACGATATTTAATTTCATATTCCCATCACGCTGCTTATGTGTAAGCAATATATTCTTCATCATTAGCTCCATTTTCAAACGTACATATAGTAATTTGACCTTGAAATATTAGTGACTTTATTTAGCATGAATCATCAGATTATACTTAAGCCAAAAGGTAACCCATAATTATAAATTTTATTCACTTTTGTTCCTACAGGTTACGGTTTTGTAGATTTTGAGACGATCGCATCAGCAGAGGCAGCTGTTAAAGGATTACAAGCCAAAGGTGTTCAGGCCCAGATGGCTAAAGTGGGTATCTGGTTCCTGCGTAGACTGAACCGTGTACGTTGTGCATGCAAGTAATACTATTATGACTAACCGCCTGCTCCCGGACCGCTCTCTAATCCATTTCTCTTCCATTAATTAATATTTCACTATCCTATTACATATTTTCAACTACATCCTTAAGTTTTTGTACTTCATCTTTTGATGTCGTTAATTGGTATTTTCCTACTATTCAATGAGTCCAACTTATTCTATTGTGTTCTTCAACTAAATCAAGTAAATCATTATCAATACTTATACTATCTGATTTATCAGTGACATGATTGATTACCTCCATTGAACAGGAACGAACGTTCCTTTTCGAACAAATATCGATTTCTAAATTTATTATACTCCTTTCAATTACAAGGAACATTTTTGTTCTAAAACATTTTATAAGTAACGGACTCGTCTCCGATTGAACCTATTGCCCTCTATCCTATCCAACGTTCCTTCTACCCTTACTTATAGCTTTAGTATTTTACCCTATTATCTATCGATAAAACGCTGTAACCTATATTTGAGCCAATTAAAGGTAAAAGCAGTGTTCTCTATATATTATTACATTTGCTAGTTATATGCATAATCATAGCATCAACATCCCGCCCTACAATTTATGAGGTGAAGTTTCTAGTACGAGTCTTACAATCCCATAATCCATGTTTGTTTAATTCAATAGTTGTGTTACTAGATGATATAGGATGTATTTAGAACATCGACGTAAATGGGCGGTAGTGATACGAAACGTGGCATCTGGCCAACGTTACGGCCCGTGATCATTCATTTCTCTGTTAAATATGGACGAGAGTGATAATTGGTATGTCGGCTTAACAATCTAACACAATGTTGACACTAATGTGTTGTAAGTATTCACTCCCTTCAGTGGTACGCAGTCAATGCAAATAAGCGCTTGTTTAACTCTACTTCGAACATTGTTTCGTTAATTCTGTACTATTGTCGTTGCTTCAGCGTTATAACAATGTATCTCGCTATTGGGCTCGGGTATTTCTATGCTTTCGATATTAAATTAGTGTGTATGCGACTATTAACTAGCTTAATAATCTCTATGCTGTATATGCCCATCTCGTTGATAACACTTACCTAATATTATTTAGTATATTAGATAAATCTGCTGATTTACGTCAGAGCTGGCTTAAGTGTCTAGATAATCTATGCGGGCTTCAAGCTAATTTTAACATCCTGGAAAGAATCTTTCAATTCACACTGTTCACTGTACACACTTTTGCTTACAATAATTATAATAATATCACTAAGAAGCAACAATATTAACAAATAAACAAATTTAAACTTCCGTGTGATTTCTAAATTATCTTATCTACATAAAACTTTTGTTTTAATCCTCTTTGTAAATCTTGAAGACCATATTGTGAATAGTAAATCATTATAAGGTCGTTTATCATAATTATAATATTGAAATGAAAAAATATTGCAATATAACTTGCTTGTGGCAGGAGCTCAGCTTCATCTGATCTAAAACTCAAAATCTGATTTCCCTAATGTGATTTTACAGCTTTATATTCCTTAGAATAGAATACCAAAATCCCTAGCGAATGTAAAGCTGTTAATTTATTAATGAGCAACATATTATGGTTTCTCATCTGCCAATGCTGGGTTTTACAGCAACAAGAACAGGATCCCACCAACCTGTATATGGCAAACCTGCCCCCCCACTTCAAAGAAAATGATGTGGACCAATTGCTGGCCAAGTTTGGGCAGGTTGTCTCCACAAGGATTCTCCGCGACACCCATGGTCATAGCAAGGGCGTTGGTTTTGCGCGGATGGAATCAAGGGAGAAGTGTGAGCAGATCATTCAAGTAAGTGCTTTTTTTTAAACTTCGATATGTGTTTGAAAAAGTCTAAAATCAATGAAATGCTAAGGTATTCTGGAAAAAGAATTCTTATATAATATTTATAATAATATGAAATATTCTTACATCAGCGAGATATACGAGCTCAAATTTTGTTTTAGATGTTTAACGGGAATCCAATTCCTGGTGCCAAGGAGCCTCTATTAGTGAAATTCGCTGACGGCGGCAACAAGAAGAAGGCTCTATATAACAAGCAAAACGATAACAATGGTAGAGCGTGGAGAGACAACACCGAGTCCATCACGCAGGTTAGTATAACGATATTACCAACCAAATCAACATTCACTATCTAACCAAATTTCAACCTTAACTTTCCCAATGAATGTTTATTACTATGTAAAAAACAGCGTCATCCTGACCGTAACCATAACAATATTTACAAGGCTCTAGGTCTAGGTCCATGCAAATATGAGAGCGAAATCACAGAAACCTTCATGCACAATTACCCATTGTGCTTTTTGCGGTAATTCAGGTGACAGATTGGCAATTGCAATAGGAACAGTGCACCATTTCATTAAAGATTTACTGAACAATATTTTTAATACTAAACACATTCATTAAGAACACCTTTCATTAATACTAAACACAAATAATCACATTATTTGGCGTCAACGCAAAAAAAACTTCTGCTTCTCTCTACCTATTTATTACTATTTACTATATTTTTTTACTATTCTATCTCTTTTGATCCGATCTTCGATCACTCTTCTTATAAAACACCTCGCGAGTAGATGCGTGACACCCAAACCATTATTTACAATCAAATGAATAGAAAATAAGCCTCTTCAGTTTTATCGATATCTGTCCGTTGCGTAAATGTCCATTGAGATGTCATTAGTTTAAAGCGATATTGCCAATAGAAATTTTCAAATTTACAACATTCATTAGAGCTTAGACATACGGGGTGTTAGTTTAAAAAAACTCATTTTTATAACTTGCTCGCCCCCGTTTACTTAAAGTCTGTTTTTAATCTCAGACACTATACTGACATTTGCTGTATTGCCAAGTTTTTGCAATTCTTAAATACGAGGGTCAAACTGAAAGTTCTTAGAAAATCAAAAACTGATTACATTAGCCAGTTATTAGTTTTATTATATCTTTTCAAAATGTTGTCCATTCACGTCAATACACCGCTGCATGCGATGGAACCACTGGGAAAAGCACTTTGCCCACTCGTCCTTAGGGGTCTCTTCAATGGCATCGCGATACGCAGCCACCGCTTCTTCAGCATTCATAAACCGCTTTCCTTTAAGTTTTTCTTTAATTTTTGGAAATAAATAAAAATCACAAGGCGCGAGGTCGGGGCTATACGGCGGGTGACCCAGTAATTCAACGTTTGATGTCGCCAAATAGTCGATCGTTCGCTTGGCGGTGTGCGACGAGGCGTTGTCGTGGTGAAGGAAGATCCTACTGCGAGGTCGTTTCTCTCGAACTTTTTCCAAGACAAGTGGCAAACAATTGGTAGTGTACCATTCTGCAGAAACTGTTTTTTGATCCTCTAACACAATTGTTGCAAAATGACCTATCCTTCCAAAGAACGAGGCCACCATTTTTTTTCCCGCACTTCGATCACTCTTCACTTTAGTTGGCAACTCCTCGAAAGGAAACACCCACTGAGCAGATTGTCTTTTGGTTTTAGGATCATAACAGTAAATCCAGCTTTCGTCACCTGTTAGTATGTCGAACACAGCATTTGAGTCACCTCCGTTAAATCTTTCAATCATTTTACGACACCAATCCACACGATGGAGTTTTTGAGCCTCAGTCAAATTATGAGGTATCCACCGGGCGCAAAGCTTCCTGACCGCTAAATGTTCGTGGAGGATTTTGTGCACTTGACTCATACCGATGCCTAAGCTTGTCCGAATCTGTTGATAGGTCACTCTTTTGTCAGTCTCTATCATACGCCGCACAACACAGATGTTATCTTCAGTCGTCGCCGTAGAAGGCCGTCCCTCACGTAAATCATCAGTGAGATTAGTGCGACCACGTTTAAACTCATTAAACCAGTTGTAAACAGTCGCACGAGATGGGGCTTCATCGTGAAAGGCCAATCGTAGTCTATCATAACTTTCTTGTTGACTTAAATGACATCGAAAGTCATAAAAAATCATTGCACGAAAATTTTCTCGTGTTAAATTCATGATGACGTGACACAGACAATTTTCAATTTGCCGCCAAATCGTAAAACAAATGACAAATGAATGAAATATATACTCAGTAATATTGGCAAAGAGTTATATTTTCAAATTTTAGAATTATTTTTTTATTATATTGTTTATAAGTGGCCAGTTCTAAGAACTTTCAGTTTGACCCTCGTAGTTATGTGCCTTAACCGAACTTTAAACGAAAAAGTAGACTCGCGTTTTTGTTACAAGTCACTGATAAAATGTGTAGGTTTATCAGTGACTTATACCCACTTAAGTAATAAATAATAGTCTATTAAAGTCAACTAAAAAAGTCGATATCTTATTGCATAAATAATAATAGGTAGATTGTTGTAAAATAATACACAAGTGTTTTTTTTTTGGATTCATTCAATTACAGCGATACGTTGTGTTAAAATATCATATGACGTTACGCTTTGGTACATTTTCTACAATATTGTGACGTAGCGAGCCCCCACTCCTTAACTCAAATGCCTCTTATCTATACTATTTCTTATTAAATTTAAGTTTAAAAAAATATATACTAATATTTTCCTATTATCTGACTGCCGGAATAAATAGTTTTTTTTTAAACCAAGCGTCATCCCTATTGTAAAAATTGCATTCCTTCCAGTTTAAATGATTGAATGAAGCGCGCTTTATTCGAATTATATATTATTATTAGTTATTGAAGCTGTTTATGATAAAAGGCCCCACTTGGCATTCCAGCAGTACTTGACTTAAAAGTCTTGTAATGCGCCGTATATTTTTTACATTTAAGAAATGGTTATTTGCAAATTAATTAGTTCGCACCAAAATATCATTCTAAAAAGAATATCTTTAGAATAAAAATTAGCTCGGCTAAACAAAATTCTCATTCTATTGTTTTTATTATTTTTTATTATTCAGTGATTTAAGTCGATTTTTTTATTGTTCCTAATAAATAAGAAGATATATATCCCAAAATCGTCTTAATGAAAAGGGCTATTGATTATAAAAATTTATACAAATCGATTCATTCGTTAGTTAGCTATAAGTGATGAATAAAGCTTTTATTAAAAAACCATATTCAAATCCGTTCATTCATTCAGGAGCTTTGACCGTCACAGGCAGACTGACCACCCTATAACTTATAACACTCATATTTCACGTCTGGGGTAAAATCGGTAAAATCAGACAGTTTCACTTACTAATAAATTTTCTCAATACAATTTTTCAATATATTCTTCTAAAAGCCGCTACAGTGTTAAGTTTGTGTACCCGTTTTCTTTTTAAAACAGTATTTGACGCTTTTCTTTAAACTATTATTTTTAAACCATTGTTTGATACATTTTAAATACACTATTTCATAGGAATATGTTCTGTTTTCGATGGAAATAAATGTTAAAGAATAAATAGCCAAAATCGCGCGGAAACCACTACTCAATGTTATGGCGTTGATCACGTGGTGTTTGCAACGATACACGCCTGTAAATATGTCAAAGCGACATAATCTATTTATCAATTATTTATTTACGAAGTAAACCAATAGTATTACAACAGAGAAATTGAACTTAAATTTTATGTTTTGTATTTGTATGTATTCTTTTATTTATATAAAAATGTGCTACAAATGGGATGTAAAAAATACGAATTTTGCGTATCTTTAATAACACTTTTTTGACATGACAGCTTCCTGATTAGGTGTGACGTCACACGCCAGTAAACAGAGCCTGTTATTTGTTGCGACGACAACAGGGCGTTTTCGTCGTTCATTGAAATTCCTTAAAAATGTTGTATTTTCTTTACGTTATTTTACTAAAGCTAAATATGTTCTTAATGAATACTGTACCAGGGACCAAATGGATTTTTTTACTATTTTCATTAAGGATATTTTTCAGTATAGTATCGTGAATGCGAAATTGATCAAATAAAACTAAACATGTCTGGATATCCTAAAATTTTAACATTATTAGATTATAATCTAACAGGATGACCACAACATGCAACTTATTTTTAATAGTGTCAAATAACCTATTACTAGGGATTTATTCTAAAAATCAAGGCGATTGCTGGATGGACTGTCAAAATTGAATTAATTTTTTTTTTTTTATAAATGCAAGAACAACTAAAAATTAATCATTAAAATATTATTTTTATCATCATTGTCCTCGGCCTATAAATTATCCACTACTTGGAGAATAGGTCATCCCTATGGATGGAATTTTAATGTCACACCTCACGATTAAGTTAAGAATGATCGATGTCAAAATAGTTTTTTTTTATCATGAACAATGCATTTTATTATTAAGATAATCGTCTTATACCGATAACAAATTACCAATTTTTCCATATAATCGGTTTTAAATCGATACTGCTAAAATAAAGCTAGTATTATTATTTATAAATCTGACATTTGCATGTGTCAATTTAGTCTCTGAGATTAAAGAACAGACTATAGTATATTTTAATTTATTGCAGGCGATGAGCGTGAGTGGTGTGTATGCAAGCGGCGTCGGCGCAGCAGGTGCCGGAGCAGATTGTGCGGGCGTATACCGCGGCGGAGCGGGCGTATACGGAGTGGCGGCTTTCCACCACCATCCACTGCAACATCACCATCACCACGCGGCACATCCCGCCGCCTGGCTGCCCGCGTACGCCGCGCTCATACCGCCCGCGCATCCCGCACACGCCCCACACCCCGCCCACACCGCGCACCCAGCGCACATACCCATCGACTCTGTGCCTAGCCAATACGTGAGTACACCCTCAAATCAACCACTACAGATGCAGCGAGATCTACCGCGCCACGCTTACATCGATACGTGCCGTCCGCCCACACTGCGCACCCAGCGCATGTACCGATCGACTCTGTGCCTAGCCAATACGTAAGTACACCCTCAAATCAACCACTACAGACGCAGCGAGATCTACCGCGCCACGCTTACATCGATACGTGCCGTCCGCCCACACTGCGCACCCAGCGCATGTACCGATCGACTCTGTGCCTAGCCAATACGTAAGTACACCCTCAAATCAACCACTACAGACGCAGCGAGATCTACCGCGCCACGCTTACATCGCTACGTGTCGTCCGCCCACACTGCGCACCCAGTGCACGACTCTGTGCCTAGCCAATACGTAAGTACACCCTCAAATCAACCACTACACTACGCAGCGTCATCTAGCGCGCCACGCTTACATCGCTACGTGCCGTCTTCGTTTCGCTGTCTGTTTACAAGATGGCGCTCGATGCTAGTGCGGTATAGAACACACATCGCGCTTATGAAGTTTCTGCTGCTGCATACTGTACGTACTTTCAAAATTAATTTGAAAAGTCGTGTACAATTTCTTTAGTTTCCCGAATCAGTTGCCAATCATAAATAAGACAGACAATGAGTAAATCATGGATATATCCTCGGAAAACTGACCTGCCTGCTTCTCACTTGGTACAAATTGACGTAAGTAATACTATTTTGCAAACTGCTTATATCAATAAGGCTACAATTTTGACACATTTGAGAAATGGATATGTTTAAAGATGTGCATAAAAAGTTTAGTTTCAGCTGTGGTCAACGAATGTATGGTAAAACTTTAACAGTGCTATTATTGAACAAGGTTTAGCGTCAAAGTAAATTTACGCTAAAATTGCAATTTTAGTATTAGTCCAAATCATATTATACAGAGAATAACAAACCTATTTACTTCCTTCTAGGAGTAAATATTACTCCCGTAGAACCTCGCCCTGGGTTAACCTTTGCTAAGTTAAGTTAAATAATATAAGTTTAATAATATGAATTTTGACTAATACTAAGTGCAGTCTTCGCGTAAATATACTGCAACGCTAAACCTTGTTTATTAATAATACTGAATGTGAGTACACTGTACCCGTTGTACAACTATTTCGCAAACTTTATGCTTGATCGTTGTCGCAGTGCATCCTTCTCAAAATAAAAAGTATTTAAAAGACCTGTGATTCTCGGCAGTTATCATTTGTTAGTAGCCCTAAGAAGCAATTCACCTTAGTCTGAATAAAATAAGTGTATTTCTCAATTTATGTTTACCAGGAAGTTCTTAATGTTTCAAAGTTTAAGATGTGATTTTGGACAAGCCATTTTAATTTAAACTTTTACGAAACCATACGGCCAATTGGAAATAAACGTCAAACATTCAGTCAAACAAAACAATAAAATGACTGATGTTTTCCGTTTTCCAGGTAAACTGGGACAGCATAAGGCCGGATAGCGAATTATACGTGAGTGCTAATGTATTATAACAGCAACTGAACGCTCGTACCTTCCGATCCCGTGGCTTCCACTCACAAATTACAAACGCTCCCCGCTTTTAAGAAACGCTGGAACCTTGCACGCTCATACATTTCTCGCGCCATTATTTAACAAGCGAGATTGTTACGAGTTTTACATATGCCCAATGCTTGTCCTATGAATGTTTATGTATCTGCTTTAGGTGTCACAAGACTTACTACCACTACAGAAAATACTATTCAATATGCTATTAGTAATTATTAATCTTAATACTCACACTTTATATATTCACTCACGAAACCAACTATATCAAATTTTAATTCGGATGATTCAATACTGATTTCGAATAACGTCCAGTAACACGTCAATATGTTAATAACATTTTTTTTTTTGTTAAATAATTTAAGACAAATCGAGTGATAGTTTACCCTGGTATGTTTCAGTATTTTACGTCACATCCGTACCAGTACTTCACTGGGCCAACCCCGCCGATCATTCAAATGCCCATGGAGAGCGAGCATGCGTCCACAGCGGCGTCACCCGACGAAGCCTACCAAACGTACCCGCCTCCCAAGTAGACCATAAGCCACGTCGTTAGTTATGCTGAAACGAGCCAAAAATCAAAGCAACTGTGACTTTTTACAATGTTAATTTGTTTTAGTTTTAATTTGCGACCGTTACAGACTTCATCGAAAGCCCCGCGCGGTACCCGCGACCTTAAACAAGACTACTTCGCCTCGTTCGTTTCTGAGGATTGCTCATCCTCTCGGCTTTAGCTGGACGTTTGATTAGCTGTTTGATGAGGTCTATTTACGGTACAAGGAGAGGATTTGATGTATAGATATAGCTGCAATTTTTAAATGTGTTTTTACATTATAATTTTATTATTGTTTTATGAAATTTTTTAAATTTAAGATTTTAGGCGCAGTTTTGAACATGTTAAAAAGATTATTTAAGATAGTTAGGTATTTATTTTAGCATAGTATAATTTCATGATTGAAATTTCAAATTTTTACTTGTCTCCCTGGATGGGTAACGTTTACATTTTTTTTTTTTATTCAGTGTCATATTTTAAAATTTTAAGGAAACTGATTTTTTTGAATCCGATTATTAAATAAACATCTAAACAGAATAAAAAGCGTGCAATTTTAACAATCAAAAAGTATAAACGCATAATTGTTGAAGTGGCTATTGTTTTATAATTATTTTATAATGAAACCAATAAAGTTTTATTTTACCATTTTAAAATTTGTCAGGAGGTAAAGCAAAGCAATATCTGAAGGGGAAGGATAGAAGTATAAGTGGAAATGGTCATATCATGTGGAAACAAAGTTATATACTAACACTTTTGTAAAGAGTAACGACTAATGTGTTACGGTTAGAAAGGGTGGGTACACCAAATAGCTCTTGTATGATTAATATTATGGCGAAGGTTTAGAATCTTCAGTAAAATTAGGTATTTTAAAAATACATTCAAAAGAGAAGCTCTTATTGTCATGTTGTAATTGAACAGCAATGCAAGAAAATATAAGAACAATAATTCATCTCCGATACCCGGCATTCGGAGTGAATATAGACCCCGGCCGACACTTTGTGGACGGTTATGGGAGTTTATGTTGTATGTTTAACATGTGTTTGGCATGGTGCTTTAGTCATTTTATTTCAAAAATGGTACTATACCTGTACAGTATTATCTACCTTAATAAATTCATAGTTCAGACCGGCGCAGTCTTCCAAGGATCGCATGTACCTAAGTTGTCATGAATGACAAAAAAAAATATTAAGACACTGCAGTGTTGTGCCTGAACAACTCGGCCGCTTGAGTCGCCTTGACCTCTAATGACTAGAGTCTTAAACAATGCAATACCTTTCATAATGTTTACATTACAATCATCACAATTAGTTAAGTTTGATTTGCTGTATATTTTGTCGCAATAGCATGTAAACTCGAAATTTACCGAGACGTCGTTGCCAAACCCCATAACAGACTGAACTTATGTATACTGTGTAACTTCCGTATATTTCTGTAAACGTGTTTTGACTCAACCTGCTTCGACTAGCGTGCGCCAGCGACTAGCTCACGCGACTATAGTGGCACACCAGTGCCGTTAAAACGACAACATTTAGCAATAAGCAGTTGTATGTAAAATTCTATTTATACATTTTACGACTCTATACAAATTTTTGTACGTTTGAAAACTCATGAATACGTGATTTAATGTAATGATCCTTTTTTGAGAATCATGTACTGAATCAACTGTAGTTGTTATTTTGTAGGCGGTCGGCACATTCCAATAGTAAACTTCAAACAAAAAATTCCACGATTGATTTCCACATTATGAAATGTAATGGATTTGAAATCCAAGTGTAACACCGTTTTGGTGTAGATGAGCACTTTTTGTACCACCACGTAGGTTTTGGGTACACTTTATGACTTTATATGAAATTTGATATTTTTATATTGAATATATATAAATTATACATGGATATGTATACATGTATATACATTGTTGATGGGTACGAGTAAAAGCCTACTATATCGCAACTGTTTAATTCTATTTTGGCACGTCAAGAGTTTCATCAGAACCAAAGTATACAAATCATTAAAGTCAAGTAAGAAGTAGGAAAATATATATACAACTCAGGGACTGAAGATTAGTTAAATGTTTGATATATTAACTGTATTTTAACTGACGATTAAGCGGTAACCACTTTATTCAAAACCTGTGAACCGACTTTATATAATAATACAGGAACTGAGACTAGCTAACGGCAGGTTTTGAATGAATAAACGTAGATTTTTGGATCAATAAGTAGAACTGTATTCGTTTCTTTATATTATTTTTATTGTTGAGAAGGCTGAATTATTGTTCCGTAACTGAATTACTTTTGGGCTTACTTAGATAACTTAGCACGTGTAACGTCACTTGTTTAAGTTAAATATTACTGCTGATAACCCGCTGAGGGACACTTAACCAGTACTTAACTGAAAACAGAGGAATGCACGCAAGTCGTAGCGCTTAGCTGGCTGCCTGTCTACGATGAACACAATGTAGGTTCCTTGCTGAAACTCACCTCACAAAGGCTAATCGAAGTGAGATTTTTATTAGTGATGAAAACGTTTCGTCGAAACGTACTGACCCATAATACTCCGTAGATCAGTATTATACCCTGTATAAAATCTGATCAAGCCAAATTTATTGAACTGACTTAAAATACCGCCTTTACTTCAAGTGAAAGATTATAGTAACCTCGAAGTGCAATGCAGTACCGAGCGTCGCCTGGTACTTAGTTAAGTAATTTGATCGTTTAGTGTTCGACGTACACTGTGGCTTCCTGTTAATGCAGTCTTCCGATAGATATTTCCTCTAAACTTGCATTTAAATTTGATGTTGACATAAAAAACACATTTTTTTTTTCTTTTCATTATTAATTCATCAGTGTCGTGTGACCCGTGTTTATAAATTAACTTTACAGTTTTGATTCCACCGTAGATTATGGTAGTGTAATTCCAAATGCAAAATCGTTGTTCCCTTATCGTGTGATGCGGATATATAATTTTAAAGTACCGAACCGTTGTGTTAAGTGACTTATAGCGTAGCGTGACACGGTCCTGTGTAACTAGAGTCAGATGCAAGTGTATTTTTAGCACCAAATTATTTTTCTAACGCTTTCCTTCCATTGAAGCAATAAAATTAATTTCTATAGTAGTGCCTTCAGCTTCCTTTAAAGTAATAAACAGATGGATACAATAAAGCAGTTGCATGTGCTTTACACAATATTTTTACAGGTAAATAGAGAAAACCTTACCGTATTCATACACGTAGTGATAATGTAAAAACTATGTTTAAAATATTTTGTAACAACAATGTAATGTGGCTGTCTAATCGTTGCATTTTTCACACATGATGTAAAAAAAATGATATCGAGAATAAAACTTAGATGTTCCTAGTAAACTCACTTTGATGCGTATCGGGGAACCATTTCTCGTAAACCAAAACTGCATGATTCAAATAAGAAAAAAAAAAGAAAATCATGTCGATAAATATAGTTGAAGAGTAAATGTTTTTTTTTTTTAATTAAGAAGTAATTATAAGTGAACGCTCGACTTGTTTTGCATCGGTGAATAGTGAAGCTAAAGGGACGACGTCGATATGATGGTTAGTTATAGTTTAGGCTTAACCATAGATAGGTTAGAATAGAAAAAAATGTTTCGACGCTAAGATAGATAGAATAGAGCCCTAGATTAATATATTCCGGCGGCGGCACGGCACGTGAGTGCGGGCCCGGCTCTAGGGTAGTTTCCTTTGTTAGTTTATTAAATAATTTAATTTGAATGGACTGAAGTCGGACCGCAGCACTCACGCGTGCCGCCGCTTAGCTTAAGGTGGATCTAAGGATTAGTGACACAGTTTTCGAGATAAGTTTCCGTTGAACAATTTTGCTTTCACCTCTTTTGTTATGTAGTTGGTTAAGTGTAAAGAAAGGAAAAACTAATGAAAAAAATCTGTCTGAAGTGTCGATACGAATGTATTTGTCCAATGTGTATTAAATATAGTGTGGTGTTCTACCCAGCAGACTAGTCTAGATAGTAGAATAGTTTAGTTAAAAATTTAGTTAGGTAGTCTAGAAATACGAAATGCAAAATAAAACTTCATAAAATGTAAAAAAAAAATGAAATGAAATTGTTGGTAAGAAAGAATATTTTTAAGGGACATGTTGCTTCGTTGTGTTATGGTGTGAGGTTTGGCATAACTATGATAATAGTGTAAAAGCATTTCTCGCAGAGAAAAGACATAGAAAAAAGTTATGTATCTATTTTGTTACAAAGTGTTTGCTATATTGTGCTATGAGCATTTTATGTGACCCGCATTATTTATAGTTATGCTGAATGGACTAAAATAATATATGAATAAATTAAAATGGTACTAAGAAGCATGTTTTATTATGACAAGTCATGTTCCTTTGCATTGAACATATTTTGTAAGAGCAAATGATTGAAATAAAACAAACGAAACCAAATCTAGTACATTATTTCATTAGTAGAACGTCACAACAAAAGAACCTGATGCATATTGATGCAGAAGCAAAGTGAAGAACAAAGTAATGAAAAAACTTTAACTTAAAGAATGTCTATTGGTCATATTCACATCGCTCAGCTGAATTTGGAAGATATGGGAATGGTAATTTTTAATAAAAATACATAATTTGCCGCGAGCGCGCAAATAGAGAAAGCTGATAGTTTTACCCCATCCCTAAGTACGCTCATGCCTGGGCTAGCGAAACAACGGACAATGCACAAATTCTATGTGAGCGTCTAAAAAATACAATACGAAAACGGCATCTCTATCTTTTAGTGGTAAAAGCCCGACAGTACAATATAATATTTCAGGTACAGACTCTAATATGGACATATATATCTTTATCCAGTTTAAAAACGCATTTTTATAAACCAACCAACCTTTCAAAAAATGCATTTGTTAGTAAACAGAAAAGTTGGAACAGCTCATAATGCTAGAACTTAAACTTGCTAGAAGAGGTAAATTGACATTGTAAGTAAGGAAAAATGGATATAAGTGGTGCATTTATATATGTATATATTTTAGAGTAGCTTGGTAACGTAGTACATAATTACCTCGGCCCGCGATAATTTTTGGGCAACTTTCGTAAGGATCGGATCGGGATGGGTGACCAAAAAGTTATTATCTCGAGCTAGTTAGTTAAACTGTTAGTCCCGGCTGCACTTGCAATCGTTAATACCCTCCAATCCGCATTGGGCCAGCGTGAAAGGTTATGACCCTCCTTAACCATTCATAAGGAAGACCTGAGCCCATGCAGTGGGGACGTAAAAAGGGCAGATGATGATTATGGAGATTATTAAATGAAAAAAATCTATAAGACGCTAGCAGCCGGTTGCACAAACGTCCATTAAAATTATCAATAGGTTAAAGCGACATTACACATACAAATTTGACATTCATTAGAGCTTAAAGGCGTCATTAAACCTTAATGGATGATTGTGCAACTGACCGTATGAAAAGAGCACTACAAATATGAAATTTTCTGAATCAATTTAACTCATATTGAAATACTAATAATATAATCTATTGGAGCCTTTATATTGGATTGGATATTGATTTATCTATTGACATCGCATATTTGAAAAAAACCCAAGAAAATATTAAAAGTAATTTATTACAACTATGTAACACTTTTACACAGAGACATCCTACAGATTCATACTCTTGGCATGTTATAAAACTAAAAAAATACACTCACCACAATTTTCAAGGACACTTATACTTCAGGCATATCCTTATACCGTTGTGTATGTGTAATGCATTGAAAATCGAAACGTGCTATTGCGGAATATAATTATTATTTTCAATTGATTTAGTTTTAGTCTTGCCTAATATGAACCTTATATTTTACACATAGAGTTCATTTTCATTTACTATTTCCAAGTGTGAATTGTATACGCCTATTGTTTACACGTCTCCGACAGCGTGTTTTGCTTTAAATATCCTTAGTGTATTGTCACACGATCCACTGACGAGTAGTGATGGGTTCGACCAATCACAACACAGTACTTTGTCTTCGTGACCACTCAGATCGTATAATGGCGTACGTGGACTGAAAAGATGAAAATACTGATTTAACTTCTGCGTAACAAACGAAAGAAAATTTTCTAAGAAAATATAGCTCCAATACATATTTTTCTTCAAAATTCTCACTTGGTTTACATACAACTAATAACGAATTATATCAAGTTACAACCGGTTTTATCAATCAATTTCGATTCGAATATAAAAGTCTTGTATTATACATAAAAACCTTCCTTTTGAATCACCCTATCTATGAAAAGGACAAAGAATGCGACTTTGTTTTATACTATGTAGTGATGTATATGTAAAAAACCGGTTTAGTGTGAGTCGGACTCGCACACGAAGGGATCCATAGCATTATCTATAAAAAGAATCACGTTTTTGGTAGGGGAGCCCCTTAAATATTTATTTTAAGATGTTTTTATTAGTTTTTGTTATAACGGCAATAGAAATACATCATCTGCAAAATTTTCAACTATCTAACAAACAGTTCATAAAATACTGCCTGGAGACAGACATACGGAACCATAAAAACAAAATCGAATTAGTTGCGTCACGTATAACTCTAGAATTGCTGCACCAATAATCATGCTTTTTGGTTTTTTTTCTGTCCGAAAAATCCAAAATACATAACTGTTAAACATTTTTAAAATTAAGAACAAATTGACGACTTGTAAGTTTGTTACATGATAAAAATAGAATCATTGACAACAACTAACATTAAAATATAAAACTTAAAAAGTTGTGAATTAGAATAAAAAATAATATTTTTATTAATAAAGATTGACATGATAATATTGTGGACATTAATGCATGATTGTTTTGACATCAAATTCAAAATAATAATTTAAAATTAACAAATATTTAGTGTTATCTTGTATAATTTGTGAAAAACAATATTACTTATATGGGTTTTAGAATAGTTTTGGTATATTATCAATAATTGTCATGGCGCAAACTCATAATTGAGGTTATGAGTAAAAATAAATTTACATCTAAACACTAACCTCCTCGTTTCCCACAGCTTCACTTGTCCATCATACCCCGCTGATAAAAATAACGTATCACGAGTTTTGGACCAGCGTACGGACTGCACCCAACCATTGTGGGAAGTGAATGTGGTCTTTACGATGCTTTCTGAAAAAAAAAATTACCATCAAACCTATAATCCATTTCACGCAATTTGTATTTCGTAATAAGAAATAGTTTGACTGTATATATAAGAAATTCATTTAAATTTGCATGTTACAACACAAATAAATTTTTAATAGCTTTCATTACTGAAATCTTACCCTCGCAAAACTTGTAATGAAATCTGGGACGTTTTTTTAATAGGGATTGAATTATAATAAAATTAAAATATGTATTTGGTAATTATTTGTCAAATTTTCTATTATTGTTGTTGAAAAATTAGATTTAACTATAATAACATTTTGGATTTTTCTGACTCGGGCTCATTTTATTGATGATTAAATATTTTTTCTAAATTCTGTTTCATACATTGAAATTAACTTACTAATATCGAGTTTTTTTATATAATTTTTTTTTCACCACAACACTTTAACATTCAAATCCCAAACTTAACCATGCTATGTGAAAAAGACTGATCGCATTTTGTTAAGTCCATGGAAGGTCTTGGTCTTCAAAGATACTAAGCTTGATACTAGGATAGACAGGGGCAGCAGAAGTTTAGGATTTCGTCACACAGTCGAATTTTCTCTAGGAAAGTATTACACTTTATTCGAACCATTATATAAGCGCAGCGTTTAGAGTTTTTCAAGATGGCAACACTGACGCACATATAACAGAGACAGTGTAGTACCGTTGTCCGAGAATATGAGCCAAATTAATTTCTTTTTGGATAAAATTAAGGTTCATGACAAAAGAAGGGAAGGGATTACTTAGTACCTATGGGTTTATTCCCTAACTAATATTATTTTAAATATTAGCCTAAACATAAAAAAAGTTATAATTCTGCTGAACTATCACAAATAAATATAAAATTAATAAGTATTATTTATATGAAAGTTAAAAAGTGAATAAACACAATTTACCTGTAGAACGAGGATCATATAGTCGAATATATCTATCTGCGGAAGCTGTGATAATACTATTGCTCAATGGAGACCAGTCCACATCAAACAATGCCTTGTTTGCTGAAACAACAATTTACTACACATATGAAAGCTGTTAACAAATAAAATAAGGAGCTTGTTTGTGCAGTGGTTAGCGTACTTGATATTGTCTATTCTCCCTTTTTTAATCAATCACATCTTTAGGAAAGGCTGCTGGGGAGCATAGGATGAAGATCTGATTCAATTTCATCCTTAGGAAAAGCTGGAGCCCCTGCAGTGGGTGGAAAAAATGAATAGATCCACAAAGTACCCTACATCATCTAATCAATGTTCAAAAAAGTATTTAATTACTTCCTGGGGCGAGGCATGACACAGCTTTTTTTAAATGTTATTGCAAAAATAATAAAAATTTAAGTACTATTGAAACTCACCTGCAATTTCCTGTTTTATACCACCAAGCTCACAGTCCCACAGCTTCAACAAATGGTCCCAGCCACTAGAAATTACAGTGTTAAAGTCCAACCACTGTACAGCTGACACTGCCTCGCGATGTCCTTTGAGAGTGGTCAGTGGGTTCTATGCAAATAAAATACATATAACTGTCATAAATTCTACAAGAAAAAACATGTTTTCAGCATCATCATCATCATCATCATCAGCCCTTTTACGTCCCCACTTCAGGGGCTCTGGCCTTCCTTATGGATAGTCAAGGAGGATGGGCCATGACCTTCCACACTGGCCCAATGCGGATTGGAGGGTATTAACGACTGCAAATGCAGCCGGGATCAACGGCTTAACGTGCCTTCCGAAGCACGGAGTAGTTTGAGGTAATAATTTTTTTAGTCACCCATCCCGTGACCGACCTTTGCGAAAGTTGCTTAACGACAACGATCGCAGGCCGCGGTGCTTATCCACTACGCCACCGAGCTACTCAGCATAACAAGATAGAACAAAAGTGTAAAGTTGTTTCAACGAAACTGCCATCTTGTTATTAAATTTTGTATTCACAATGCTATACTGGAAAATAAAAATTTTCACCTTAATCAAAAGTTTAAAATATTTGTATAAAAAATACCAGGAACAAACTGGATTTTTTAAGCATTTTTCATGAAGAATATTTTTCAGTATAGCATTGTGAATGCAAAATTAATCAAATATAAAAAAAAAGTTTTTGGCTGTTTGGGTAGATCACACCTGAATATTGATGAAAGTACAATCTATAATAACGAAAAAAGTAACAAGTGCTTGACAAATTCATCTAATCAAAAGTTTAAAATATTTGTATAAAAAATACCAGGAACAAACTGGATTTTTTAAGCATTTTTCATGAAGAATATTTTTCAGTATAGCATTGTGAATGCAAAATTAATCAAATATAATAAAAAAAAAATCTTTTGGCTGTTTGGGTAGATCACACCTGAATATTGATGAAAATACATTCTATAATAACAAAAAAGTAACAAGTGCTTGACAAACTCATCAGTTCTGTTAGGTCCTGGGTCAGGTGTTAGGTCAGCTCAGTAGTTAAAGCAGTCGCCCATATTGCGAGAGGTTGTGGGTCAACTCCCATCTCAGAGTACCTGGGACTGATGGATTTTTTAAGCATATTTCATTAAGAATATCTACCATCTTGTGCTAAAATTTCGGAACATATCAGTTCCATTCTGTAAGAATGTGTCTTAAAACAGTAAAACTTTCTAATCATTTAATACTTACTGATAAGAGTTACTTAATTTCAAATTGCATGTGGAAGAATGGAAGCTTGTAAATTTGAGCATATATTCATAGATTTGAGCATATATTGTGAATAATAATGAAGATGGGGCCCCAAAATGAAATAAACTCATGTCCTGTGATTTTTCTTACATATAATATAAACTTTCGAAAGAAAAAAATACATACAAGGCTGTTGATGTGTAATAAAAGGAATAAATAAAGCTAACTTACTCTTGTTTTTCCTTGCTCTGGTTTACTTTTTTTCTTTGCTGGAACATTTTCTTCTTCCAACAAACCTAATAAAAATATTAAATAAAAATCTTATTTCTATTAATAAATCTCCAGTCATTTGTTTACAAAAACAAATCAACTATTATTATTAATATATTTGGCTTCAAATGCCATATTTATCTTCACCAGCCAGATCTGAATCTACAAAGCACCACGTAAAGAACAATGGTCAAAAAGGACTGTGAAAAAAAAGTTCTTGTACCAAGATGGAACTATCACCAAAATGTAGTACGAAGAATTTATTTTTAAAAGCTGGGAAAAGAAAGAAAAGTTTTTTTTAATGCAGTTTAAATGTTATTTTTTAACGCATCTTAATAATAATGTCATTCCTAGAGAAGTCCCTCCCTTTTCAAAGAACAAAATCGATTTTATTTCTGACTAATCGAATTTGATACAAATCTTATATTATTTACTAACCATATAAATCTGAGAAAATTATAAAACTTAGATTAGATTACTAATATAATTAGATGTTACTTAGAGGAAAATAGTTTATTTATAATAAAATTAAAAACTAATGATTATTAATAAGAATCGATATTACAGTATTCAATCGATTGCGACCTCGCTTTTTTAGACAAGTGTGTATATATGTGTTTTTACGCAGACCATTTTGTAACTTTGGCGGCGATTTTGTAATATCTTCTGTATTATGGGGAGCATACTATGTTCCATGGGCAGTATGGAATTGAGGTCTGGAGAGAAATACCGGATTCTCTGGATTTATTAGAATTAGACTTAAATATAAACAAAATCCTAATTATAAGGGGTAGAATTAAGTCAAGAAATTGGGAGGAAACAATATTACGTGTACATTTTAATAAATATAACATACATTTTAATAATAGAACACTGCTGTAGTTGTCTTATTGGTCTATGTACACTGGGATGCGTGCTCATATGATTACAATAGTTTGGTATTGGATGGGCCAGACACAAACAGAATGTAGCTGCTTCTGATTCATTCCATGATGTTGTAATGTAGGTACTCATGAGAGTTCTAATAAAGAAAAGAAAATCAACATGTTGTTTTGCTATATCCTTTTGAAATTAGTATTTTCACCACTAATTTATATAAGTTATAGTGTAAAATACAAAAGTAGAGTTATTGAGCGCAATCTTAAAAATTCTTTTTTTTTTTTTAATGTTCATTGGTTCACAAAAAATGATTTTATTTCTCACAGTCGATAAAAATAATATATCAGATATGGAGCAAGTTTGAAGTATTATGTGGAAGTATGTACTTCTAGGACCACAATTAGGCATTATCTGACGTGTGCTTTACATATTTCAACTGTAATACCTCTAACTCAAAATGCTACAGTTTAAATAATACGACATAACTTCAAAAACATAATACACTACTAGCTTTCGCCAGCGGCTTCGCACACGTGGACCCTAGGGAAATGTTTAGTGGGATAAAAAGTATCCTATTATCTAAGTCAGCTTACACCCTATCTGTATACCAAATTTCATCAAAATCCGTTCAGTAGTTTCGGAGTGATTGATGTACAAACATCCAAACATCCAAACAAAGAAACTTTCACATTTATAATATTAATAGGATTACTTGATACTCCCAGCTTCTAAAATATATATTTATTTTCTTTCTTTGTTTTAACTGCATAGGCAAACAAAATAACATATGTTTCATCAAGTTATGTTTTATTTGATTTTACTAGTCCAAGCATGTTAGGCAGATGGCCATTGTTCTTTGAATTCCTAATAGTATTATATAAAAAGTTCGAAACTGCATTACTTGTACTCCAAAGGCAGATATTTGTGTCCCAACTGCCAGTTGCAAACCGAAGGGAATCTGCAGACACAGCTATACATTCCACTCCCTTGTCGTGGTTGCGACAAGTCACAACACATTCAACCGAATTGTTCTTGACATTCCACACCCATAACATTGCTGACTGATCATGAGAGCCACTGAAAAATATTTTCATTCTAATATTAATAAACACCTTTTTAATCTTGCACTTTCTTTTCCATAGTAAATTATGTTACATACCTAACAAACACACCTTGGTCACCATTGAAACTAACCCAAGAAACAGCTTTCACTGGTGATGTATGTCCTGGGATTGCTAATTTATGTTGACCCTTAGTGCTCCAAATGTGTATACTGTTATCGTAACTACCTGTTAATATCCTAAAGAAAATATACATTTGAAATTAATATATTTTTTTAATAAATTACAATATAGTTGGTAAATTACTTTAATAACCAATTATTATACTGACCAATTTTTGTTTGCTTGCACTGCTGACACCCAATCATCATGCATCAAACAATCCTGAGGTGATGGAGCAGGAAATCTTTCAATATATTCAATGTCAAGGGTATCCTCAGTGGATGCTCCTTTTTCTTGTAAAAGTTCTGAGAGTGAAGTGCATAGTAGCTCCCCACATACTAAGAAATCAAATTCTACAGACTTTTGTGAAGGGTTATTTTCCTTCAACAGTGCATTAATGAGAGTGTTAAGTTCTGAAGACTGAACGTTACTTTGAATAGCATATGGACTATCTGGCACAGCATATCTGCAAAACATTGAGAGAAACATTTGAAAATGAAACAATGACCACATTGCTGCGCGTTCGAAACCGCGTAAGAGCAGTTTGTAAATACCGCGTAACAGCAAAACGCGCAAAATTGAAATATCGTGCCAGCGGACTCTAAACGCCTATTGGCTAATATTAGACCTCACCTGATTTGAATTATCCAGTTAGAAACGTCAGTTGTGCTATCGAAACAATACCGCGGAACAGTAGGAGGCCTGAAGTTGGAAGCAAGTGCGCGTATCTACAACGGCCGTAAGAAAAATGTAACGCGATTAGTGTGCGCTCCCGAAAATTATTATTTTACAGTGATTAACTAACATGTAAGTATGATTTAATTGTTTATTATTTTTTGTTTGTAATGTGTTTATGCTAATATATTTAAATAACATGTAATTCTGTTTAATTGAAGGGTTCTAACTGATATAACCTCTAACAAGTATTTACGCGGTATTGACATTGCTCGATTTATTTTGTTTTGTTAAGTTACGCGGTATTGCATTTTTCTGTAGCTAATAAATTCATTTCTTATTTATAGATAAATTCAATCTCAAGTAGCTAAGTACCCAAATGATGGAGGACCAAGACAACTTTATTTTAGAAAGAGTGGATATTAATGAAAACGTCGTAACTTTGCGAGAGCTATCTAAAAGGCGAAAAATACTGTTACAGAAGAAGAGAGAAATATTAAATAGATTTAATTATCAAAATCAAGCAGCAATACAACCAGTGTCAACCCCTTTCTCTGAGAAGGAAAATTTAACACTACAGAAACCTTTATCTGAAAATTTAACATCCGAGTTTACTACACTTACGACGATTTTGGACCCTATAGAATCAATGCAAAATGAGGATTGTAATGTTCCTCCACCTATTGAATCTGATGATGTGGCAGAAAATCTAATTAACGACATTAATTTTACGTCTGATGATCATTCTTTTGTCACTTTATCAGACATTACTAACTTAAAACCATTATCGCCAGAATGTACAGAGTGGTTTCCCGAAAGAGAAATAGAAGAAAATAACAAAAATAAAAAAAAACGCAAAGGAGATAAAGATAATTGGAAGAGAATGAAAAATAAGAGACAGAGAATGATGGGAAAAGAATACATTGGATTTAAAAAAGAGGGTACAAAATTTTTTCAGAACGATCTTAAGCCAGCTAGAATAATGGGTCCAATATGTATGTCAACAAAATGCTTCAGTGGTAAAGCTATGTACTGTTCAAAATTAACTGAGGAAGTTCGATCTGAAATATTTAATAATTACTGGAAAATGACTTGGCAAGGGAAAAAAATGTACATATATTCAATGGTAGATAAAAAACCTACAACTAGAAAAACCAAGAGTTCAAATTCAAGACGCAGTGATACTAAAATTTACTATTTAAAAGTTAATGATAAAAAAGAAAGAGTTTGCCTGAAGACGTTTTTGGAGACATTAGGTATAAAAGAATGGACGGTTCGCTATTGGCTTGGAGATGGGATAAATAATAATAAACCTCAAACAACAGAAGTCGTACAGAAAGAATCCAAAAAAGAATCAGCTAGAAAATATTTAACTGCACTACCGAAACTACCGTCCCATTACTGCAGAGTATCTACTTCAAAGTTGTACTTAGAACCCATCATAAACTCAAAATTACAATTGTATCGTCTTTATATCGACTGGTCGGTTTCAGAAAATAAACCTGTGACATCTAGAAAAGTATTCGAAAGCGTTTTGTTCGAGGAGAACATTGGATTGTTTCAACCGAAAAAGGATGCTTGCGACCAGTGCTGTGCTCACAAAGTTGGCAATTTGTCAGATGAGCAGTATGCTAAACATATTGAACGAAAAGACAGAGCTAGAGCTGAAAAACATTCTGACAAAGAATTAGCACAAAAAGGAATCATACATGCAATAACAGCAGATCTTCAAGCAGTCAAACTATGTCCTTTTCTCAATGCCAGTGCACTTTATTTTAAAACAAAACTTGCCGTGCATAACTTTTCTGTGTATAATCTTGGCAATAATGGAGTCACGTGTTACTGGTTTGATGAGACTGCATGCGATTTAAAAGCCACTACATACGCGTCTTTCTTCGTAGACTTCGTAACTAAATTACTGGATAATGATTGCAAGGCTGTTGTTATATTTACAGACGGTTGTACAGCACAGAATAGAAATAATGTTGTATCGAATGCGTTGTTGCGCTTGGCTATGGCTAGGAACGTAGTAATAACTCAAAAGTACTTGGAGAAAGGTCACACGCAGATGGAAGTTGATTCGGTCCACTCGGTGATTGAGAGGAAGTTGAAAAATCGAGAAATATTTTTACCCTCACAATACGCCACCATAACAAAGGAGGCCAGGAAAGTCCCAAGCCCATATGAAGTTATTACACCTGATTTTACATTTTTTAAAGACTTTGGCCATAAAGATTACCTGATTTATGAATCAATACGACCTGGTCGAGGAGCGGGTGATCATTGTGTTGTTGATGTAAAAGCAATAAGATATAATCCAAATGGCACCATAGAATACAAACTCGACTTTTCAGATGATTTTGTCCCGTTGCCTAGAAGACCAAGGAAGATTACGTCTTTGATTAACAGTACACCTTTGCTTTATAAATCCAGGCAACCAATTTCCAAGACAAAGTATGATCACCTACAGGAGCTAAAAAATTTCATACCTAAAGACTGCCATTCCTTCTATAATAATTTACCTTTCAAATAATTTTAAGATACTATTTTAAGTGTGAAATTCCGTAATTCAGAAAATTTTATTAGTATTTCAGAGCAAGTACCAAACAGATTATTGTTGTGATAAAACTTAATTAAAAACATTCAAGTACCTTATACAAGGTTTTGTGATGAAAGTTAATTTGTTATTAGTATGGAAGAACCTAAGAGAAGATTTATTTTTGTTATTCTTAGTTTATATTCTTAAAGACATAATTATTTTTGTTTTCTTTTTAGGTGTGTAGGTATGTATGTACCTACCTATGCATAATGTTTAAGAAATAATAAATATTTATTAGTTTTAAATGATTATTTTGATCTCTTGCATAAAAAGTCTGAACTCTTATAATAAGTTTTCCAGTACCCAGTAAAAAATTAGAATATCTTTTTGTAAACTGGTTTCTATAATAAATACCTACATAATCTTTTTCGTTAATTATATTGATTTAGATTTGTTTTTTTGTAATAATAAATACAATTCTTTACTAAATTGTTTAATTTCAAAACCGCGTACCTAATAAAAGTATCCCACTTATTTTGTAATGTGTTAAAACAATACCGCGTAAGTGATTTTACACAAAATCTAAGCCAACCACGAGTAAATTTACGTAATTTTCCAATAAAGAAAGGTGTCAAGAAATAGTCGTTAAGTTCAGTCGGTAATAAGAATTGAAATTACCGAGATATTATGTTTTTTCTTGTTCCTGTAAAATCATCAAAAAGCAAATACGCGGTTTTTACAAGTTGCTCTTACGCGGATTCGCACGCGCAGTGCATTGGTGCCGGTAAACTTAGAATAATAAACTTACTGCTCTTGTTTGGTAACAAAACGCACTTGCAGCTGGACGTCAGCTATTTCTTTTGACATTTTGTGATATAAATTCCCATTTATTGTTCTATTATGATTTTTAGAAAACTTTTTGGAAACTCGTGGAAACAGCGATTTTCAGCGACAACTGGCGATCACAGACTTCTTAGTAGGTATGTCAAATCTTGTTTTGAGCGGAGGAATCTAGTATTTCCAGCCAAATACTAAATATCTTATTATTTAGTCTGTATCTTTGATATATGAGACAAAAATAAACTTTTAATCCCAAAACAAAAGTCAAACAAACGGGGGAGAATATTTTGTATGGTAATTTTTTTATGGAGACTGCAAGAAGATTACATATTTATTTGAATAATGTTTAAAATATTTAAATATAAAATATTAACATCAGACAACAGAAATAGTGGCAGTGATTGACTAAATAGCAGCGATATTTTTTACCCAAAATCGAGTCGTATAGATGCTATGAGTTTAATTAATATTTCCTACATTTTATTAAAAGTAAAACGTAAATATATTAAAAATTATTTATTAAGCCAAAGCTTTTAATTATATTTAAATAATAATTATTAATAAAATATATTTTTATATTTTAATAAACGGCGCATAAAAAAAAAACATTATATTTAACTAAACTGTATAAGCTAGATCCCACTGCGTTTTAAAAATCTTTTTTTAAGAAATAACTATAAGTCAAAACTTTTTGAGGTTATGTCGTATGGTGTTATTATTGTGTGCTGTTTGAGTTTAACTGAAATGTGAATAGAAACTTTTAAAATGGGTGTAAAAACATTTCAGGATAATACTACAGATGTTAAATACACTTTCCACAGAAAAGCTGGTAGAAGTATTATTGAACGTCGTTCTGTATTTTCACCTGATGGAGAGTAAGTTTAGTCTCCCAAAGAGATCCCTACATTATTACAAATATCAGCTTGCATTTAAATTGTTATGTAGTAACTGTATTTAATAATTACCTACTTAATATTATTTTAGATCAATAGCGATAATTGTTGAAAATGTAGTAAGAGTTTATAATATACAAACGGGTGACTGTGTCCGTACTCTGGAAACGGAACATCCTGTTAATGAACTTATTGCAATAGAATTCCCAGTAGATGAAGACTACAACTTTTATGGGTGTTCCAAAAATGGATGTATTACGACCTGGACTTGGGAAAATGGAGCAGTTCTCCGGGAAACGGTGAGATATGCTATTCCAGACTTTGTCTACAAATTGTTATACTGATGAAAATGATAATTTTATAGTATTTTGTATAATAAAATACAATTTTTTATTTCAGAATCTTGCAATTCCAGAAAATACTCACATAGTATCCTTTAATTTAATTGATAGCAAAGAATGTTTTGTTACAACAACATATGGTCTATACAAAACACTACATCTTGGTACATACTCAATTAAAACTGGAGAGTTATTGCAAAAATATACTGAATGTAAACCATTATCTACGGACTTGGTTCAAGTATCACTTGGATGGTGTTATGGTGATAGATTTGCTGCTATATCTAATGGAACAAAATGTATTTTTATTCAAAATCTGAAGCAACCACATGTTAAAACAGAGTAAGGGGTTTTTATTATAATTGTATATTTATATGAGAAACTAGCTGTTCAAAATGCTAATAAAAATTATACTTGTGTGTATATGAATGAATATCACTACCTATATCAATATTAATATTTATTTTGTTAAGATTAATAAAGAATTTATTTTTATTCATCATTTAAATAACAGAAGTATTTAAAAACGTCAAAGACATATTACTTCTTTAAATACTAGATTTAAATATCTTGTATAAAATTGGAACATTTTGGAAACATTCTAAATCAAACTGCCACCTTCTTTTTCGATTATTTTTGAAGGAATATAACAAAGCAACATTTTTCTAAGATATGATTTATTTGATAATATAAATGACAAAATACTTTGTGTTTATAATGACTTACTTTTTAGGATAGTAAATCACAACAAATTCCGTGTACTTGCAATAGCAGCCCATACAACACAAAATGCTATAGCCATATCGGACAGCTTAGGTCGAATCACTGTAATCCGAGGCAATTTATATGACTATACAAAAATTGCTAGGGAAGTGTTACATTGGCATTTTTTACCACCAATGGCTGTGTGCTTCTCAATACTTGGTAAGTATTTTTTAATATTACCATATTAATTGACATGCTCAGTGGAACTGTGGTTAGCACACTCCGTGTATTATACTTTTGTTAAGCAACTTTCGCATCTGCACTCGTTAATACCCACCAAACTGCACTAGTAGGTAACCGTAGGTCATGGCCCATACTCTCTATTCAATTCCATCCACAGGGAAGGTCTGACCACAGTTGATGTTATTGATTGTCAATTTAAACAAATTCTTTGATACATCTGGCATCTGTACTTTCTCCACAGCATGAGAACTCTTAGTCTACATTTAATTGTCACTTTTCTCTGGTCTAGAGATATTGTATGGGCGCACCTGAGAAAGGTCACTGTTAAATGAAGACAAACATTCTTGTATTAGTCATGTAAGATAATTTATGTTTAATAATAACTGGAGTAAATAGTTATGTTTTCCAGGCCAGACCAACCTCTGAGGTTTTCCTTAGACCTAAACCTTTGTTTAGGTCTATATATTTTTTTCCTCTATCTCCTTTGATTTTATATAATTTAAAATATTTTCCAATGGTTTCTTAAAAGATAACGAAGTTAGAAAAACATTAAATGAAATAAGAAACTTTCTTCTTTGTTTCTTCAGGTAATTATCTCTATTCTGGTGGAATGGAAAAAGTATTAATTAAGTGGACAACAGGTCACCTTACAAATAAAGCCAATGAGAAAATGTTTATCCCGCGTTTACCTGGAATGATTAGGTATATTACAGCAAATAACACACACATTGCAATAACCCTTACCAACAACTGTAAGTATTGTATCAATTTATGAATTAAATTGCAAACCGAACTTTGCCACATAAACATTAGGTAATTTTAAATGTGTGTTTGATCTAATCAATTTGTTGTTTTACAGCTGTTGTGATAGCAAGTTCACAAATGCGTGTTGTATCAACCATCTTAGAATGTGGTGGGCTATCGCCGGTGGCTCGCGCAGTTGGCACCTCTTTGATATATCATAAACATTTAGGTGCACTCCTCATTGGTGGACGTACTGGTCATCTGCAACTTTACTCCACCACTACTGATAAAGTGTTGTACAATGTAAGAAAGTTAATTTTGCACTGTATTATTACATTATCACTCTATTTTCATTATGCTAGAATTTATCAGTTTTATCTGAACTGCAATTATGTGTTTGGCAAATGTTTAGTGTTACCATTTAGTGTCATCATAATTATCAGCCCTTAACATCCCCTATGCAGGGGCTCAGACCTTACTTGTGGATGGTTAAGGAAGATAGGCCATATCCCTTCATACTGGCCCACTTTAAATGCAAACTGAACTATTAGCTTAGTGCGCCTTAAAAATAATATACATACCAAATTAAAAACCATTTCAAATAGCTCTAATATTAACGGAAAGCTCATCATTCATTCAAATTTATGTATTAGTAGCTTTCCGCCAGCAACTGAGTCTGCATGGTCCTGTATTATACATATAATCCTTCCTGAGTAATAAATGAGTTCCCGACGCATCTTTTTATACAATCATTTATTCAAATGTCTTTCTCATGTCTTTGATTTGATGTTTTGCACCATAATTTCATTAATATTCCAGATAGACATCACAGGACAAAACAATATACCACCAAGTCGTAGAAACCTTCTACCACTTGAGACAGAAGTGACGTGTGCTGCCATCAGTGGCAATGGCTCGTGGCTGGTCACTTCCGAATATAGAAACGACGGCCTCATGTACCCTGAAGAGATACTCAAATTCTGGAAGATGGAACAGAAACACGCTTCACCTTTCAAACTTAACACTTGCGTCAACCTCTCTCACGGCGGTTGCAATGTAGTCTCTTTAGCACTAAACAAAAATGGCGATTATTGTGTATCCGCCGGTGCCGACCAAAAGATCCGAATATGGAAATGTGAAACGAGCAAATCTCCAAAGAAGACCTATTGGAGCTGTCTGACGGCATGCTACTATTCATCAGGCATCGCACAGTTCTCAGCTAGTAACGTTTTAAACAACTTCAAAATCGGTGAGGGTTTCCAATCAGGTGAAGTGGAAAACTTTCCATATTTGACAGATTTAAATAAAACGAATGATGTCATTAAAAAGCTTTTCAACATACATAAAGAACAGTCGTTGTTTGATGATGGTGTATATGATGTAAATGTTAAGAGGAATGAAGAACATGATATGGGGGGCGTGGCAATATCACAGGATGGTTCACTCATAGCCGCTTGGTTCGGTTGCAAATTGACATTATGGGATACGCATCTGTGTAGTCTGAGAACAACACTATCTCATCCTGCTTTACGACCTAAAGGTATTCACGTGAAATTCGGTAACAAGGATGCCGCACACTATGTGAGTAATAGATATCGTGTTTCATGTTATAACCTAACCTAACCACAAAATAGCATGAAAATGCAAAAGATGAACAAAATGTGATTACCACAGTATTCTATTTTTATAAGATAAGTATCTTATGTTTCAGTTGGTCTGTACTACAGAACAGTGTGTGGCAGTTTGGAGTCTGCTATCGCTTACTGTAAAATGGATGGTCCAAATAAACCCCACTTACCTTGCGGCTGACCCATGCTCTAACAAAATGGCGATAACCACTTCTAATAACGATGGTGAGTTTTGATTATTACTTACATTTGTTTGTGTCATGTTTTGTATAAGTAGTGAAATACTTTTCTCTAGTTATACAAAATTTATGCAATAATATCAATATAATATACAATATGACACAATACAATATGAAATTGAAGTACCTAAATTTTTACATCAATAAATAAACCTTAATATTGATGACCTCACAATAACTAATTTTCAAAACTAGGCAACGAAACTTTTTACTTAGCATCTGCGATGCGGAATTTAAGCAAGGGTTGGTCATAGGATGGGTGACCAAAAAATGTTTATATGAAGCTCCTCCATTCTTTGGATGGCACGTAAACCGTTCGTCTGCATTTGTCAAGACCCACCAATCAGTGCTGTGCCCGCGTGGTGGGTAGTAGCCTAGTGATTATTCTATAGTGTGTATATTGTGTATAGTAGTAAATCACCAATAATGCCACAAGACTACATAAATAACAATACTTCTATATTTTTCATTATTCATTACATTACATTACATTAGCATTTGGCTTTCATACAAAAAAAACTATTTTTCGTCTCACTCCAGCCTAGTGACAGACAGATGAACGGGAAGACAGCAGTCTTAGTAACAGAGATCCCGATTTGCCCTATTGGTACGGAACTCTAAAAAATAATTGTGTAGGAAATATTGAGTAGAGATGATGACTATTTTTTTATGTAGATTGTTGAAAAATTAAACACGTTTTTTTTTATTTTTTCGTAATCATTAAATTACGGCGATACATTGAGTTAAAATGTGACATGACGTTACGCTTTTGTAGATTTTCTACAAAACTGTGACGTAGCGAGCCCCCACACCTCAATTTTAATCACGTGATGTCTTTTTCAGCATTTTTAAACCCCCCCTCCCCCTTGGTGATACATGGTGAGGTTTAAGACTACCCCCCATCCATCCTAATCACGTGTATTTTTAGTACCTACAAAAAATCTTAATTTTTGACGCCGCTTTTCGGTTTAGTAATCGCACCTTTGAGAAAAAAATAAATACACGTGATATATTACTTCGCCCCCATCCACCCCTCCCCCGCCCCTTTCGAGCCTCACGTGATTAATAGACGGCCCCTTATTAAATTAAAGCAAAAAATACGTATTTAATATTTTTCTGTTATCTGACTGACGGACTAAATAGTAATTCTTATTTTTTATCCAGGCATCATCCGTGTTATGAACTCATAGATCAAACAATGTTTATTTTGTTAGTCGTAGATATCTAGTGCTGTGAAATAGAGTTGCATTTACCATTGTACTATCTACCTAAAGTCCAATATGTATTAGTGCAATGTCTGCCTCGCACATTTATGGTGACAGATATATAATCTCTGACTTCATGTATATAGCACATGACAATATGCAAGTAGTTGAGATTCTATTGTGATGCTCTCATTACGTAAAAATTTGCAGAATTGACCTGCTGGTGTTTTGATAATAACCCTGTATAAACTAACTATCATGCGTAATTTTGTTTTAGTGTTCGTGTTCAGTCCGCATAGTTCTTCACCAATATTATCCAGAAAATGCCTGATAAATCCTAAGACTGGTGTATTTAAACTGTGCACTTTCGGTGCCATTTCAACTAATAACGACATAAGACTCTACGTGATGCGGAATGATTCCGTAAGTTTTTCATTTTTTATTTATAACATTAAAACAAAAATTTCAGAAAAATAAACACGTCATCTGGCAGCAGTCGCCGTCTTGACGTCACACAATGGCGGGTCGTGTTTCGAGTGACGTGTCACACAAAAAATATCGAATTTAATCATGCGATTTTATGACCTAAAAACAGACTAACCTACGTTTATTTCAATGTTAACTTTAGTTTTTGTCAATTTCGTGACTTATTTTTTACTATCGAAACTACCCTATGAGGAGTATTATACATGTTTGATGCAGAACTTATTAAACTTTCACCGCTCGAAAAGTCGATTGAGATCAAACCATACAGTCGCGATATCAAATCCGAACGTTTTCGTGTGATAGACACAGCATGGTCCAAGTTGGGAATCTATAGATATATATTATGATTTATTTACTTTTAAACTATCGCGCTGCATTACTAAATACTTATAGTACCAGGTTTTAGACGCGATTTTACACTGATCTACGCCGATGTTTCGAGACTGGAGCAGTAAGTCTACGCCTCTGCATCCGAGGATGAATCTTCTTCCACCCAATAAACACTAGCGGTGTCCCTATTCCGCACATGAGCCGTATTCAGAAAATTCACCGATTGCGAAAAAATAGGTTGCGTTTTAGCAAATACTGGATTCCACGCTTGTGACAATTATATCCGTCTTCCCGATTGAAGTTATTAAGGTGTTTCTTAATTTCAATCACTTCACACACTACTCTTGAATAAAAGTGGCGATCTGTGGAAAGGCCTTGCTTACGGTAAAACTCGATCCAGTAATTTGTGCCCCTTTCTAATAGGTGATCTGCAATGGTTGACTTACTTTACTGATGATTTTTGACAGCTGCTATTCTGCGAAACGTCAGCGCAGGTCAGTGTCAAGTAGCGTCTAATATCCGGTATTATATGTATTTAACATATTATGATTATTATTATTTTTTATGCATTACTTACGGTTGAAGGTACCTGATAAGTACCCGCTCGAGGTACAAGCAACTAAGGTCTATACTTATTACTTTACCACTTGACCAGGCAGTTAAATAACAAGAAATATATTAACCTACACCTAGAGACCTCGAAGGCTAGGTACTCGTATAATCAACTATCTTCCGATACAATATTTATTCCTTATTTTCCAGGAAATTTACTGCTTAGAGCCAGAACATAAAGAAGAGGGAAGCTTAGAAGTAATGACTCGACGAAGGCTTCCTAAATCTAAGTTCAGCACATTATTAGCTGAACAGCAAATCTCAGAAGTCCAACCAGCGATGCCGCTAGACGTACAGTCATTCGACGTGACTTCAACAGGACACGATGCCCTATTACAAGTAAAGTGCAAATGATGCTTTATTTTAATTGATAAGATATTACCGCTTTTGTGCGGTTTTGTTTCCTCGATAGCCCAGGATAATAAGCCGCTGGTCGTTGTCTCCTGTGTTGTTTTGGGATAGTTTTCTGTTCTGCGTACTGCCCCTTCACATAGCGTTGATTTTCCAAGTATTTGCTGTATACACTTTCGCAATTTAAGAATAGGGGTGTAGACAACTTTTTTAATATTTTTATTAAATATATTTACATAAAATATATCTAATTAATAATTTTTAAAATTCATATAATAAGTTTAAATCTAAAAATAATTTCGAAATTCAAAAACGCCACTTCTGTTATGGAGTCGCTATGACGTCACGGCCTTCTGAAACTAATATTGTTCTATGTATGCATAAGGTTGAATTCTCTAAGTTCTGATTCATATCTTACTCGTGTAAGAAGGGCGTGACGTCTATTGCTGTTTGCTGTCACGTGACAACGAGCATAAAATATTTGTTTTTTCATAATTAATTACAGCTTAAGCTTCAAATTATAAATAAAATAGGCATAAAAGTGTGATTACCGGTAATAGTATATTAAACACTATCAGAAAAAAAATGTATTTATTTGGAATAAAACCTTGCGGGATCGACCTTTCGCTTTGGCAGCGAATTTGCAACAAACAACTCTCTATATATATTTATACGATATATTTATTGATTGTGCTACCATATCCAATGTTATAAATGTATTTTAAAACCGAACATCTTTACGGTCCTTTATTTGTCAGAATACAAGTAATTATAGTTACAAAGTACAGTATTTTACAAACTGCAAATATTTTTATTATATTATTTTATTACATCATGTATTGTTTATTTTTCTCGGAATAAAGTCCACACGTTTGCTCCAGTACTTTGAGTGAGTGAATAAGTAAAATATTTTATGTATATACAAGATAAAGACAAAATATTGTGACTTACAGTAAAAGTGACTTACAGCTGTCATCAAACCAAGCGTTCGTATATAATACGGATATAATATTAATAGTGTTATGTCGTCCTCACACATCTATGGTGACTATAATAATATTGGACATTTGAGAAGAAAGATAGCAAATAGTACAATGGAAAAATGTAACTAGTTGAGATTCTATCGAAATGCAATTATTATGTAAATATTTGCTGAATTGAAATTAAAAAACCTACTAGAATATTCCATAATGTCGAACCGTAGACCATAATGTCAAACAAAACATTTAGAGCAGCTTCAACAGAATCGGTTTGGTTTAATTTTTTGTGAAAATACAAAACTGTTTAGTTCTCCATTTACATAGTCAATATGCTGGTTAAATTAAGACGGTTATGTATAATTTAAAATTTCATTTTGGAAATGCTTAAAACAATGATTTCATTTTCAGTTCTTGACAGCGTCTCCGCATATGGTGCCGCCAGTCAGTTTGCTCTGTACATCGTTCCTGCAGAACATGTCCGGACACCAACAACCAGAGGAATCTCCCGAAGACCATCAGGAACAAACTATGGAGGTGGACTCTGATTCTGAGAGTGAACGTGAAGATATACCAAAATTCAATGGTCCATTTGCTCCGAAGGTTACCCAACTTTGGACTCCTAATTACGAGGATATAAAAGAAAAACGATTAAAGAAAATTTTAAAGGAACCTTTTTTGGACTTACATACTACTCAATCTATGTTCATCGCTTAACATAAGTGTATTAAATAAACTACAATAACCTTTGCAATGTTTTACTCAATATTTGGTGACAAAAAAAATATTTCAAGCTACTCCGTTCTTCGAAAGGTACGAAAGCAGTGGCTTAACTACAGGGTGGCAAGTCGGCAAAATGTCATGCTTACTCCTGCAATTTATTATTACACAATTAGTAAAAAAAAATAGACTATCCGATGAATTTTCCACGAACCTCAAATGGTAAAGTTACGCCACTGTACGAAAGGCCCGTCTGAATTTGCAATCGTTAATATACTCCAATCCCAATTGAGTCAGCTTGGAGGGTCGGGGACTCCTTAACCATAAGGAAGGCCTGAACCTCTGCAATCTTTCTGCAGTACGCACGTAAAAGTGTTGATGGTGACTAAATATCGATGACAGATTTCTGAAAAACATTTAAAGGTCTTCTGGCGGGGCCACCTGATACGAATATAAAAATTTACAAATAGAATAGAATACAATAATTCTTTATTGTACAAAAACACCAATTATAGGTAACAATAACATAAAACAAATAGTACAATCGGCGGCCTTATCGCTAAGAAGTAATGTCAATTATACAACCCTTTAAATCTTTTTATTTTCTATAACATGGCATTTTCATTGACCATTCACATGAGTATCATAATAAAAACAATAGCATAGACAAATAGTAACAATTTTAACGCAAATAAAACTTGAGAATGTCAGTGATGCTAGTGTCTTATCGCAAATTAAGTAAACACAAATTGTATAATTTATTTGCAAATACTCTTATCCTTTGTAATAAAACAACTCAAACTCCATTTAACGTTCAACGTCTATCAAGCTAACACAAGAAAATGGACTTGTTGACTAAAAATGAGGTTGAGAATATAATAAAGCAACTTGGCTATAGAAATGTGATAAGTTGGTCAGTGACAGAATTTTCTGATATGTTAATAGGATATTTAGGAGAACACCTAACATTATTAATAGACGTCTTAATTGATGACGTAACAACAAAAAAACTGAAATGCTTTATAAAATGTATGCCAAGATTCGACGAGTGGAAATCAAGGTATATAAAGGAATTGACATTTTTCCAAAAGGAGTACGTGATGTTGAACGATCTTTTTAAAAGATTTGAACAAGGTACGTAATTTTTGTTAACTTATTGAAGTAGAGCTACCAGATATTGTTCAACATTCAGGAAAATCTTTCCCTCCAAAATGCAAAAGTTTCCACTACCTATCGAATTTATGTGCAAAAAAAAAAACTAAAATTTTCGTCTTCATTTTCAAATACTTTTATCATGTTATTTTGGTAATCGATAATTAATAAAAAAAAACAAGGTCTTGATTTGTATCGCAAGTTGGATATTGGAGCAGAGATCCTATAATTAAATCTATCTAACCAAACTCGACGAGGCTGCGTCCTTTAATTAAGTTCCCGTGGCCACCTTCCAATTCCATCATCAGACCCAAACAATATCCAAAACTCGATGGGAATAATTAGTAGTATTAGAAAGATCTCATTGCTATCTTTCGGCACTATCATCTGGGTGCGAATTCATTACTCTAGCCACATGATACGACATCTTAGCGAATGTTATGATGTACGGTATTTATTATACTTATGCGATATTTCGTTTTATTTTACTACCTTGTCTTTCAGTCTTGTTTTGGTCGATAAATTTGGGATAGGTAAATGACCAAGTTCGAAACACAGATATCAAATATATATTCATCTTTTATTTTTTCGTTATTAAAGTACAGATCAAAGTAGGAAAATAAAGAAATATCACCATAACAACCCTAAGATGTCATATACTATGGCTAGAGTTATAGCTAGAGGAGTTAATATTAGAGAGGAGTTCATATTAATATTGTATCTGCTCAATTAAATAGATTTGCCCACACGAACACAAAAATGTACGAAAACTATGTACTTACACACTTAATAGCATGTGACGTCTATTTTTATCTCTTAACTAATTTAAATTATCTCTATAGTCAGAATCTAATAAGTTGTATTCTTTTGAAGGAACGGATAAATGGCGCCCTACTTGTTTACTCATCAAAAAAGACATTTTTGTATTTGAAGATGTTACTGTCTTGGGATATAAAATGCCAGATAGCCGTAATACGCTTGCACTTAATGAAATCAGGGCATGTGTTAAAAAATTAGCCAAGTTTCATTCCCAGTCTTACATCTTTGAAGAAAAAAGAAGCAAAGAAATCAAAAGGACTTACAGGATCTGGGATGAATACAGCGAATACTTACGAGAGCCAGAGAAAAGTACGAATTGGAGAAACGCAGGGAGAAATGGAGTGATAGACTTCTTGAAGGCTTTTTCCAAACATAAACACAATGAGATATTCATTAATAATATAGAGTCAATTGTAACAAAGTTATATGACGACGCATTAGCGCTCATGCAACCTAGTTCGAAGTATAGAAATACAGTTGTTCATCGTGATCTTTGGACCAACAACATATTTCTTAAGAAGGAATGTGATGGCAAAATTCATGCCATGTTTGTTGACTTCCAAACAGTTATTTATTGTTCTCCAATGCTGGATTTATCGTCACTCATTTACTTCAATACAGATAGAGATGTAAGGGAAAACAACACTGATGAATTAGTAAATCTTTACTATGAAAGTTTATCTAAAGAATTGTCAGCATCAAGCATTAATGTTAATGAAATAATAGACAGAAAGACTTTAAAGGAATGTTACGAAGAAAGTGTTGTGTTTGGTTTAACTCAAGCGACATTGATTGTACCTATTGTGTCAATGACCGCGACGACCAGGAATGAAATGTTCTGCCAACCCGACAAATCACATAGAGTGAACGAAGTTTCTCGAAGTAAAGAGTTTATAGAAACTGCATTGAAAGATGACCACTATCGTTACCGTGTTACAGATTTGTTTGAAGAGATTGTTGATCGTTACATACTTCATTCTAAAAAATAATTTAATTAATAAAATGTTATTATAAAATACCGAAATAATATAAAAATTACTCTCTAACAAGCTGGAGTGTTTGTAGTAAACGCATTTGAGTTTTATTTTAGTCAATAGGGTATAAACATACGACTAAGAATATTGGACTTCAGGTAGATAGTACAATAGCCAAATATTTTGAGATTCTATTGAGATGCGATTATTAGGTACATACATAAACATTAACAGAATTGACATATAGGTTACCACAGTATGTATTTCCGCAGTTGGTTCTCAACTTTACACTCAATGTGTTAAATTTTAACACATTATAGTTCGATAGTTAATCGAGCTGAGAAATTTTGTATGACTTGACTTATCGTTGACTGTAAATTTTCTAAACAGCCAGAGGATGGAATTTTAAGTCGTTAGTCCAGGCTGCAGTTGCGCTTTTCCAATCTAAAATGTGATCCACGTTTGCAAACCAGCCCTGCGATTCTGTAAAAATTCGAACCCGAATTTGAATTCTCTCAGGCGTCTGAATTCACTTCAAAAGCGGCATTCGCTCAACCCTGAATTTGGTAATAATAATGTTCCGTGGCGTAATTGAAGTGAGTTTCGAAATAATATGGGAATAGAATATCTGTGACTTGTTGTAATCTTGTTTTGTATTTTTATACAAAAATGGAATCAATAGATTTTCTACGCTAAATCACGTGAATTCGGCCACATGAGTGAATTCGAATTTTTACAAAATCGCTCTGCAGCTCTTCTAGAAAGGTGACTTTACTTATAGAAGTTGTAAACCAAACTCCGAACACAATAAACAGGGTGTGTTTGAAATAATGGCTTGATTCACAAATGTTCTACAGAACAACTTGTTTCTTTCATTTTTAGTACGATTTCGCAGTCGTGTTATTTATGTTTTAATTTGTATATTTAAAAGGTTGAAGTCGGTTCTATTTTTTTGACAAAAAAGTAGTCCACTTATAGCGCCTAATTTTCCAGACTCTTATTTTGAAGTACTTTTTTATCACTTTGCGAAGATCATTTGTTATCATTTCGTGGAATCTGCTTATTAATTAATTCATTATATCTATTCTTTCTTTGTTATTTAAGTATTTATTTATTTAGTGATGTTCACTATATTATTATCTTTATATTAACGAACGACGCATTAAAATTCGTTGGGTAGTTAAATATATATCAGCGTACAAACAGCGGGAAGTGACTTTGTTTTATACTATGTATAGATTAGTCTAATACCCATTTTCACTGACCTAGAACAAGGCATAGCTTAACTAGAAAACGCCTAATAAAAGATTAGTTTCTTTCGTTTCTTTTAATCCTTTCATATACGCAAATGATTAACACACGGCACCGCATAACGAATATCATAACTTTAAATATTGCTTAATTTCGTTGGGTGTTTCCTAATCAATGGTGAAATGCATTTTTACCTTAGACGATTCCTAAACATTTAGGCGAAAAATTTGGGCAATTATAATTCCTCAGACTATCTTCACAACAACTCCGGACCTTTAATTATATTTAAGTAAATAATACAGAAATATTTAAAATCACCATTAAAATTTGTTTTTAGAGCCTTGTCACGCTTTTTTACATTTTCTTCAAAACTATGATGTAACGAGCCCCCACTCCTCAATTTTAATACCTCTTATCGAAAATATTTTTATTAAATTGAAGTAAAAAAATACGTATCTAATATTTTTCCATTACAAGACTGGCAGACTTAATAGAATTTTGTTTTTTCTGTGATTATGGCTAATAGTATATTAAACACTACCGGAAAGAATGTATTTATTTCGAATGAGACCTTCCGGGATTACTCGATATCTGGTGACAAAAAAAATATTTCGAGCTACTCCGTTCTTTGGAAGGTACGGAAAGTCTCGGCTGAATTTGCAATCATGAATATCCGCCCATCCAAATTGGGCCAGCTTGGAGGGTCATGGATTCTTTAACCTGCAGTGGACACGTTAAAGGGTTAATGGTGATTGGTGACTAAATATCGATGACATATTACTGAAAATCATTTAAAGGTCTTCTGACGGGGCAAACCTGATACAAATATAAAAATTTAACAAATGTCAATTATACAACATTTCAACCTTAAATATTTTTTATAAGATGACATTTTCATTGACCATTCACATGAGTATTATAATAATAACAATAGCATAGACACTAGTAACAATTTTAACGCAAATAAAACGAAAGAATATCGATAATCACAGTGTCTTATCGCGTATTAAGTAAACACAATTAGGGTAAACTAGTTGCAAATACTCTTGTCCTTTCTAATAAAACAACTCAAACTCCATTTAACGTTCAACGTCTATCAAGCTAACACAAGAAAATGGACTTGTTGACTAAAAATGAAGTTGAGAATATAATAAAGCAACTTGGCTATAGACATGTGATAAGTTGGTCAGTGACAGAATTTTCTGATATGTTAATAGGATATTTTGGAGAACACCTAACATTATTAATAGACGTCTTAATTGATGACGCAACGAGAAGAGAACTGAAATGTTTTATAAAATGTATACCAAGATTCGACGAGTGGAAAACAAGGTATATAAAGGAATTGACATTTTTCCAAAAGGAATACGTGATGTTGAACGATCTTTTTAAAAGATTTGAACAAGGTACGTAATTTTTGTTAACTAATTGAAGTAGAGCTACCAGATGTTGTTTAACATTCAGGAAAATCTTTCCGTCCAAAATGCAAAAGTTTCCACTACCAATTGAAAGTATGTGTGTAATACGAAAAAAAAACAAAATATTCTTCTTGATTTTCAAATACATTTATCATGTTATTTTGTAATCAATTATTAAAAAAACAAGGTCTTGATTTGTGTCGCAAGTTGGATCTTGGAGCAGAGATTTTGTAATTAAATACAAATCTATCTAGACAAAACTGGACGATGCTGCGTCCTTTAATTAAATACCCGTATAATATTTAATATACTTATACGATATTTCGTTTCTTTTTACTACTTTGTCTTTATGTCTTTTGGTGGATAAATTTAGGATAGGTAAATGACCAAGTTGGAAACACAACTATCAAATCCATATTCATCATTCGTTCTTCGTTATTAAAGTACATGTCAAAGTAGGAAAATAACGAAATGTCACCATAACAACCCTAAGATGTGATATACTAAAGCTAGAGTTATAGCTAGAGGAGTAAGGCGGTCGCTCTGCATCGGCTCCTATCCCTTTATATTGCATCAGCTCAATTAAAAAGATTGGGCAACACACTAACTTACACGACGGCAGTTTAATATAAAAATGTACGAAAACTATGTACTTAAACACTTAATAGCATGTGACGTCTATTTTTGTCTCTTAACTTGTTTAAATTATCTCTATAGTCAGAATCTCATAAGTTGTATTCTTTTGAAGGAACGGATAAATGGCGCCCTACTTGTTTACTCATCAAAGAAGATCTTTTTGTGTTTGAAGATGTTACTGTCTTGGGATATAAAATGCCAGATAACCGTAATACGCTTGCTCTCAATGAAATCAGGGCATGTGTTATAAAATTAGCTAAGTTTCATTCCCAGTCTTACATCTTTGAAGAAAAAAGAAGCAAAGAAATCAATAGGACTTACAGGATCTGGGATGAATACAGCGAATACTTACGGGTGCCAGAGAGAGGTACTAGTTGGAGAAATGCAGGAAGAAATGGAGTGATAGACTTCTTGAAGGCTTTTTCCAAACATAAACACAATGAGATATTCATTAATAATATAGAGTCAATTGTAACAAAGTTATATGACGACGCATTAGCGCTCATGCAACCTAGTTCGAAGTATAGAAATACAGTTATTCATCGTGATCTTTGGACCAACAACATATTTCTTAAGAAGGAATGTGATGGCAATATTCATGCCATGTTTGTTGACTTCCAAACAGTTATTTATTGTTCCCCAATGCTGGATTTATCGTCACTCATTTACTTCAATACAGATAGAGATGTAAGGGAAAACAACACTGATGAATTAGTAGATCTTTACTATGAAAGTTTATCTAAAGAATTGTCAGCATCAAGCATTAATGTAAATGAAATAATAGACAGAAAGACTTTAAAGGAATGTTACGAAGAAAGTGTTGTGTATGGTTTAACTCAAGCGACATTGATGGTACCTATTGTGTCAATGACCGCAACCCGCAGGCATGAAATATTCTGCCAACCCGACAAATTATATAGAGTGAACGAAGTTTCTCGAAGTAAAGAGTTTATAGAAACTGCATTGAAAGATGACCACTATCGCTACCGTGTTACAGATTTGTGTGAAGAGATTGTTGATCGTTACATACTTCATTCTAAAAAATAATTTAATTAATAAAATGTTATTATAAAATTCCGAAATAATATTAAAATTACTCTCTAACAAGCTGGAGTGTTTGTAGTAAACGCATTAGAGTTTTATTTTAGTCACTGTAAGTCAGTAGTAAATTACAGCACGTCAGTACGACTAAGAATATTGGACTTCAGGTAGATAGTACAATAGCCAAATATTTTGAGATTCTATTGAGATGCGATTATTAGGTACATACGTAAACATTAGCAGAATTGACATATAAGTTACCACAATATGTATTTCCGCAGTTTGTTCTCAACTGTACACTCAATGTGTTAAATTTTAAAATCGAGTTGAGAAATTTTGTATGACTTGACTTACCGTTGACTGTAAATTTTCTAAACAGCCAGAGGAAGGAATTTTAAGTCGTTAGTCCAGGCTGCAGTTGCGCTTTTCCAATCTAAAATGTGATCCACGTTTGCAAACCAGCCCTGCGATTCTGTAAAAATCCGAACCCGAATTTGAATTCACTCAGGCGTCTGAATTCACTTCAAAAGCGGCATTCGCTCAACCCTGAATTTGGTAATAATGTTCCGTGGCATAATTGAAGTGAGTTTCAAAATAACATGGGAATAGAATATCTGTGACTTGTTGTAATAATCAATCAATCTTGTTTTGTATTTTTATACAAAAATGGAATCAATAGATTTTCTACGTTAAATCACGTGAATTCGGTCACATGAGTGAATTCGAATTTTTATAGAATCGCTCTGCAGCTGTTTCAGAAAGGTGACTTTACTTTTAGAAGTTGTAAACCAAACTTCGAACACAATAAACAGGGTGTGTTTGAAATAATGGCTTGGTTCACAAATGTTCTACAGAACAACCTGTTTCTTTAATTTTTAGTACGATTTCGCAGTCGTGTTATTTATGTTTTAAATTGTAAATTTAAAAGATTGAAGTCGGTTCTATTTTTTTGACAAAAAAGTAGTCCATGTATAGCGCGTAATTTTCCAGACCCTTATTTTGTAGTACTTTTTTATCACTTTGCGAAGATCATTTAATATCAATTCATGAAATCTTTTAATTAATGAATTTATATTATCTATTCTTCCCTTGTTATTTAAGTATTTATTTATTTAGTGATGTTTACTATATTATTAGTTCATTCATGATGTAGATAATGCTAACAATTTGTATACTCTTTTAATATAGGAATGATTGATAAAAACTAGCCAGTGCGAGTCGAACTCACGCGTGAAGGGTTCAGTTAAAAAGAAACGCTAAAAACACGTTTGTTGTATGGTAGTCATATATTTATTTTATTGTTAAAGCAGTAACAGAAATACATCATCAGTGAAAACACCTGTCTATCTATCACGGTGCATGATATATGTTACGGTGCGTGATACCTTCACCCTGGTGAAAGCGAAGTCTTAGTATCTAATAGATTCCCGTTTTGACCCTTTGGGTACGCGGAACCCAAAAATGGAAAAATCAGGGGACCGTTCCAAGGTAGCCAAAATTTAACTTAAAAAATAGAAGAAACAATTTTTAATATGGCTTGGTTAAAAAAAATCTCATTGCAGTCGGTGGACAGGGCAATATTTGATATCTAAGAGGCCGTAATACAACCTGTTTGTTTTATTTTTAGTTCGATTTTGGAAGTCGTGTTTTTTTTATTTTTGTGGCCTTATTTTTACTATCCGGCCGAATACCAGATAGAGTGCCAATATCCGGCCGGTTACCGAATAGTGAAATAAACATAAATCTCATTATTTTACACAAGGAAAATTATGCCACTTTACATACATTTATTGATGGTTTTTAATACTCAAAATAACAAGTGGCAAATTGTGATGAATGAATACTAAACTTTCTGCTTTTGTTGGTAAGAGGCGACTCCGCTTTGCTTCATACGCCAGGCCAGCTTCAAGGAATTCCTATTTTAAGTATTTGCCCGAGTTTATGTTGGCAATTTTATCTCTGAGTTCTACCGTATTCCAAATTAAAAATACTCCATAATTTTGAAAAAAGAGATTTCTAGCATCCGTTAGATTTCAGAGTTGGTTATAGGCACTTGACACTACTTATACTTGTCACGCTATAGATTCAAATCAAACTGATCTGGATATCCGGCGCTTCGGCCTCGGTGTTTGCCAAATATCCGGTATCCGGCCAAACCACTATCCGTTACATCTCTACTAATTATTACTAAATAAAAGTAAGCTGAAGATAAACAACCGAATTTCATATTCTTTGGCTAGGAATACAATTATTTAATAATAAAATGATTAACAATCATTTGTATCTAAAGAATTATGTTCACTTTCCATACATTAATTGACCTATCACATGTTTTTGAAGATCGCGTTATATTGTCGCGTTATCTATAATGATGGGTATTATAGATAATTAAAATTAGTTTTTGCTTATTATAATAGAATAATATCTTAGCATCTTTTTATTTGACGAACAGGGAGATTCGTAATTTGTAAATAATATTTCAGGGTTACCATAGCTGTCAAATCATAAAACTGTTTTAAAAATTTGACTCCTAAATATGGAAATTAATCAAAAATATAATTGTGAATGTACACTTTTTAACTTTATGACGAAATAATTTTCCGTAATAAATGAAACAAAACGTAGCAAACCGTCATTTTGGGGGTCCGAATCGCATTCAGGTAGTTATCTTAGTACTATTTAAAAGTAATTATCAGCCTCGCAATTTTTATCCTGACTTTTATTTTAAGATTTAATTTCCCGATTTGAAATAAGCAAAAAATCATCTACATTTTGAGAGTCAAAATTACACATGATTCTTAGAAAATTTGTATCAGTAATGTGGTTTTAAACAAATGACAATTTTAATGGACGTTTGTTAAACTATTAGATGTACATAATGAGAAATGATTATATATGGATACATGCTTTATCTAACGATTTCATAGCAAACAGAAAACTTTGTTCCGATGTACTGTTGTTTATTTTAAGTTATAATATCTCTTGTATATCGTCTGTATTTAGTGTACAAACAATCGTAATACTAAGATAAGGTGCTGCTAGGTGCTCAAATTCTCCTAAAAACCTTACGGCTGACTACGTAATTAAATAATATTCATAGTTAGTCTTAGTTTTGTGCTTATCAATTAAAATGGAGGACTCAAAAAATTCAAACCCTCGTTTTTTAAATCATTATATTACAGAAGAGGACGTGAAAATTATTGTGAAAAAATGTGACTATTCAAACGATGACGTCACTATAAAATATTATACTATCGAAAATGCCAGTAGCAAAATGTTGGGATTTCTTGCGGATTATTGGAGACTCAAAGTTATCGTTTCATCAGATACAATTGAAGAGAATGTCTTATGTTTTTTTATTAAAGCAGTGTCGAAAACAAATGCAGCTAAAGCAAACATGGTTAAGGAATTGAATCTATTCAAGAAAGAAACATTTTTTTATAGTATTCTTAAGGAAAAAATGGTTGTGCCCGGTGAGTATTTATAAATCCCAATTAAATTGTTATTAAAAATAAGAAAACTACATTACATTGCTCACGTGTGCTTAAAATTATATAAAAATAACAAAGTGGCCATTAAAAATCATTATGAATAATAAACTTTTCTACATAGAAAATTATTAATTATGTGAAATCATTTTCAGCCGATGGAATTATGCATCGCTTTTACAATAATCGTAATAGTTTGTTTTCAAGTAATTTTAACCGCACATGCCGGACGCAATCAAGCAGGATTTTTACGCCGCCTAAGTGATAATAATTTTTAGAACAATTGTAATGTATGTAACGTATATCAGACAGACAAATTAAAATCATTTATTCAGTCTGTGTTGCACAAGCACTTATGAAAGTCGAAACTTTATGTAATGCCATTGGTTCGAAGTTTATGGTGAGAATAACCGGCAAAAAATTCAGCAAGTACTCCTTTTTGAGTAACAAAAGTAAATAAGAAGAGGTTCGCGAAATTCATATGGAATTTTAATATTGAAGTAGCCAGTAACACGTAAATGCGAGTATTATACCTTTATATCTGAAAGATATACAGAAACTTTAATTTTCTTTTCAGGTTTGAAACCTTGGAGTGCTAAATTTGTAACATCATTAGAAGAGGCAATGGTTCTAGAAGACTTAGACGCTTTGCATTATAAGAGTTGCAATAAATTCCTACGGTTTGACACACCTCACACACTACGTGCTCTAGAGACGTTGGCCAGATTTCACGCCGCTTCAATTGTACTTGAAAATAAAAAAAGTAAAGTACTTGGACGCCCTTATATTCTACAAAACGAATTCGATCAGTTTTTAGATAAAGGTGGATACAAAGAAAATGATATATGGTTTCAACAATGCATGACCGGTGCTCTAGATGCTGTCAAATCATTCTCGAAATACGCTACTGAGAAATATATAGAGAAGATTGAAAACACGTGGTCCAATATATGGATATCTGCGTTATCGTTAAGTAACTTTTCTACTAAATATAAAAATGTTATTTGTCACCGCGATCTGTGGAATAATAACATTATGTTCCATTACAAAAAAATCGGTGATTCTCTTTTTCCCGATGACTGCGTGATAGTAGACTTTCAAGCTGTATGTTGCCAACCACTTGCTGGAGATGTTATGGTCCTTTTATATTGTAATTTAGATCCTACATTCAGAGAAGAAAGTATGCCCATGTTTCTGAATCACTATTACAAAGAGCTTAAAATAATATTAGAGACTTGTAACATTTTTATAGACAACATTATCACTGAAAGACAATTCCTGGAATCCGCTGAAGAGCAAAGGCTATGGGGCCTTATAGTTTGTGCTTGCTTGATACCACAATTCTGGATAGATGACGATTTAACAACGGAAACATTCACTGACGCAGATCAATTCAAAGATATAATGTCGAAAGATAAAGGTGCTTTTATTAAAAGTATAATGGAAGTCAACACTGACTACAGGGAGAAAGTTCTAGAAATATTTGATGAGATAGTAATAAAATATTGCCTTCCACAACTAGACTAACGATTCAAAGTACGATATATGTAATGCTACTCTATCAAGATAAATGTTATTACGTGTATGATTACACTTAATTCACAAACATGAAGGACAGAAAAAAATTGTGTTCTACAGTCTTCTATGTTTTTATATTTTTATTTTTTTTATCAATGTTTCTTTTCTTTTTGTCACACTTAAACCTCTTATAGCTCCAATCAGCGTTGGGCAAAAATTTATTGTCTTCGAGTTTCCTCGTGCCATATTTTTTAAACCAATGGTCATCCTTTCTTCGTTTGTACATACTGCAGAAGGGTCTTATTAACAAAATGTACAAAAGTTCCACAAAGCTGAGAATGCTAGCACCTAGGAATAAACCGCCTGTTCCTCCAGTTGATACTGAAAGAAATGAAATTATAGCCTATTTGCTCAAATATCCATAAACCCATATCTTATAAATACAAACAATAATATACGTGTATATAAGGGCTCCTCACTCTTATTTTACTTTTTACTATTTTTTATTTTTTTACTATTTATCCCCAAAGCCAAAGATCTGAAATTTATTTATTATATCGGACATCTGACTTTGAGACCTTGACCGTATGTAATTTCAAAGTAAGAAGCAATAACAGAGAGACAGATATTGTGAAATATATAATACAATACGTACCCACTAAATCTAGCACTCCACGCACAACGTTCCTCTTGTACCTCTCGCTTGGCAACATTGCAAGACCTACCTCAACAGTGGCAAAATTCTCAGATATGCTTGTCTTGAAGTCTTTCACCGTGGTTATTTCTGCTTCTGTGCACGATGGTAAACAATTACAGTATAAACCGGAACGCAATGACCATTCAGCTTTTAGAACCTGGGAATAAAAATAAAAATTGCAGAAGAATCCTATTTTAGTCAGCTTGCATTTTGTGTATGCAGGCAACTGACTGCATCCAGACTGCGTCCACTCAGAAGTATTAGACAGATTTAATATAAGTTTCAAATGTTAATGAAACGTTGACTAGAGTTTTTAAAATTCAATTGCAATAAAAATTTATATCTGAATAAAACTATCTTTAAACTGATGTATTTGTTCACCCAACTCAAGAATCAAGAATAAAGACCGGGGCGACCTTTTGTTATTTCCAGTCCTAACATTAACCTTGATGAAATAGTTAATCATGAGGAACTTTATGCATAGACAGAATATAACCTTGATGGATTTTTGTTGGGTTTGTCATTAAACTATTGGCGCGTGTTGCGGTATATTTGCATTGCAACATGGAAATCTTAGGTCCTAGACACGCTCAAGAATTTAAATTAAAAAATTCCTTTATGATTCGAAAATTAGGATGCTGTATATTGTATTCAGATTATGGATGTGTTGTATGATATTTCGAGATCACCATCATTAAAACTTACAGAGAGTAGATTGACGTGGTTGTCCAAGCACATGATGCCACTGATGTTGCATTTCATATGTTCCGGAACATTAGGCATAAAGAAGTTAGTACAGTTGCACAAACGTAGCTGTGCTTTCTTCCTACATTGTACTGTGCACGCCGTGTACGAGTAGTGCCGATATACTTCCAGAAAGTTCTCATCAGTGTAACGACACTTGCGCTTCTCTGGTTTTATCATTCTAGCACCGGCATCATTCTCGATATTGCGTATTGTTATTAGACGTCTGCCAAGGAATAAATTCAATGAATGAAAATTCTCATTTTGCACTATTACAAGTGCATCAGAGAGCAAATCTCAACATAAACTTGCGCGCTGAGGATTACTGAATTTTAAAAACTGTTGAGAGAAGGATGTATGGCACAGCTACACTAGCCATTTGTTAATTTCTTAATGTGTAATATCCGGTAGATCTCTAATATAGTAAAAAAAACTAAATACTTATCGGTTTTTTGTAAACTCTAGCCATTTGTTAATTTCTTAATGTGTAATATCCGGTAGATCTCTGATATAGTAAAAAAAACTAAATACTTATCGGTTTTTTGTAACCTGAATTATATAACTAAATATTTTTTTCCTTTATTTTCTTTCTTTTGTTTTGGATGTTAAGAGGAAAATGGTGAATTTAAAATAAATGAAGCACATTAAGTTGTTTGGTATTCACTAAGGCCGAATGATATGCAAGATAAATATTATTTAATGAAAAATGCTTAAGTATTCCACTGATCCGATCCAATCCAATCGGGGTACCTTGGGCTGATGGATAGTTTAAGCATTTTCATTAAAAAAAAAACCTTAATACCTTACCTTAACGTTTAAACCTTACCTTAGATAGGTCTCTGGATTGACAGACAGGACATCAGAACTCATTGTTGTCAACGATGGCACTTCTTCTTCATTGAGTACGTATATATTAGCAGTCACTAAGATGTCGAACTTGAGCATTCCCGGACCCGTAGTACTGTTACTGATCATGGGGCAAATGCGGTGGATGTTTTTCACTAAAAATATAAAAGTAGGAAATTTTTACTTAAAACATTATAGAGGATGAAACAAAATTTTCTAATTTCAGAACAAATGAAAAATTTAGTTCAAATAAACTGTAATTTACCACAACATCAAAAATTTTCTTGCTTTCATGATGTTACAATCTTTAAAAAAGGTATTTTTTAAAATAAATTACAATCGATATCCAAATATTTCGAAACTAGCTTTCCGCCAGCGGCTTCGTCCGCGTGGTACTGTACCATACATATAAACCTTCCTCTTGAATCAGTCTTTATATTAATGAACGCCGCATTAAAATTCGTTGTGTAATTTAGTATATATCAGCGTACTATACTATGATTAGCGTCTATACTATGTATGTGTTTTATACTATGTTTAAATTCTAATTAATCTATGTTTAAAGTCTAATACCCATTTTACACCTAGAACAAGGCATAGCTTAACTAGGAAACGCCTTATAAAAAAATAGTTTCATTCCAAATAAATATACGTTTCTTTTTCCAAAGAAAACGGGTCGGTTAGAAAATCTTCAATAACTTGAAAACTACCTCACCTAGCTTTATGAAATAAAAACTCAATTAAAGAATATTTAATGTTATTTAACATAGTATATAAAACCTTTTTATTTACTTTAGATAATTGTGTAAGAAAACTGGCAATGAAGATAATGGTTGTTTTTCAATTTAGTTCTAAAAAAATCAAAGCATTTGTTTCGCATTTGTTTTAGTTTTGACATAAAAACTACAATAAATATCGTGTGTTTGTCATACAAAAATTGTATTCTGAAGTCATCATGTCGTTAACCCCTGAAGAATGCACCAGGATCCTGACAATGCTTGAAGATGGGCGCAGTCAGCGCAATACAGCGAGAACTGTTGGTGTGAGTCTTTCCACAGTTCAGCGGGTACTCCAGCGTTTCCATGAAACTGGATCCAACCTAAGAAGACCAGGAACAGGCCGAACGAGGTGCACGACTGCGCGGGAGGATCGCTATATGGTGTCAACAATTTTGAGAAATCGATTTCTTACGGCCGTTGAGGTAAAAAATCACCATTTACGAGCTGGAGGAAACTATCTGAGTACAGATACAGTAAGGCGACGTCTGGCTGAAGCAAATTTGAGACCATTAAGGCCTGCAAATGGCCCAAAATTAGAAAGACACCACTTAAACTCAAGGCTGAGTTATAGCAGAGAACACGAAACTTGGACTCTGGATGACTGGTCAAGAGTTATGTTTTCAGACGAGTCTAGATTCTGTTTATACAAGCACGATGGGAGGAAAAGAGTGTACCGAAGACCGGGAGAGCGCTATAACCAAGCTTGTATAGAAGAAAAAGTACCATATGGCGGTGGCTCTATACACGTGTGGGCTGGGATTTCTTCCGAAAGCCGTACTGAGCTAGTAGTGATAGAAAATGGCAGTTTAACAGCAGAACGATATGTGAATGAAATTCTTAATGACTATGTTGGTCCATTTTTAGTAGATATGGGCGAAAATGCTGTTTTTATGCAAGACAACGCCCGCCCGCATACAGCTCAGATAGTGTTCGACTATTTTCACGAAGTAGGTATCACATGCATGGAGTGGCCAGCACGAAGCCCCGACTTAAACCCCATCGAACATGCATGGGACGAACTGGGACGACGTGTACGTCAACGGAATCCGCCGCCAATCACGCTGCGTGAATTGAAAGGAGCTTTGATCGAGGAATGGCAGAACATTCCGCAGCATCGCCTTAAAAACCTTGTGGAAGGTATGCCGAATCGCATAGCCGCAGTTTTGCAAGCTCGTGGAGGCAACACGAAATACTAACATGCGTAAAAACGTCACATCTTTATACAATTCATATTTACGAAAATGTCAGAAAAACTACCTTTTTCATTCGTTTGACATTTATTGAAAATAGACAACTTTTAATTTGTATTTTTTTATATTCAATAAATTACAATTAAATAATCTTTAATTTAGTTTTTATTTCATAAAAATAAGTTAAGTAGTTTTCAAGATATTGACGATTTTCTAACCGACCCGTTTTCTTTGGCAAATGCTTCAACACAAGGCAATGCATAACGAATATCATAACATTAAACGTTAGGTGGTTCCTAGTCAACGGTGAAACGCAGTTTTACCTTAGAGGAATCCTAAATATTTAGGCGACAGACTTGGGTATTTGGGGATATTGTAGGTGTTTAACTAATAACTTTAGTGAAAACGAGCATCAGTAGCCGAAGTGTAATATTTTGTTATATAAGAAATTTTACGATAACTCTGAGGAAAGGTTTAAGAGTAGATAATAAATAATTTTTGACGTTCTATTACTCGAAATACACATGTCTTTACACATCTCATTCGTTTTTGTTCTGTAAGTTCATCTTGTTCTGTCTTTAATTTTAAATTCAATCTTAACTTTTAAAGTTTATATTAAAGAGTTTGTCGTACATTCCTTGGATGGTGTTGATGGCAAGACATACGCCGATTTCAGTCTCCATCGGTCTGAAGTAATCGCAGCAACGGAAGGGAGCGTCATTCCAAGAACAGTTCCTCAGAGTATCTTCACAACTACTCCGGACCTTTAATTATATTTAAGTGAATCATACGGAAAGATTTAAAAATTTACTTCTAGAGCCTAGAGTCTAGTCTTTGGCAAACAATTGTCTATAATCTAGACAATGGTTTGCCAAAGAATTTTAAAGGGAAAATTCATTATTTTTTACTTTTTGGCATTTACAGTGGTAGTCTTAATATTGTAGGTGTTTAATTATATTAATTTTATTTAGCCTGGCTGAGATAGTTTTCTTTCTCAAATATGAATCTAAACATATTATCGGACTTTTTGGGATATTTAGGAAACTTGTTAATTATTATCAATTAGATTAAGCTTAATTGTTACTAATACCATATGAATGCAGAAATATGAACTTAATTATATTATTATTATTATAATCATAAGAAATTAAGTGACACTGATATTTGCAGATACTGTAAACAATAAACATCTGTGTGAACGTGGACCACTGATTCACAATCAAAGCACACATCTGAAACGACACATAATCGCCCCAGATCATTTTGAAGCTCTAAAATCCCGGAACATTAAAGACTTTTTAGAGGCTACCAGGCTAAAAGAGCTACTATGACCTAGGCGGAGAGTCACAAAAAACTTTCTGGTCGCTGTACTGTTACCCTTAAAACTAGCAATAATAATCACAACTACATAACTATAATCGTAATTTATATCAAAGCACTTACCAGGTTGGCGTAATAGCTGAGATTATTCGAAAAACATTCAGGCAAAGGGTTTTCTAAGCCACAGAATTCGGAAGTGTAATAAGTGATCCCTTTGAAAAACGCAATCTCTTTCAAAACTTCTTCCATGTTAAAGTCATGTTCGGGTCCCCATAATCTACAATTATAGAACAATTAAAACTTTTTATTTGTATCGTATTATTTCAATCATCTATTTGACCTGTAACTGTATCTATTTGTACCTTCGATTGTTTTTGTTTTTTACTATTGAGTGAGTGTTTGGAAAGTCATCAATAAATTGCGACCGACAATCTTTACATTTTTTAAAATATTAACAAAAATGACATTATTTAATTCAACTTTAGACTAATTAGCTGTATAAAGCGATTTGCGAAATTTAGCTTATTCGAACAAATTAATAAAGAATTTACATATTGTTAGGTATTGATAATTTCGCGTTGATCGTAATCGTCGCTTTTAATGTCAACAAATGTGTATGAATTAGTAACAATTTTTTTCTTACGTATCTGATACATCTTCTATACGTTGGCTATTATCGTTTTCACAAACAGCTACTGACGGGAAGTGAGTATTCCAATCCTTATATGTAGTTTCGACTACAAAAGATATTGGATGATTCTGGAAAGCGTCGTACTGAGCTACGATAAGAAGAAATGAACCATACCAGGATAGACCCACAAATACCAACCAAAAAAATCTGTAACAGGTAATAACGTTAAAAAAGGCACTGTTACAATTACTATAGAAAGTTAGATGTGATTTGGTTAATTACAATCACAACTATATTATAGAATCAGATAAAACATGATAAAAAACAATGGTTCTAACTTTGAGCCCTGCGATACTCCAAGATTGACATTAACTACCTTAAATTTTGGCACTATTTCTTTTATAATTACAACTTAACTTGTAGGACGAAAGACATATATGAATTTATGATTCGAAAATATTTAATTAGTTTAATAAGCCAATAAGTAGGTATGATAATTAATTTATATATCTAATTAAACCCAATAAGGTGAATCAAGTCTCGACGAATTTTCATGCTCTTTTATTTGGACCATTAATCAACACTCGTTTTCACTACTAACCTAGAACTTGGTATAGCTTAACTAGAAAACTGTTAATCTAAGAATCGCTTTAGCAGATTTGTTTATTTCCATATTACTTAAATTATTATCTGTCATATTACATAAATGCCTAGCGCATGTGCAGGTGCCGTATAACGCATGTCAAAACTTTAGGCATTAAGGTGAAAATTATATGTGAATTTCAATTTAAACAATTCCTAAGTATTTGTCAGATTTGGGTGACTCCTAAATTTAGTGAAAACGAGCATTAAACATAATATAGTTTTGTTTCGCCAAAACCTAATAACTACTTAAAGGCCCAAAAAGATTGTAGAATTACAACGATCTAATTTGGTTTTTGTTACCTCAATTTATAATTCGATCAGTTTGGCCTGGTTAGCATAGATTACTACGGATTCTAATCCCGTCTCGAACTGGCTACAGCTATAGTCTCTTTTTTCAATATTTTTCATAAAATGTATTAACATATTTGAAAGTACGAATATTTTACTAACTAACCTTTCGCTCCAATGCCGTTTGGTGTCTGCAATAAATCTAAAACCATGGATAGAAGTGGTTGCAGGCAAACTTTTTATGCCATCCAACCATATTCTGAAAGATTCTTTATAAGACGCGTTAGACATGTCTTCTTTTGACAAATTATAAAAAACGACAGTATTCTACATTTATTTATTGAATATATACGAAATAAAGTATCGCGTGCGTTAACATAATTAAAAACAATACAAAATACAAATCGTCCTATGATAACAACAAATATCAACTCATAACAAAGATCGTATCTTATTGAAATCCACGGTACAGGTGTTTGATTTTCTGTTCTGATTGTGACGCATAAATAGTTATATAGCTCGTCTACAAACCATAATATTTTTAATTTTATACATCAGTTATAAGTCTCATTTTGCAAACAGCTTTTACGTTAGTTGGTTATACATCGATAATATTAATGTCTAAATATAAAAGACCTTTACAGTAGTGAATGTCCAGTGATTGTTACTATTAAAGACCATTTTAACTTTTACTGACATCACTCGTGCTAGTTCTTCACTTCGCTGACATAACTCTATATAATCATTGAACATCAATCTTAATTACGTAAATCATTAGAACTGTATTACATTTTATTGATTCATTAATATTTATTTAATGTTTAAGGCATAACTCGTAGCATTAAAGAGTTTTGTTCCACACATAGTATGCAAATAAAAATTTTGACTTTTTTTAAATAATACTATCGGAAATTAACAATTGCATGACACATAAAACGAATCCTAGTCGTAACTTTTATCATTCTTAATTCTCAATAGCTTTAAGTTCTTTTCCGCAATACGTTTTCCCGGAGCCAGTTCGTTCCAATATATGGGTCTATACATCGAAATCTTCTCGAATCGTACGAGAGAAGAATTATCCAGAGACTTGACAACAAGCACACGTTGTTTCCTGTTCTTGAATTCTCTGTACAGCTTCACGGTAAAGAAGTAGATGAATTCCAACAAAGAGACAAAACTGAAGCCGGTCACGAAGCCGCATGTAGAACCGATGTTACCTGTCAAATTATAAGATGAGATGAAGCTTATCACGAGATCCGAAAATGTGCAATGATATAAATCAATCATGAAATGAATAATAACGTTAATAATATTATTAAAAGGTCTTTTTAATAGTTAATAATAGACACTGATTTTGGTTCGAGATAATATGCAGAGTTTGATCTTGGTGCCAAACGGGTAGGAATTTTGTAAATAGGCTATTTGACACTTTTCTGAAAACTATTTTAAATGGTTGTTTTGAAACATTATAAGTAACACACTGTCAATATATTTCGTGAAAATCTGTTCTATTTTGAATGAAAATAATTGTTAAAATTTAAATAGCCAAAATCGCGCAAAATATTTGTGACGTCACATGCCGGTGAATATATCAATACCTATTTATCAACTATTTATTTACGAAGTAAACAAATAGTATGACAGATGAGAAATTGAAGTTAAATTTTATGTTTTGTATTTGTATGTACTCTGGTTTTGTTTTTAATCATGAGTTAGAAATTGTATGTATAAATACAAATTTTCCGTATCTCTAATAACACTGTTTTGACATGACAGCTTCCTGTTTATACGTGATGTCATATGCCGATAAACAGAACCCTTTTATTGGTCGCGACTACAAGCAATTACATTATTCGTATTCGTCGTACATTGAAATTCCTAAAAATGTTGCATTGTCTTTAGGTTATTTTATTAAAACTAAACATATTTTGTCTCCAGATTCTAAGAAATAAACTTTATTAGATTATCATCTAACAATATGATCATAATACGCAACTTATTTTTAATAGTGTTAAATACCCTATCGAGTTTGAACTCCCTTAATTTGTCTATATAAGATCTCCGGTCAAACAATAGCATGTTATTGAAAAGAAAATTTTCATTTTCAGTTATTTTATTCCATTAAAGTGTTAGCTAGAAAATTGCCTATGACATAGAGTTTCTTATTTGACCTAATCTTTTCACTGTTAAATTTTCACTTGTAAAATTATTATAAAATTCGCAATCAAGGTGTGTTGTAAAATAACATTGACAGTTTTGACTACTTATTATCATATATGAAATACTTTTTATTGTTTACTCCCCAAAAAAAAATTACATAGCACTTACTTATTAAATCAAACCACTTCATGATGACATTTTGGCCATAGCAATCTGCGATATCCCGACCATATCGAATATGCACAATGGAAGTGGAGGTAAGATCTGCACCTTGCCTGCAAATTTAAAAGCTGATTAGCTCTCCATTTATCTGTATCTAGAGGGGCCAAAAGGTCCTTCTGAACTATCTGTTGCCTCCTCTACGTTCATTTTGTGCATACGAAAAATATTTGTTTTTGAGCTACTATGATATAAGATTTTTCTCCCCAAAGAGCACGCTCCTTACTTTGGCACAAACCCAATGAGGAAGTATTTAAAAAAAAAAATAGTTCCCGAAATCAAACTAGATGTCGCTACGGTACGTTTTTGATTTCTCCATGACAACCTTTCCGGTTTTCTTTCATATTTAAAAGTTTTCAAAACTCAATAAACAACTCATACTATATTTGTACTTTGTCGTATTTGTATTGATATCTAAGTTTTGAGCTTTTTAAATTCCACTTTTTTAATATGTTAGTTAAAAGGAACGGAAATGACTGTCTTTGGTCCATTCTTTTCCTGCAAAAATCAACTTTTACTAGAGTCGCCATCTAGTGGAGGTGCTTTTTTAGTGCTTTCGTTTTTTAAAATACTTCTTTATTATAAATTAGAGTAATACAAATACGAACTTTATGAATATATATAATTGCCTAGAAAATTATCATTTCTATGATTAAACTCTTTTTCAAGTCCATTGGAGTGCATCACAAAATGTACCCTGGCCAAATTAAATTTAAGTATGACGTCGCCTCTGGCAAAGGGTTTGTTATATTATTCCATGGTTACCTCTGAATTACCAAGACAACCCAAAGAGACAACGTTTGAGTATTGTCTCTTAACAACCTTTTTTATAAATAGCACACAGACAACAGAAAGTAATAGAAAAGTTAAGTGTGAATAAATTCATCAAAACAAAACACATATAAATCATAGTCATAGAGAAACTTGTCTTGTATTTAGAACTCTTTAACACCCCAAAGCTTTCATAATTTTCATTTATGTCAAAAACATGAAATTAGATGTCTAATTACATTAATTTTATCTCCTAATATGGCTACAACTAACAAAAAAATGGGACTTGCTACTGCAGATTTTGAGGTATTCGGGAAAGTTCAAGGTGTGTATTTCAGAAAACATACACAAAGAAAAGCAATAGAGCTTGGTTTAAAAGGTTGGGTGATGAATACAGCACAAGGCACAGTCGTTGGACAACTGCAAGGACCGTCCACGGCTATCGAAGATATGAAGGTTTGGCTTCAAAAAGTGGGGAGTCCCAAGTCCAGAATCGAGAAAGCTGCATTTCGGAATGAAGGCCCCATCAACGGCTGCGCCTTTAGAACTTTCGAGATTCGACGATAAATTAAATTTGTTTTTGTATACCTTTTATAATTTTAATCATAAAATAAACGAAACGATTTAACACGTTTACATGTATTTTATCACAATATGTACTTTCATGATGTGTGTCTCCTATTTTCTGTGATCCACGGTACAGTATCTAAGAAAATATTTTGAAATAGATAGTTTTTTTTTAAGATTAGGTTTTTATTTATACAGAGTAGCTCGTTTACACTGGTTCAAGTGTTTTTGGGGCTACGTACCCAAATGGTTAAACGGGAAACCTATTACTAAGACTTTACTGTCTGTCTGTTACCAGACTGTATCTCGTGAACCGTGAAAGTTGGACAGTAGAAATTTTCGATCGAATACTGAAAACAAGTATAAAATAAATATTTAAGGGGGCGCTCGTACAGCAAACTTGATTTTTTGCTGTCACCGAGCTGAATCTCATGAACCGAGACATTTAGACAGCTGAAACTTCACACAGAATCTATTTTGTGTTGCCGTCGGCTAAAATTACGCAAATTGCGCACTATGCATTTATTCATCATAAATCTTCTCTTTAATTATAATTTATTCTATATAAATACTATTTTAAAATTATGCGGCGTTTAAAATTAACCGTATTGAAACAGTTGCTAAACTGACATATCACGAGTCTTGCCTTGGATAAATGTCAACCATGCAAAAATAGACTATAGAAGGCTCATCGCCTTATCGCTTATAGAAAACAAAGGGGTTTTTTTCGATTCCTAGATTACTACGTATCCAAACAAATCGATTGTTTAATTACTAGCTAAGATAAGACTTCCTTCACGTAGTATCTTTTTATTAGTCTGTGCTTCCTTCGGTTTTCTTTTGAGCATGAAAAAAGATATGTACGCTATTTCATAGTAAATAATAGAAGGCAAATTAATGCAATCGGCCGGGTGGCGCATCTTAATATGACGCGTACAGACTGAACCAACGTTCGGCCAAGTTAACGTTTGTCACTTATCCCAAAGAATAGGCTTCGTTTATTCATATAGGCAAAAGAATAAGGATAAGTTTTCACGGAGGGAAAAACATGAGTGTATAAGCGTTGTTATACATAAATATAACAAGATTTCGTTAGATAAATACCTAAATATCTTAAATTAAGATTGCTAGTGACATTCGTTATAATATTTTCTTTAGCGGAGAGTATATAACAACGACTTTTACGAAATAAAGTATTTTAACTCTGATAATGTTGGTCAGTATTATATTAGTCAAAACTAGTTTTTAATTGACCTAGTTGTTTTTGAGTTTATCCTTAACAATAAAAAATCCAATATTTCCTTTTTCGGTATAGTAATTAAAAGGTCAGCCATAAAAAAATCTGATTAGCCACAAAAATCAGTATTTTAATCGTTTGATCAGCATTTAAAGATTTTGTATGCAAGAAAAATAAAACAATCGGCAATCCTTGTTTCGCAAATAATCTTGATAATGATCAGTAATTTAATCATATACAGTCAGCTTAAAATAATATGTGTATGTCAAATAAACAGTCTATCCCCAAAATAACTACTTGGTCAGAAAGATTCAGGATTGGTCAGCAAGAAATATTTGTCCGGTTAGCAGTTCATTTGATCGGTTTGCGTATTTAAAGCATGGTTAGAAGAATAACTAATTGGTTTGCATTTTTATTGAAAAGTCTGCAATGTACGTTAAAAGTGGGCGGAGCAAGAGCAGTCGCATAATACTAGTAGCCAATCGCGTGCGTGTATTTGTCATTCGGTCTCAAATTACAGTGATAACAACTTGTTTTATGTTAATTAGTGTGAATTTTGATATTTTGCGAGTGTTATATGAGTAGGGGAGTCCTAGGAGAGTTGTGACAATTTTTACATAAGGGGCTCTATCTCGCTTAAGAAACATTCCACAGTTATGACTCATATGAATTAGTTTAGCGCCATTCCTTCTGTTTTCAAAACCATCACTAAAATTAATTAAAGTATAATAGTTTCTGAAAAAAATAACAAAATTCAAGTCCACTCCCCTTGTCACAACTCTCCTACCACCGAGGTAAGTTGTGACATCATTGTATTTAAGCTATAAGATATAAAAATACCATTCCATACGACATAAATAAATCAAGCACGTTTTTTTATCAAATCAGTACTTTAATCAGTACTATAATAATAAATTTGACTTGGAAAACACACACTGAACATGTTTGCAAAAAGTTGTCCCAGTATTCTTGTGCACTGTACAAACTTAGTAGGATCGCGAATCAGTGCACGGTCCTTACAGCTTATCACGCGTACGTAGTTTCAACTGTTCGATACGGCATTATATTTTGGGGATATTCGACTGATTCTGTAACTGCCTTTAGAGCCCAGAAAAAATGTGTTAGGAGCATATGTCATTTACAGAGTACGGATACCTGTAGGCCATATTTTATTAAACTAAATATTATGACCCTGCCATCAATCTATATATTCGAAGTTAGTATTTTTGTCAAACAGAATCAACTACTATTTGAAAATAAGACGAGATTGCGTCATCAAGACAAATTGTGTACGATATCCTCTAAGACAGCTCTGTTGAACAAAAGTATCTTTTGTATGGCTCCAAAAATTTGGTGCGAAATTGACCAATTACAACGCGTGAAAGCAAACGGAACAAAAACGAGCTGTGCATTTTAAGCGTTGTCATTGGTCAATTTCGCACCGCTCCGCTCCGCCTCAATGGAAACGCAGTCTTATCATGTCCCCACCGAGGGGTTCGAGCCTACCCTGATCAGGGTGATTGGGCCATAGTCCACCACGCGGGCCCAGTGCGTATTGGCAGACATTAACGACTGCTACACTGTAGGTAGCAGCCGGGACCTACGGCTTAACGTGCCCTCCGAAGCTTATCATCTTACTTTTGGACAATCAGATGATTCAGGCCTGCAATGTCCTAACCAAACTAAGAAAAACTCGCAAAGAAATATTTGAGAGTGTCCCCACCGGGAATCGAACCCAGTACCTTCGGATCGAGAGCCTAACGCTCTAACCACTAGGACACGGAGGCAGTTAATTTAATTAGTTAGTTTACTCTAAATACCCATTCATTATTTTTGTAAGGAATGCGCCCATTTTGCGCCAGTCATTATTGTTATTTTTATATGCTTCACAAAATTAGATTAGTTGCTTCCCTCTAAGTGCTGTTCAAAATTGTATTAAACATACGTCACTCATTGCAGCTTATATGATTATTATGCTAATAAAAAATAATTACAGCCGTCCAGAATGTAAAAAATTGTCGATTGATTTGATATTGTTTGCTAGCCATAGTCTGCTGACCAATCATATATTTCAACTGACAGAATACATTTTTCTGCTAGCAAAAATGTGAATTGGGGAACCCCATACAACGCGATCTGTCTTGCTCTATTTTTTTAATGGAGACATCACAGATGTGTGTGTTACCAATAGTTTAGAAGTCATAATTTAATGATGTTTTATGATATCATTACTCTTAAGATAATTGTCATATCTTTAAAATATCATATTAGGCAATATTGTACCTTTAGGTATATCGAGTATGGATGAGCGCCGGCTCAATAATTTGATGCCCTAGACAAAGCACTAGAACACTATCACAACAAAATAAAAGACTCATGTAGGTACAACGAATAAGAATGTAATTTTGCCAATGACAACTTACGTACAATTTAATACCGTGGTCTTGTACTGTTTTATCTGTCGTCTGACTGACTGATTAACGCACAGCCTTTTTGTTTGTTTGCATTGAACGGACTCCTAATCTACTGGACCGATTTTAAAAAAACATTCACCTACGGGTAAATACATCATTTGTGGGTGATATAAGCTATCATTTACGAGTGCGAAGTTGAAAACAGCTAGTCATTAAGGACTATAAATATGATTAACTTATGGTCATTAAGAATTATTTTATTAATCATAGGAAATCGATTTCAGTTTAAACAATCTTTATATTGACATCCATATGACCACCTCCGTGGAGTTCGAGGATGGTGTTTTAAAAAAATACCATGTTTTCTTCATAGCTGAGCGGTTTGCGCGCCGGTTTCAAGGTGTTACCGTCTCTGAGGTCCCGGTACTATGAATATATGAAGTGTGAGCTAATAAGTAGTATTTTTTTTAATTAATCACAATCACCTTCAAGAGTATAGCGTTTTACGGTATGAATAACCTTTTGGAACGAATGATTATTTTAGTTATCAAGAAACAATAAAAAGTTTCCGAAATCTGTCGAAAAATTGCAGATAGCATTTCTAACGCTTGCCTTATACAATTCCAATTAACGTTACTTTAACGCTATCTTTAAAAAACATCGCATGTTAAATTATATTTAATCTTAAACTGTTATAAATTAGAATGTGTAGTTGGAAATGCAAATATAGTTTATTAGTATTAAATAGTTGTAGCAAGAATTTAATGAATATCTTTCAAATGTGATATTGAAAAGGATTGCGATGAACTATAAAATCAGAGAATAAGACCCCTATACTTACAGCCAATCATCCCTTTCAGGATCGGGGTCGTTATTAAGTATTTCAGGATATATCTTGACATTGTAGAAGTAGAAGTTGTATAAAGTTTTAGAACAGGTGGGATAGCACATCGGACAGTCTAATCCCCCATTTACTAAATCCAATTCCAACTCGGCGGGTGGGTTTTTCTTGTGAGGCCTCACTGTGACAGATTGATCTGTAACAATACAGATAAGAAATTAATCAGATATAATACTTAGAACAAAGAATCATGTCCAATTTTGACCAAAAATTATAAATTATAAATTATAGATGATATGTTCTCAAAATGAAGCTTACTTTTTCATACCGTATAATTAAGCCTTAAAATAATGCCAGGATAAAAAATTGCGAGATTGATAATTGTTTTAAAAAAAAAATATGAAAACTGACCCAATGTAATTCGGACTGTACAATGACGGTTAAAAAGTGCACGTTAACAATTAATTTCCTCTATTAACACAAAGTTTTAAAGAAGCTTCACCATTATCTCTAGTTTTAAAATGCCAAAAAGTAAAAAAATTATAAAATCATTATACTTTATCTGGCTCTTGTGTTTTACTTTTTGATGTCTGAAGTCCACTGATATATAAATCAATAATTTTTAATGTAACTGACAAAGTAAGTATTACCATAATACTTGTCTAAGCAAGACACGTCTGTTAAATCGCAGGTCCGCGATTTAGCCAATTTGGGTACATTGAAAGGTGTACAGTTGCACTTCTCCAGTAGAAACAGCATCCGGCATTTGAGCATACAATCGCTATATGTGTAGAACGGTAGGTACGAAGACTCGTCGTAAAACAAACAATTCCTTAATTCAACAGGAACATGTTGGATGTCTCTAGAAGCTTCTGTGAAACTAGCCGTTATCGATACTGTCATCTAAAATGGGTAAAATATCTCTAGTAAAGTTAATGTCACTGAGATCAGCTTAAATGAGACAAAACTTGCTAAAGACACCTAAGTGTAAATTTTAAGATAAATTGTTAAAAAAGCACACACTTTTATAAATAGATTTACTTGTGATTGATACAAAAGGAATCTTTTTATATAAATTAGCTGTTTCATCGCGACTTCGCCTTTTGGGTCACAAACGTCTATTATGGTTTAAACTAATGTTCGAATAACGACTTTAAGCTCTAATTAATGTCCTAGAAAATTTAAATCGTTAATCTAAAACTAAATTATAATATGGACGCTTGTGCAACTGGGTGTATATCACCCGTGTATGATGTAGCTTCACGTAAAATAATTTATAAAATCGATCCAGTAAGTTCGGTTGATTGTTTAAATCAAATATTAACAATCAAATATTTATTGCTCACAGTTTTTACCAGTACCGTCTGGCGTTCCCCAAGGTCACATATTGCACCATTACTCTTTTCTTTCTACATTAATGACATTGGAGACTCCCTTAAATATAGTCGTTGTCTCCTATATGCTGATGATTCAAAATTTTTCAAGGTCATAAAGTCCTCTGAGGATTGCATCAAATTACAAGAAGACCTATTATCCTTACACAATTATTGCGAACGTAATCAACTATTCCTTAATATAGATAAATGTAATATACTAACATACACACGCAAATCCAGCGTCATTAGTTATGACTATAAAATAAATGATAAACCTTTGAAAAGAGTAAATACTATCAGGGACTTGGGCATAATAATGGACTCAAAATTAACTTTTAATTATCATATAGATCATATATTAGCCTCCGCTTTCCGCAGATTGGGATTTATACTTCGAATTAGTAAACCTTTTAATAAAGTTAAAACCGTTAAAATATTATACTCTGCATTCGTGCGATCCATTTTAGATTTTTGTAGTGTAATATGGAACCCTTATTATCTTATTCATATTAATAGAATCGAAAAGCTTCAAAAGAAATTCGTGAAGTCACTTAATTATCGCCTAAATATTACTAACGTTTCCTATGAACACTCATTGAAAAAACACAACTTACCATCTCTCCAGAATAGACGAAAAATATTTGATATAGTATTACTATACAAAATACTAAACAACTTAATTGACTCCCCAACTCTCTTAAGTAGAATCCGTTTCGTATCCCGGGTCCGAATTCCGGTGCGCTCTTCTCGTAAACGTTTACTTTTCGCTCCCCCAAACCTAAATAAGCTTTACACAAAAAATTGTTTTATATACCGTTCCACCAACATGTATAACAGAAATCTTACTGGTGTAGATCTTTTTAATACTTCCCTTGCCAAATTAAAGAAAACTTTAGCACAACAAATTGTTAGAAATGAACTTTAACTTTTATTTTATTGAGATTTATAACACGTGCTTTCAACTACTTTAATAGAATAAGAACTTTAATTGTAATCAATTATTATAGGCAACTGTTAAATGAAATTATAGCGTTTCGTTTTATTTTTTTGTCTTCTTAGTCAGAAGTTTATCTTCCAATCAAGTAATTTGTTTTTATGTTTATGTAAACTATTTAAATAAGTCTTTCCATCAAATATTATGTTAGTAAAACGATGGCACGTTAGGTCTTTAGCTATATGAATAAGTGTATTTTAAGTAACATAATTATGTTCCTTTTTATAATATTAGTATAGATCACATCATGATTTTGAAACTCCTTTAAACTGTCGCTTGGGACTGATGTCCCCCCCCTAGCTTCGGAGTTGCTTACAACCTTGAAGACAATACAGGCGAAAATGCGCTTTAACATTTCACTGGTTTAAAGGGGAAGAGTTTTAAATACAGCGAGGCACAAGTTACTTTAACAAAGGCTTAGACGATCACTTGCAACGACAACTTTTTTGTAAACATTAAAATTATATTATTGTATATTATTATATTATTGTGATTTTTTTTTATTTTGAAAATACTTGAAAAACGTATCGCGTAGGTAATATAGTGGCAGGGCTTAATTTTGGTGGATATTAGACATTGAATTCAATATCAAGAATTCAAATTCAATATAATTTATTCAGTCTTGTGCACAAGCACTTCTGAATGTCAAAAGCCATCGATTCGCAAATAAATGGCGGGAGAAATTTCCTGAGAAAAACTAGCAAGAATATTGGATACCACTCCCAACTGAGGGCATGTCCAGGGTTGCTCAGCATCCCACTAAGTAGGTCTTTTAGCGGGGGAGAGTCCCACTAATCCCTGCCGTGCCGTCAAGCGGCAGGGATAATACGTAACAGATTATCTCTTGGTCAAAAAAGGTATTAAATGCAATGAAATTAAAATATCTTAATTCAAGTAAGCTTATTTCAAGCACTTTGAATCATCCAAAAAGTTTTTTTTCCCTACTACTTGTTCAGGACGTCTTTTAACTGACAAGAAGAACAACTTACCAGCTCTTTATCATCATAAGCAATGTTATTTACATAAATCATGTAATTACCGAAATAATATGTATTATCACAATAATAGATACAACTACCAAGTCTGTAGGGCATAGGTTGCACATATAATTAGTCGTTATAGAACAAAGCGATGGCTATTAATTCCATGCATTGAGGTCCTTAAAACAATCATCAACTTTGTAATAGCCTTTCCTCAAAAGTATGTTTTTTACATGTATTTTAAAATTATTTAAGGGTAGGTCAATTACATTTTGTGGAACTTTATTGAACATAGAAATGCATTTACCCAGAAATTATCCTCTGGTTTTCTGAAGTCTGAAGCTTGGAACGGCAAGATTATTTTCATTTCTTGTGTTAAGATTATGAACACTACTTTTTTTTGCGAAGGAATCGTAATGTTTAAAACACGATGTATCTACTATGCGTGACGTGGTAAAGCCGCTCGACTCGAACCGATGACGACCCGACGATCTTAGTCTAATGAAGTCACTATAAAAATTGACTTCTTTGTATGAAATAAAATAGAGAAAAAAACAACCCTTTCTAAGTTTCTTGCATGTTCTTCTCAGTATAAGGTTTCCCTTCGTAGATTTGTAAACCGATAGGTAATAGCTTAGACTAAAATAAATATTGAATATGAATTTGAATCCGGGCGAGTGTTCTTCTGACTGGCTACTAGAGACCTAGACTGTAGGTCTCCGGTAGGTCTGATCATGTAAAAAGTGTCGGTTCGAGACTCCTCGTCCTGGTACATAAGACCTCTTTTTAATATTTTTCATATAAATGTTATTATTATTAACAAACACCTTTCAAGTGAAGATTTTTGCGGCCATTCTTTTCCACATCTGGGAGAAATTCTAAATACCTGAATATTAGCTACCAAAATAAATAAAAACACTTGTTGAATTTAAATTCGATACTTATTTTACATAATTATATAAAGTCGTACCTGTACATTAGGATTTATCATCTGCATTGCAAAACTTCCACTCGGTGAATCCGGAAAATCGTAAGCATCAGAGAATTGTAACTGTAAAAAAATATAATAGGATTAAATCATGGCCATGAGAAAATAATTACAAAATCGTAAATAACTCAACATCACCAAGTTTGAGATCGTATGAGTTATTTTTGTAAAATCTGTGATCCAAGATAATGTTCAATAAAAGCATGATTTAAAAAATATATATATATTATCGCATCAGCATTAGGTACACTCTTATTAAACCTTTGAAAGCAGCTCGACTGTTTCAAAGCAAAATACTGAATTCAGAATTAGTGTAAAACCATTGGCTTTCTATCCTCGTTAACGAAGTTTTGTATGCAATTAAGAAAATAAAATACTTCAAAAAAAGCAAAGAACAGACTGTTCTAAAATACAGAACTTTGGAAAACGTTACAATCTTAAAAAAGGTGAAAAATTAAGTACTTATAACATCATTAAGTAACGTTCAATATTTTAGTCTCGACTTTAGGTAAAGCCGAGCTGGTGGTCAATCACATAACACTTGGGTACCAATTGGCTAAGAAGCCGTAACAGATATTACTATGAGAGTAAAGTTTATTAACCCTATACGAAAAGCTTTAAATGTATTCAAAAGAAACCAACCAGTGCCCCTTCCAATGGTAAATTGTAATAAAAATCATCGGTCTTCTCTAATCTTAACAGAATTCTTAACCCTTGCTCATAGTCAAATGTTGATTTATTTCCATACTGATACATGTTTACACTACGCTGTGATTTTTCCTTTCTGAAAATATTTTTAAAATATTGTAGGTAGTGCTATTAGATGTATAAGAAAGTCAATCTAGAGACCGGTTGAGCTTTCGTGGAGTGTGGCGGTGCTAATGGCCAGTCTTGTATGAAATATACTTATATTTACATGAAAAAAAATGTGAGGGGGTTTGGGACATTAGAATCTTCTTGTTCTATAGTCTAGTATCTAGTTCATCTAGTTTATTATAAATTATTATTTAAAAGAGAATGGTCTGGAAAAATCCACTCGTTTTATATGTCTATAGAGAATTTATATTCCAACAAAACCTTGTTTTTAAAAAGAAAACTTTAATAATATAAAGAATTAGAGAATAATATAAAGAATGAAAGAATTAAAGTGATTCAAAATTAAAGTTTTCTTTTATTAGGTCAAACAAATACATGATATTCAACGAAACCTGTGAATTCCTATAAGAAAAATTTTAAAAGGCAAAATGCATACTCTACGAATAGAACGTCGGTGTCTCTCAAATAATTAAAAGTACAGCAGTATCCATTAGCGGTGAGGCGGAAATCAAATAATCTTTTACAATGCATCATGACATCATTCCAAGCACATCGTACCAGTAAATCTTCACAACGTGGCGTTAACTGTACAATACACAAAAAACAAATTAGTTCTTATAATAATCTGTTTTACATTTTAATTTCTCTTGACATTAACTAAAATATCTTGAGATATTTATACTGAAAGTACTCAGACTTGAATAACTCGGTGGCGTAGTGGATAAGCGTCTTGGCGATCGTTGTTATTAAGCAATTTTACGCAAAGGTCGGTAACGGGATGGGTGACCCAAAAATTACTATCTCGAGCTACTTCTTGTCCTTCGGAAAACAGGTTAAACCGTCGGTCTAGACAGCATTTGCAGTCGTTAATACCCTCAAGTCATGACCCATCCTCTTTTATCATCCTTAAGGACATAAAAGACAAAGAAAGTGGGGACATAAAAGAGCTAAGGATGGTGACACAGTTTAAGTGTACACACGGCTGCACATCAGGTTAACACTAATGTAAAATTTCTCCAGTTGACATCCGACTACCGTCAAAGCATTAAGGTTATAAAATCAAGTGGTAAAATTTGCCAGATTAGAATAACCTGACATGCTGACTGTACCTATTCAAGGTTATTTTCCCATTCATAGATCCAAAAAGGTCCAAAGCCCTGAAGAAATTTCAGATTATATTCAGTTCGTGGCTTATGAAGCGTATAACTTTAGAAGTTATATGATAAGCCAATTTTGAACATAACGTGAAATTTCCAAAAAATCGAGCAAAAAAATTAGGACACAATTAAAAGATTTATGAAATTAGAAAAAAAAACTGGAAACTTAATTTTGCTCATTCGGCATCGAGATAAGAAATTATTGCTTTAAAAGGCTGCATTTTCTTTTTTCAGTTTTATTTAACTTGCCCAATGGGAAAGACGTTGCAAACTAAATAGATAATCGAACAAAATCTTGTATTGCTTTAAAATAAAATTAATTATGCATTCTATAGTGACATAAGATTTTATATTGTTACAATTCCATAATCCTCTGATTTGCATTTTTATGATCATATACACAGTATTTTTCGATTATTTATAACTATTAAACATCCATGATTGCGATTATTTTTCATTAATATTGCGAAATACATTTATTTTGCATATACCGATATTCGGATACGTTAATCCAATATATTCCATTGCGCAATCAATGAACAGCTATACGATTTGATTAGAACTTAAATATGGAGTATCAAGCTTCTTCCACATACGTAACATAACACGTAATCTACAACAAAGTTGTGTATACCATTACGTTCAACTCACACTCTTCATGAGATCATTGACATGATAATGACCCAGAGCGTCGTGCGTTTCCTTCGCCGTATAATTATTCATCGTCTGTGGGTTATACAGCTTCCCGAGTCCGAACAGCAATGACATCATTTGTCTTTCGTTGTATTTCTTATTGGGGACTTCATTTAATCTATAATAGAGAATATTCTAAAAAACTAATTATTCTGTAAATCTAGATTAAATAGCATCTTTTTCGTGATTTTTAATTATAAAAACAATATAATACTAAGTAGTATTAGTAAGTAGTAGCAGTTAAAGTTAACTGCTTTGCAATTTCTAGATTAAATAAATAATTTATTTGAATTATTCCTTCTGTGTTTGTGTTGAGATGACTTCGATGTACTTTATACCCACGTTATTTTTTTGTTATATCTACATAATGTTCTGTTGAAAAAAGATTCGAGAGTACCTCTTCTGCCATAGCCACTTGGCATTTGAACAGGCTAACTAATGTTGTAATCTAATTTAAAAATATATTGAAAAATTATCACAAATATTGTCAAAAAAAATTAATACGTACAATCGTTTCGCCAATTTTTCAACTGCGCGCTTACTTATTCTATTATTAGAACAAATTCCAACCGCTGGAAATATAATACTATCCATAGGTTTTCCTTCTGGCATTTGTGTGGTAACTAAAGGTGCAAAATAAAATTTGTTGAAAGTCATCCATACTAGTGTCACGGAAACAATGAATGCGCCAATCAGAGTAATCTTCCAGACAATTCTGTAAAATAAACATGAGAACCATTTTACGATGTTATTATGGTGAGATTACAAACTTTTTGCAAGTTCAATGATATAACACTATCTGATGTAACGCACCTACTTCGAAAAGTAGTGGTAATTGCGACAAACAAGTCTAAGCCATCGAACTAAACAAGTTCACAAAGTTGTAATACGTAAGTAATGAGATGTTGACCATTCCCTGCTTACCTTTCAATATATGGTGTGTTCTCGTTGACCAGATGTTTGAGTCCGCATATTGACGATTGTGTGCAGTATTCTTTACCGATTACTTTTAAGCTCCTTCTTAAGATAAGCCAATTGGTTTTCTTTGGTCTTTGTTTATTTCTATAATCGTAATGCGGATAGATTCGATTATCCATTTTATAATAGCTTTTAGAACATATTAAATCGTGTTTATCGAAACTATGCTCCAGTACGTGTCACACTTCAAAATGTCGCATTGGTAAGTAAATGACAGTTGTTAAACGTTTGCGATATGATCTGACATCGACTCGCTGTAGTTAATTGCCGTGATTGATAGCTTCTTCTCGTGTTTCAGTCGGTAGTTTTTTGATTTCCTTATCAATTTTCAATAGTAGACAAATATGTACTTAATAATTATTACTTCGAACATTCCGTTCTGCCATAAAATAAATGATAAGAAATATTTATAGATTTAATTTAGGTAGATGCAATATCTATACTAATATTATAAGTGGTAAGTTTTTAACTTCATTTATTTATGAGAGAAGAATACCTATAGGAAGATACTTATATATGGGTAACAGAAGGTATAGTTTATGCGAGCGAAGTCGCGCGAACAACTAGTTAACGAGTATTATATTCCGGTTAAGAACCATATAAAAGTAAACTAAATATAACTTATTTTAGCATAGTAATCATCAGAAAGTTGTTTTTATTGTTTTACGTAATGTAGGTGTAAGTCTAGAATTTTTCCATATCGCCTTTCTATGTGCGAAACTATGTAAGTGGGTTGTATCGGCATCACAGTGGATGGAAAGGCGAACTGAGACATGACCGGTTGCAACACAAGTTGCAACAATCTGACCATCTCCGCAACACCCGCATTCACTAGCTCTGTGATGTACCAGGGCTTTGAGATAAGAAGTGCGGTAAATTTACTTTTAATAATGTCAGATATATTTAACACGTCTGACACGTAACGCGCCTCCATGCTTCAAACCTAATGAAATCAATAGTACATCATTGTGATGAAATCTCGTGAAGTTCGCATACTACTTAATACAAGGTTTAGTGACATTCGAGAAACAAATTTCTATTCTTAGACTATTAGTTATTACAATTCTCTCAGACTGCACGTTATATAATAAGACATTTGAACAATGTCGCTACACTTTGCCACAGAAATGTCAGTCTCTCATAGAGTCAAGACTAACACAGGCAATTCACACCAATACATACTTGATACAACTATTTACCATTCATCATCATCAGACTAATAATATACCCACTGTACGTAGACCTACCTAGAGGACGTACCTAGAGGAGTAGAAGATGGAGTAATATAAGGACAATAAGTAAAATCTCACCTCTCAAGCCCAGTCACCAATTAATGATAGGTAGGTATTAATGATAATGGTTAATAGGTAAGCCTATAAAATGATCCTACAGATGGAAGCCGAATTTAATTTTTAATTGCTAAATAACTACCACTAAAAAAAACAAATGAATCCCTAAACTACCATAAAAAGGAATATGAATTATTTTTGATTGAACATCGAATGTTATATTTTAACAAAATAGCTCAGCAGAATTCAAAAAGTATTGCAGACAATAATAATACTAGTACTCCTTATAAAACTAATTTATAGTAGTCACTCTAATTGATTAGATGCTTCTAGATACACGTAATCAAATTAATTAATCACTATTAAAATAGAGAATGTTATAGATATTTAAATAAAACATACAGTTATAGTGATACGAACTTTTTAAGAAAAATAAACTATCTAATGGTAAAATTAAACAATCACAATAGCCTATTATGCGTCATTTACAAAAGGACAATTATGTAGAATAGTATATTTTCTTTCGTATTTCCAATCCTTACATAAAAAGTTTCAGGTATTTTATGTAATTAATAACAAAATCGGGATTTAGAAACACGTATCTTTAACAACAAAATATATAGTTTCTTATTATTTTAAGTGATATATAAAATATGGATGCTACATTCCAAAAATCATAGGAAAAAAGAACCGTAACCCTAATTTTCGGGTTTTGGATAACTCTTCCAGATATTTATTGTTATAAAAACAAAACTAATCAGATTTTGACATTTTAATAAACTTATACATGTAAGCTTTTGAATAAAAAAAGAATTTTGAAAATAAAAATACATACCGTCGAACATACAACTTCCGTATATATATATCAAATGTGCTCTCATTAGTTTCAGTTTTATTTTTAGATTATATTATTTGAAATGAATTATATGTTTCGTTTCCAATTACTAACTCGTCCGATGATGCAGCCTTTGGTGGTGGTATATCGGCCGCTCTCTTTGCTTCGCTCACAACAGCCAACAGTTGCCAAATTAACCGCATCAGCACATCGCATACCTTTCATTACAAAGCTATTCGTGTTTATATAAAAAAAAAACAAAGTGTTGTGCTCTATTATTGTTGGTTTTGGATAGTGCTTTATAAGGATTGTGGTTTTATCGTTTATGGATATGGTGAGTCAGGTGCTTATGTTATTATAAAATTTAGGTAATAACATTATTACTATACATTTTAAAATAAATGAGATGGAATGTTTAAAGTAAAGTTACAGCAATAACTGAAAACATCTATTTTTAATATTTACCTTAATTCTTATCTTTGTCTGTTGAAAATCACATCTGTATACAACTAGCTGTTCCCCGACTTCGCCTACGTAAATTATAATGTATGTCACCCGCATATGACGGAACTATATTCCCGTCCATAAAATAATTTTTTAAATCGGTTCTCAAAGCAATCAAACAAACGCTCAAAACTTACTTCTTTGTAATTTTAGTATAGTATATTTTTTATACATATACATACGTATTATTACGGTTTTGTGGCATGAAGATTATGCAAAAGGTTCAGTATAATAGAAAATCAAAGATTTGCTTCCAGACTATACAGATCACAACAAAAATTATAATCTTTTTATATCCGTATACGGTATTATTTGATAATATTGTTACATTTAATCGTTTTATTTTTAATAGGTAAGATAGTGAATAACTAATTGTATGTATTCTACTTGAAATTTATTAATTGTTTTATTCGAACTTACTTCTAGAAATATATGAATTTGACAAAGTAACACTAGCCCTACAAATAATAGTATCATACTTTACCGACCCTGTTTTATTATAGATTATTCAATGTCGACCACGCGATTCAGATTACGATTTTCTAAATTATATATCTCACGAAGGGTTTAAATTCTCTTACATTTTAAAATATACATTTAGTAATTACTAAATCCTTATTCGTAGTCTATTGCTATTTTAAAAAAACATTCAATCGAGTAAGTGAATGATGTTCTCAATTTTTTTTTTTAAATACTGATAATTGGTTGTTAGTTGTTTTAAATTTATCAATTAAACTTGCCTCTTTATTATATTCAATATGTGCCATAAAACAAAATGGGAAGTTATTAATGCTATTTTCATTTTTATTAAATAAGTTTTCTGTAACATAGTTGAAATGTATAGAGTAACTATACGCATTTTGTATGTATTAATCATTGACATATCAACATTAATAATAGCGTTGGTTATTACATAACTTATGATGCAGCGAGTAATTATGACTTTTGCTCAGTCATCTTTTTGTCACTGTTCCTACTCCCGGAAGAAGCATCACACGCTCGCTGTTATAATGAAATACAGTCTAATGGGTGCATTTTTAGAACCATTAAAATTGCACAATTGCTCGAATTATGTCGCTCATTATAATGATGTAGATATATTTACAAAACATAACATTTACACGAGGGACAACACTGAATAAATGAAGTTTTGAAATCACTAGCTGTCCTCCCGCGACTTAGCCCTCGTAAATGATATAGCATATCATAAGAATTATTAAAATCCGTCCGCTATATTCAATGCAAACAAAACATCAAATCTCATAATATTAGTTAATACTATATCGGCCGGCGGCTTCGCCCACAAAGTCCCTAGGGAACTCTTGGTGGGATAAAAAGTAGCCCATATGTCAATCCAGGTGTAGAATTTAATCTAATAATTCATTTGGATAATGTTTCATATCATGACACGGATATAATCACAAATACAAAGTCAATGGTAAACAATGGTTACCGTGGTAATGTTTTGATTCCCTATACAAACTTCCACTTCCATTTTCATCCCTTTATTTGCTGTGTTTCGGGACAACATAGAGCCTGTGTCCATCGCAGACGATGTAGCTTTCGGTAGTGCAAAAATTTTAAAAATCTGTACTGTACTTTCGGAGCCTATTCGTTGCAAACAAACAATCAAATCTTTTCTATTTATAATATCGTTTATAGTATAGAAAAGACGTTTTATTTAATTAGTAGTGTTCGCGTACATATGATAAGAAACAAGTTTTTATAACGATAATAATTTGTTTGTTCATAAAAGTAAATAGATGCCTATTTTATTTCGAAACAATTTAAAATCGCAGTTGTTTGCACATTACAATGTTTAATTTAAACTCCTACAAAACCAATTGTAATGTAATGAGAATAGGGGAAATATAGATAATATTATTTTTACGAGTATTTTAACAAGGCATTAGATATAATAGATCTTGAAAATATGACGTCATAATTCAATTTGGGTTGCGGACATGCAAATCGTACCCATTAACGTAGATCCATGATATCGGCCTACGCGCAGTGTAGGGTTTCGTTATTCCGTTTTATCAGCTCTATCAGAATAATTTTCAATTGAATTTGATCCTTCTCAGTTCTAACAGTTCCCCTACTTCATTACATATGTATACCTACTATTGCGTATTTGTTATCATACTTTGAGAATATATAAAGATAGTTAACATATAAAGTCAAGTTATACCTTTCTAGACAAAATCTATTTAAGCCTTTCCTTTTTGCAATTTTCCATCTTCCAACTGTATTGTGCTTGGTTTTTGAGTAAAGTTGCGAAATCTGCGAATAGTGATAGTTTGTATTAAGATTTTGATCATTTGCAAAACTTTTTTTTTGCCTGCCTAGCTTGAACAACGCGAGAGACTCAAGATATAAGTGAGAGTGAGACCGGGAGTGAGATATTGCTCAGGTATATCTCACTTTCGACCTGTTTCTCGATCTACAGTGTTTCTCGAGTCTTTCGAGTTCGTCGTGTTACGCGTGCTGCACCAGATAGGAAAAAACTTGTAACATTCCGCTAACAGACTGTCTGACTTAGCTACCGTAAATCTTAAGGCTGAGTGAAAAATTTGATTAACGCACCCGCCAGTGATGGGGAGGGGCTGGATTAAAACTATTAATATTTAATTACTCGCAAATCATTCCGATTATTGTAAAAGTTTTTTCTTTACAACGATTTAAACTCTTGGTTAAAAATGGCTCCCATATCAACCAATCTTCCCTGTAAAAAAAATAATTACGAGAAGAAATTGGAAAGATTCATAGTACTTTGTATTTTTTTACAATAGGAAAATTTTCGTTCTGATTATTGCAAGATTCTAAAAAAATATGTAATTTTGTCATTTTGAATCTCAATGGTTTTTTTTTTATACAATAAACAATTGAAAGATAATGGTTTTTAGCTTACCCATTCTCTTAACGAGAATAAACTGTTGGTCAACAAATTACTTGCTACTTTCCTTACAGGTGAACGTTTTTATGTGAACAGTTCAAACTTTTTTTAAATTATGAAAAAAATATAAAATAACATGCCCTTGTATCCTAATGCTAAGATTCATTTCGTCAATACCACTCACCCGAAATGTGGAATGTGTACAAATACGAACAGAACACTCGAGAACATTGACCAATATATAATAATGATTACTACGCTTAGATTTGAAAGTGAATTTTGTGTACTACAACGACCTTGGCCATTGTACCTATGAATGGGCGCGCAATCATTCCCATCAGTTGTGACTTTAACCGTTTCACACGTAGATCTTGAGAACCACGATTATAATATATGTGAATCGATCCATATCTGACGGAAGATCCGTCGCGTACCATCCGTCAAACAGCCCTGCGATTCTATTAAAATCCAACCCCGAATACGAATTCACTCATGAGTCTGAATTCATGACATTTAGTGAAGAAATTCTATTGTTTCCATCATTTGTATAAAAAAAAAACAAATTCAGTTATTATACGTGTCTCATATATTCTTTTCCTATGTCATTTCCAAACTCACTTACTTTTCCAAGTAAGTGAGTGCCTGAAGTTTAAGATTGAGCTGATGCCGCTTTTTGAAGTGAATTCAGAAACCTGAGTGAATTCGAATTCGGGGTTGGATTTTTTCAAAATCGCAAGGTTGGTAATAAATAATTTATATGTTTATTTAGGAGCCAAATTTATGGTTGTGAGATATCGGAAGAGTCGTAATAAATTCTATTCAAATTTGAAGTTGAAGTATCTTATCCTTGACTAGATGACTGATGTTCTGGGAATAACGGTGATATTATGCATTTATGTCACTCATCTTAGTCTTGGACCAGCTCGTTAAAAAATATTTATGTCATGTTTTTGAAAAACTATGAGAACCTGTTGCATACCCATCTGAATCTTGGCAATTCTTTGAGAGGTGTTGTGTGTACTGAGCGTGACCCAAGAATTAATTATGTGTTTCCTTATTAGTATTTATTAAGTATCGTTTAATAAATCTAAATATGTTATGAATATTTCAATATTGGGTAGGTGTTCAATAATTTCTTATAAAAGTTATCAGCATACGCTAAAGAATTACTAAAATAGTTAGGGAAACAAAAGAAACCGCCCCGACATATAATAAATATGACAAACAACAAATTTGTGTAGGTACTGATGCAAAAAAATCCACCGTCAGACCCCAAAACTACTATGTAATATTCAATGTAGAAAAACGTAATATAAGTAACGGATTGATTTATACAGTACATTAAAAATTAAATTCAAGATGGCAACCAAAATAAAGGCATTGTCCTTGAAAATAATTTTAATAAATTGATTGAGTTTGTATTAAACTATACTAGGTAGATGGATTTGAATCTATGTAATTTAATAATAATGATATAATGTTATTTAATTTAATATCAACAAAACCATCGTTTCAAAAATCAAATATCTCATTTTTTATTCAATGATTTATGAACCAACAGCCATTGACAATCTAGATTATTCTCAAACTATCATTCTTGGAATAAAATTTGCATGAATGTCCGAAGTAAAAATATCTCTTTTTGTAGTTAATTACTATGTCAAGTTTAAGAGTAACTGCGTTAACATACAAGTTATAAATATACTAGAATACCCTTGACTTGATTATGTAAGATGAGGCATCATTTGTTACGACTTCTAAAAATAGTATAAGATTCTGTTGTACATCTAAAACAGACGTTTTGTAATCTTTTTTAATAGCTGTAGTGACCATTAGAAGCTCGGTGGCGCACTGATTAACTCGTTCGGTCTTTGATGCGGAACTTAAGAAACTTTCATAAGGACCGGTCATAAGTGACCAAAAATTTATTATCTCGAACTATCCCGTACTTAAGAAAGCACGTTAAATAATCGGTCCCGGTTACATCTGTAGTCTTTAACACTCACAAAGTTACATTGTGTCCGTCAGTTATTTTCGATTTCACACGGAAAGATATCCATTTTTACAGTCCATTATTCAGCCAATACACAAAACCTAAAAAAAATGTTTAAATATATTCAGAAGATTTCGCATGTCTTTTAGACACATAATATACGAGGCTGTAAGAACTATATTATATAAAAAGTAGAATGTTTGTTTATCCATGCATTTCTCAGAACTTAAAAGATCTTAATATTTGTTTATCTTTCTGTTTAATCATTCATGGCCAAAAAATTCAAGACCACTTTGAACTTAGTAGAATTACGTAACGACATATATTGATATTAACTTTAAATTGCTTTTGACTTTTAAAGTCTATTTACTATTTGTACGTACGTTCGTTCGTATCAACGATTAAAAAACTTAACTTTAAGAGCATTAAATTCACATCAAATGAACGCGGTTAATATCATAGGTATATTATCCTTGAGGGCATTCTCCATCAACTATTATAGTTATCATTTTCTTAGATGTGTAATGTAGTACACAGTGTTATATATATAATAATGTAAATGTTACAACTGTTAAGCTTGCGCGTATCTAAAAAGAAACATAAATTTCATACAGTATCGTATAATTAAATAACGTCCGAATAAGCTGTCATATATATATTTTATAAGAATTAAAACCGACTTTAAACTTTAAAAAGTGAGCAATAACGCTTATCTTAAAAACTGTTATTCAGACGAAGATTTTCTTTGATGATTTTTCGACTCGTCACCACTTATCGTTTCATACGATACAATTCCAGCTAAAATAGAACTGGAATTGTATCATATGTCACTTTGTAGAATAGAAAAACCATTAAAAACTGTAGTTTTGTTCGGTTTCTATATAATTTACATGGGCAAAATCGCAGGAAAATAGCTTGATTGATAGATATTATTCACATTTCGTTTCATCATTAGTTCACATTTCACGAAAAAATTGATAAATATACCTACTTATATGCACACCTGTTGAACATAGAAATTTCTGATTTACTTGTAATATACGTTCTTTTGTTTATTCACTAAATATAAATATTTAGTGAAAAATAGTTTTTTGTGGTATTTGGTAAAAAGTATATTTTATTTTGTCATAAAAACAAATTAACCGATACAATGCCGATAATTTTTACATGGGACCTTAATTTTAAAATTCTTGGAAAGAATTTTATGTAGTTTTATATCGGTGAACATAAATCGCGGTAGAACCTCTACCTTTACGATTTTGTAGTTGGTGAAAAGAAACATCATGTTTCGAAGGGTTATGTGACTGTCAAAATGCCAATAGAGGTCCGGAAATGATCAAATGAAATGAAATGAAATGAAATGAAAATATCTTTATTCAAGTAGGCTATTACAAGCACTTTTGAATCGTCCAAAAAACTTTTTTCCCCTACCACTTGTTCAGGACGTCTTTTAGCTGACAAGAAGAACAAGCGAAAGAAACTTACCAGCTTTTTATCATAAGTTATGAAATGACATTTACATAAATCATGTCATTACCAAAATAATATGTATTATCACAATAGTAAATACAACTTTCAAAGTCTGTAGGACATAGGTTGAACGTATAATTAGAACAAAGCGAAGGCTATTAATTCCATGCATTGCGATCCTTAAAATAATCATCAACTTTATAATAGCCTTTACTCATAAGTATATTCATATATATGGGTAGGTCAATTACATTTTGTGGAACTTTATTGAACATAGCAATACATTTACCCAGAAATGATCCTCTGGTTTTTTGAAGTCTGAAGTTTGGAACGGCAAATTTATCTTTATTTCTTGTGTTAAGATTATGAACACTACTTTTTTTTGTGAAGGAATCGTAATGTTTTCTTGTGTACATACGATCAACTTCAGGACTGAAAACAAATGAAGTCAAAAACTATTTGATTAAAAAAAATCACATTATCAGCCGTCGATGCACCTTTATAACCAATGTCGCATACTTTAATTACCTCTCTTCAGCAGATATCGAAAACGAAAGGGCTTTTCCTGATATTATCTTTGGGATCTCTGGTGAGATGTCATCCCCCGCATCCAGCTGTGGTGGCAGTTCGCCAGGAGGAGGAAAAATTGCCACAATACTTGCGCAGTTCAGCTCTCCACAATCCTCATCTCCGAGAAATTCTACCACTAACAAGCCTCCTACATAAAGGAGAAAATTTGGTAAGAATTTAATATGAATATCCGTTAAAACTGGTTATAAACTACTCAAACATATGCAATGTTATTAATAAACAAGCTAAACCTTGTTTAGTTGTTGTTAGTCGTTGGAGTAATTTTACGCTGAGACTGCACTAAGTATTAGTCAAAATATATATCATTAAACAGAGAACAAACGTCAACGGGGTAAACGAGGTTCTACGGGAATAATATTTACCCCTAGAAGGTAGTAGATTTGCTTATTCTCTGTAAAATATGAATTTGGACTAATACTAAAATTGCAATTTTAGCGTAAATTTACTCTGGTCCCAAACCTTGTTTATTAATAACACTGAAGGCAAAAACTACCTAGTTTTTTGCGAAACGCTTCGTCGGATTTTTGGACCCTCATAGCTTATGTTTAGATTACACTAGATACATCAAATTTTTGGGATACAATCCCAGTAACATAGAAAATTTCAATTACGTAACTGTTATACTTTTGATTTTATTGATATCAAAAAAACCCCGATTGCAGTACTTATACACTCGCTCACTCATGATCATCAAAACCTATAGGCTACTTTTTGAAGTTGTAAAAAGCTGAAATTTGTTATGTGAGATAGTATCAGCATTCAGATAACAGAATAATTCAAAAACTTGGATTTTTACCCTTCATCCCCTTTAATTAGGGGATGAAACTTTGTATGAAACTTCCACAAAATTGATCCTAGACTTCTGAAATTCGAAATGTAATCCCAATAATGAACTAATTAAGCATACAAATTTTGAATTGCGTAGCACCTATATTTTTGATTTTATTGATATCTACAGACCCCCATTTCGATCTAAAGACTCCCTCCAATTTCGATACTTATAAACTGATAATCATCAAAACATATATGGTACTTACTGAAGTCCTAGAAAGCTGAAATTTAGTGAGTAAAGATGATAATACCTTACATATCAAATTTCAGCAATTTTTTTATGAACTTTCATCCCCAATCCCCCTAAACTAGGGGATGGAACTTTGTATAATATTTTCACAAATTGCAATGCAATGTATCGGATCCTAAATACGCGGTGGATTACCCGTCCCGATATTATTCAGTGAACAAGCGATCTGAAGCGAAGCTCGAAGCGATAACTAGTGTTCTGAAGTGAAATAGTTAAGTTAAATAGTGTATTTTGTTATTAGAGTTATTTTTCTTAATTAAATAAAGTCGGATTGTGAACTAAATTGGCGTTTTTTTATCCCGAACTGAACACATAACAGTATTTATTACCAATGAGGAAGTATTTAAGAAAAAAACGAAAGCACTAAAAAAGCACCTCCACTATATGGCGACTCTAGCAAAAGTTGATTTTTGCAGGATACGAATGGACCAAAGATAATCATTTCCGTTCCTTCTTAGTAACATATTAAAAAGCTGAAATTTGAAAAATTCGAGATTAAGATATCAATACAAATAGCATGTGAGTTGTTTATTGGGTTTTGAAAAGTAATTTACATTTAAACTTGAAAGAAAAAAGGAAAGGTTGTCATGGAGAAATCAAGAACGTACTGTAGCGACATCTAGCTCGATATCGGGAACAATTTTTTTTTTAATACTTGCTCTTAAAAATCAACATGTGTTACAAAGTTTATAATCCACTTACCTATTACTACTTACTATAAAGTATTTACTAATATTATATACGGAAAAGAATGTTTGTTCGTCTCCCTTTTATGCCAGAATAGAGTGCAGTTATGTATTAATAGTAATATTTTTATTTGAATATGTTTGGGAGGATATAGCCTACTTTTGACAGCGAAAATATCTTATCTCCACGAATATATACGTTCCATCCTAGTACGCAAGATGTCCTCCTAATAGTGATTTAATACTTTGATGTATCAGGAAGTTGTTGTAAATATATATTGAATAGAAACTCAGTTGACTTTAATTAATCCTTGTATTTCACTAGCAGCCATGACAATTCCTTTTTCTATATTAGCCGTAAGTAATCATTGGAGAACAGTGTTGCCACTAATATGTATCGAAATACGACATCGTTCCCTTACAAATTTAGACTATTGGGTGGACGTCGGACTCTTTTAGAATATCGTAAACCAGAAACAGAATTACTAAATTGAGGTGAAGGTGGCAGGACAGGACGTGACTGAGGACTGAGTTGGACTGGAAGTGACTTAGGACTGGACTGGACTGGGAGTGATTGAGGACTGGACTGGATTGTGTAAATTGATTAGTTATGAGATTATTTGCGTTTGAATAGAGTATACAGAATAAAAGGAACGCTCAGCAAGCCAGTTATATAACTCTTTCTTAAATCAAGTAAGAGGTGTATTCTTTATAGATTCCGGAATCTTATTAAATATTGATTGGCACATACAATAGCAGTTATTTTTAAATCACGCGTTTTTTGGGATTATGTCAAGGACTAGCCTATATTTATTTCTAGTGTTACTGGGATACACTTCATGAGCTGTTTTCTAATAATCATGGAATCGTTTGGCTAATTTCGCTGCTTCAAATATATAGAAGCAAGGAAGAGGTAGAATACCGAAAAATTTAAACCATTGCTTACATGAGACCTCGGGAGCGATGCCACTTATGGATCTTATGCATTTTTTCTGGGCAATTTGCGCATCTGTACCGTTGCCACAAATAATAATTGCATAACGTAAAATTGACTAAACATAAGCGAAGTATGCTTTCGCTACTCGCGATAATTTAAATAATGCAAATGAGAAACTATTAGTTTCCAATCTAGTTTCTTGTCAATAGTTATGCGCGCATTTTTGGTATTTAATAATCAAGTTATTAGAAATTATATTATTAAAATTCATAAAATATGTCTTGTCTATATTTATTGTCCGATTATGGAATTTGATCCAATTTACTATGGTCATTATTGTATTATTTATGTCGTTTTCGTTGTCAGAAATTTTCATATTACGAGTATTATTAGTCGTCATTGCCACTGATATAATTTAGTTATTTCAACATTATATTGCAGTATATTTTGTGATAACAATGTTATATATATATTTTTAGTAGTGTTCATGAGAAACGAAATCGAATGCCTTTGACATATCAAAGAAAAGAGCTGTCGTATATTTACTTTAGTTAATGCTTTGTAATATTTCGTTAATTAAGTCAAAGACTGTTGGTTTTACTTACGTCGTCGAATTTCCTAACTATTAAAAAAATAATATGTAGTGAAATAATTACGTTAGAGGTAGAACAAGGACCCTTCGTCATCGTGTGATGAAAAAACATACATTGCCGTCGAACATATAACCTAATACTCCTATTGGATTTTGATATCGGTTAAAAATGCCGGTAGATGGCCGCTTCCATTCTCTAACATATGTGATGTATGAAAAAATAAACTTTGAGGTGGCGTCGCAAGTCAGGGCTGCTATTGTGCAATATATTGTAAACCACTAGGATGAAGAACAATTGTATGCATGTACTAACAATGGGGATACCTATGATTCGGATTCTCATTCACAAGATATGTTAAATAGTAATACTTATGGCTGTACCTCTGAACTCTTAAACCGACAAAATAAACTTATGGCATGTAGAGTTAGAAGCTTGCCTCTATATGAGATCTGAAAACTTTTTGATAGTGTGAGCCATATGGTCACTTCTAGGTACTATTTTACATGATAATGTTTTTGGTAGGATTTCATTTCTTTTTGAAATGAAAGAAAATCTGTCAAACAAATCTAATTGAGTAAATCTGTTCACAATTGAATTATAAAAACAGATTGGCAAAAATTTGTAGATTTGGACCTTGGATTATTCTAGGAATATGTGCAGATATTTAAAAGCAGATTTTTATTTCAAACTTATGGATTTTATGACTTACAAACAATACAATCACTTTTAAGAGCTGGCTTATCAATATCTCGTTTGTTGTCAGGTCTACCAACGCGAAACCGACGGCGTATCTCGTCAAGAGATATATAAAATCCTTACTCACGCTGGTCTCCTTCCTCGCCGGCCGGGCTACTTCAAACCTGTACCACACCGTGTCCATCGTCCAGGACACCGCGAGAGCGATCTCATCAATGATTATTTTGATATATTTAATCACCCTGAGCTGCTGCAGCATTTATGAAAGATAATAATCCACTGAGACAATACCTATTTTTTTATCTTCAAAAACAAAAAGCTATTAGTTACTTATTACTAAATAAAGTCGATTGTTTGATTGATCGGTTTAGATTTTTTTTTTAATTTACTAAATCTGAATCGATATAATTAAATACTTAGGTGATAGGGCAGAAGACCCGGGTTTAGCCACTGCCCATTTTTGGTAATTTGGAACATCAAAGCGTGCTAACTAACGCATAGAAAAAATATATTAATTTACCGTGAACGGTAATATTTCATTATGGCAACACGAAATTGCGTTAACAGCTATATAATATTAAAGTTCACTTCGTCGTAAATCTCAAAGTGGTCAAAACTAGCCCACAATCTTAAAATAGTCAAAACCGGGTCATCTGGTAATTTAATAATAAGCATATGAAAAATTCATAATTTGATAGTCTCTTGTTGATTTTTTTGTTACAATGTTCTATTACTAATAATGTTATAATAAATAATGTTTAATGTGCAATAACGGAAGTACAAGTGTTACGATACGATTTAAAAAATTTAAATAATATAAATTCTAAAGGAAAATATGTAAATATTTTAGAATTAAGGAATGTGTTATAAAATACATATAAGGAGTGTATATCCTGTCTACTAAAAAAGTGTTTTTATAATCTAGAACTCATCTCTACTGCATATGCTTAATCATTTAGATAAAGCACAAAATATTGCAGCCTGTCACCATTATATATAATTAATAATTCTAAAAACCTCTTGAAAGCGAAAGTAAAACTATTTACGAAAATATTTAATGTCAAACAACAAATATGATAATTAAATCAAATATTTTACATTCATAAATGTTACCCAACAATAAAATGTTCGTCCAATAGAAAAAATAAATTGCATTTCAACCTTCACTCCTAAACGACCGCTGTTGTATTATAATGTCGTTGCACAATTATATATCATTATCATATAAAAAATTCATAACATTTGCACAATTTAACAAATTAAAAAATATTTCACTCGTAACAAGGTTGAATGTAATATCCTGTCTGTCGCTAATACAAAGCCTCAGCAAAAAGGGAAATATTTATAATGTACAATGGCACAGATTTGCAAGAGATTAGTAAAGGATTATTGTGCAAATTCTACTGTTGCTGGAATACGCTTTATTGCCGATGATACAAAACACTGTATTGAAAGGTAAACTGCAACGCTAGCACCCAGCTGCACAAACGTCCATTAATTTTTTTATTGGCTTAATGTGACATTACCTATACCAATTTTTCAAATTAAGATGGTTCATTAGAACTTTGGAGCTCGGAGGTTAGCACGCTCGGTGTGCGACACATATTTTTGTAGATATCCATATGTTCTTTGCGGCCGTCGAAATGGTGACAAGAGCGATAACAATGGACAGAGCAACGCAAAAAGTTGATACCTACTGAGCTGTCAGATGTAGCTCAACCGTAAGTGTAGATTGCAGTCTAACTCATTTTAATTACAGTTAAGGAGCTCGATAGCGCAGTGGTTGCTCGCTTGGTCTGCGATTCTGTATAAACAACTTTCGCAAGGAGTGGTCATTGAATGGGTGATCAAAATATTTGGAAATTCCCCATGCTTCGGAAAGCACGTTAATACCTACCAATAAGCACTGAGCCCGCGTTGTGGGTCATGACCCATTCTCCCTATTCGATTCGACTTAAGTCCATCATTATATCATTATATCAGCCCCAACAGTGGGGCCAATATAAGACTGATGATGACGATGTTGATGATTAGAGCTTAAAATCGTCACTAAAACCTAATGGACGTTTGTGTAACTGGGTTTGTAAGTCATATCAAAGGTAATAAAATATTATATAAATGATATTAGTAGAAATTGAAAAGAAAAACGACTACGGCAAAGATACCTTATGCGTCTGTCCTTTATCAATTCCTATTAATATTATAAGCAGGAAAGTTTGTGAAGATTCATGAATAAATTTAAAAAAAATGAATATTAGACAACACCACATACATTGCTCAGATTCCAAGATGAGTGGCTAAAGCACCCCTATTATGTAGTATCTGAATTCTGAGACAACCTCTACACCCAGACACGAAACGATATGAAAAAATGAACTTTCTATATTGATCCGACTGGAAATCAAATCCGGAACTTCAGATATTTGTTACTCTTTTACACAAATAAACTGAACAAATTTTGATGAAATATGTTATAATTATAATTCTTAGTCTGAATTAGCATATGTCATACTTTTTTCCCGCTAAAGCGTTCCCTACGGAAAACGCAGGCGGAAAGCTAGTATTTTATACACTAATTTGGTTTTCTGATTATTTGATCCTTTCATACAGAATTGTTTGGGTAGCGCTTGTAGTTCTCTCCTGGTATGGTTCAGTGATGCTAATGATCTCTGCATGGGATGCTTTCGTATTCCACCCTATCAGCTTCGGCGTAGAAACTACGTACACAGATTGGAACACTGAAATGCCTACGATAGCAATCTGCGAAAAGGAGAGTGAACTCAAAGTTTTTGCCTTTGCTGATACGTAAGTACACAAATCAGTAAGATTTATAATATCTGAAACAGATTGCTATTTATTTATATATATAATAATCTGTTTCAGGTATTGTTGTTTATTTATATAATTAAATCATTAAACAATCATCTAATGATATATGGAAATATTTCCATATATACACAAAAATAAATTGTTCTGCATTTAATTGAGCTTGCGACTCTTATGAGTTCAATCCAAAGTGTAACTAGAATCGAATCTTGGACGATTCAAAAGCTCTTTTAATAAAGATTATTTTCATCTTATAAGTACGTTACTAGAAGTAAATATAAAAGCTACTCAGTAAAGCATTGTAGAAATATAGTAGCGTTTTCTAAACTTGACTGGTCCAACGGAAAAATTCAAGCAATTTTACAAGGTAAATTAATCAATTACGCACCTGTATTCTGTGTTACATAGAATTTGAAGTTTAGCCTTATATAAACCTACACTTCTAATATCTTCTAATAAATAACATATTAAATAAATTAATGTGAGAATAGTGCTGCTTTTTTGCAACACAGTCAATGATGTTTCAATTGATTTTACTATCTAGCAGTAGCCGGAACCCCAGCCTCTGGGATCCGCGTAATTAAGAAAATCCTAGTTTACAGCGTCATAGACCTAAATCCCTATGTAGAAAGAAAAAAATAATTCAAAACTTTAATTATTAAAAAAAAACTCTTTGTTTCCAGGTATTGGCCACCGGATCATTCTCCCGACCTCGAAGATGCTCTGAAAGAAATTGTTTTCTTCCGAGGCTCTTGTAATGCTCTGCTGACAAATTGCTATACGCCAAAGTCGCCAGATCCCATTTGCCCTTTATCCAATTACAGTTACTACGTTACGATGATACGCAGAAAGTGTCCAGAACTATTACAACAGTGCTCCTACAATGACAAACCCTTCAGTTGTTGTGACTATTTCCAACACATTGAGACGGACACCGGCCCATGCTTCATCTTAAATTCTATTCAAACTAAGTTAGTATATTATTTAATGATGATTTTCCATCACAAATTAAAGCAATATAGTATAAACACCCAGTTGCACAAACGTCTATTAAGGTTTAATGATGACCAGCGCCGGCTCAATGAAGCTTGGCACCCTACGCAAAACACTGAAACTTGGCGCCCTAGGCAAAACACTAGACCTTGGCGCTCTTGGCAAAACACTTGAACTTAATGTCCTAGGCAAAATACTAGAACTCGGTGCCATAGGCAAAGCAGTGTACCTTGGCGCTCTTGGCAAAACACTTGAACTTAATGTCCTGGGCAAAACACTAGAACTCGGTGCCATAGGCAAAGCAGTGTACCTTGGCACTCTTGGCAAAACACTTGAACTTAATGTCCTAGGCAAAACACTAGAACTCGGTGCCATAGGCAAAACACTGTACCTTGGTGCTCTTGGCAAAACACTTGAACTTAATGTCCTAGGCAAAACACTAGAACTCGGTGCCATATGCAAATCACTGTACCATCGCGCTCTTGGCAAAAACATTAGAACTTGGCGCCCTAGGCAAAACACTAAAACTAAAAAAAGGCTAATGTTTTAACGCCGATAAAAAATAACATTTAGAGGCATAAGCTACTACATTTTTGAGGCAAATTAATTTAAGCAAATTTATATAAAATCTGTTAGCCATGCCATGCTTCCCTTCAAATAGCAGCGCCCCAGGCAGTTGCCTAGTTTGCCTATATGAATAGGCTGGCCCTGATGATGGCCAGATGACTTTACGCTCTAATCAATATTCTAAATTTTAAAATTTGTATTGACAACGACATTCACCCTATTGCACAAACGTTCAATATGGTTGTTTAAAACCGCTTACCGATACCAAACTTCTGATAAAGAAAATTTTAGAATAGTAATTTAACCCGTATCCCGTACCTTAATAAGCTATAACATTCATCATCATCGATCAGCCCTTTTTACATCCCCATTGCAGAAGTTCAGGCCCTCCTTATGGATGGTTAATGAGGAAGGGTCATGACCGTCCATGCTAGCTCAAAGCGGAGTGGAGGGTAAATAATGACGGTAAATGAAGCCAGGACCTACAAAGGCTTAATTTGCCTTCCGAAGCAACGCGTAGCTTGAGATAATATAGCTATAATATTAATCTATTGTAATTTAAGTATGTAATAATTACAGAAATCCGATGCCTTTACCAATGATAGCAAACCAAACACATAAAAGAGCTGTGATCAAGTTCGAAACCCTTGCAGAAGCTACGGTAATTAATTTATTGCCACCTCATTAAAATTTAGAAGGAGTCGAGCAGTATGTATGGAAAGACAACTTTCTTTTAGAATTTGATATGTTAACATTAAAGGTAACTAATCGAATAGGGAGAATGACCATAACTCTTGGGGGCTGAGTGTGAAGCAGGCCCTGCGGGATCCCACGTCCTTCCCCCAAAAATGAGGTTGCATCGGAGGGCTTCATTAGGTATGCCATCCACGTTTTGACTTGATGTGTGCATGGAGAGTCCTACACATCCCCTATCTCCTGTTAAGCAGCAGGGACAGTCTATGAATATTCCCGTTACCACAAAAAATAATGAACCATAACCCACCACGCAATCTCAGTTGTTAACACGTGTTAAGAACTACAAATGCCCTTGGGAAATAAATATGTTCCATTACAAAGGAATATGTTCCATTTCTGGTCTATCTTATGGATAGACCAGAAATGGAACATATTCCTTTACATAAAGTAATTATTGTACGATATAATCAGTTAATATTTATAATATTGTAGACGTTTACTCTGGCACCAGATGAAGTACCATGTTTATCGTCATCCCAAACTTCATTAATGGAAATAAAGCTTGGATTTAATTACAGGTAATTTTACCGAGCTTTTAATTTACTTGACTTGTTAGGGCCCAAATCTTTGAATTCAAATTTGACCCACTTCCCAATGTTACAATATGCAAGTCAGATAATAATTCGATATCATGGTGTCAGTAAGCTGATATGATGATGAAGTTGGAGGGTGGTCATAGAATCTTAGCAGTGAAATATCGCCACTGCATGTTAGGGCTATTTAAATCCGTCTTTATGAGAATAACACCATAAAGAAGCAAAACTAAAAAAAAAAAGTTTTTTAAAAACAAACATAAATAAATTCTAAACATTTCAAATATTTATAATAAAAAATCCATGACCGTAAAATTGTCTTGAAAATCTTGTAGCGCTTAAAGATATGTGTATTTCCTCGTCTTCAATTTCATTATAATATGCATTGGAAATTTTATTCCGAATCACTGGATTACAGAAATTTCCGCTAAAAATCGATTCTACACAAAATGTGCCAATTTTTTATCGCTTTATTACAATCAGTCAAATTGAAGAAACAAAAAATTTAATTAAAATTTCCAAATCTCGATGAGTTACATTATTGTGACGTCAGAGTCTAATAAAAAGTGAGTTTCACATGAGAGTAACAAGAATAGAAAGCCCACCAACTCCAACTTCGAGCTCCACATTATTTTACCAGCGAAAGAAAATATCATTAGTAATTACAAAACTTTCTTTTTCTACCTATTTAAAACATCGACATACTATGCCTGATGCATAAATTTCTTATTGTAGCCGTCATATAACCATAAGAAGTATACAAAACGATCCTCTAACAGTGCAGACGACGATCGAACAACGAGCATGCCGTTTCTACACGGAGAATCAGCAAGTATTTTATCCCTTTTACTCATATAGCGGATGCGTGGTGGAGTGCCGCAAAAAAGCACAAATGGAGAATTGTCAATGCATGGATCATCTGATGCCAGGCGCTAGTAAGTAAACAAAAAAAAATTTTTTTAATGAGAACTCAATTGCTCAAAGTAAGACCCATTGAAGTAGACCCAGTAACGAGAGCGGAGGAAAAACAGAAAATTTCGGTAAATTTATTTTATATATGCAGCATTTTTATAAGTTTTGTGCCCTTTTACGTACACATAACCGTAAGACCGCTAGATATTAAAAATGTCAAATATAAAAACAGCCAAGTGCAACCCTGGTTCAGAGGGTTTCTCATAGGATTCGGGGGCTCCGCTTGGAGCGTTCTCTACCGGCTCCTAAGCCCTTCTCCCAAAGTTAGGCTACGCCGGAGGGGATTTAGTAGGTATACTAACCGCATTTTATGGATACAAATATTGATCTGTCGAAATGAAGCCTTGAATGATCTGTCAGTATGACAGATAAATCATGTCAGTTACGCCATACGCCTGCCCAACCGTGCGGTAAGATAGCCTGCATACCCACCATGTCGCTTATCAAGCGGCAAGCAAATCTAGTACATTTTGCATGCTATTATTAATTATGGCTAAATAGATTTAAAGATCTAACGTTTAAATCAATCACCTACATTAGACCTACCCATAAAAGCAAATAAAGAGTTTGTATTGTATTTGTATAAGCATTCACCCTCTGACACAAAAATAGATAATAATTAAGGGAAAAAGATTGTGTTGTAATCTGTAGGTAATGTTCTATATTTTTTCGTACACTATATAGTCGCCTCATTTTAAATGCATCTGTTTACGTCACACGTCTTTTTTGAGTCACCGTGTTACATAATGATGTATCTAGTAAATCTACCTGAGTCACACGTATTAACTAGAGCAATCAAAACAAGTGGACGTACGGACGGATAGACAGACACTCAAGTGCTCCTCAAGTCATATTGTAATTTAAACCGTTACGTAAAGTTACAAACAAATAAATTGGAACTTTTAACTTATACAATTTTAAGTAAAAAGTGATTAGTTTTGTTAATTACTCTGGTGACCGAGTTAAACCTTGGCATTGAAGTTTCATACAATGAAACAGTTATTCAATAGATAGACGAATAATAAAAGAAGCCTATCTACATATTCGTATCGGAGTATGTAACTATCAACACGAACGTTTTGCTATATCACTGCAATCTTTCTAATTGCTTTCTAATTCTGAGTATAGTATAGCTTTGATACCTGTCATAACCAAAGACTATAACCCTACCATAAATAAATTTAAAATTCATGTAAAGAATATACTTATGAGTAAAGGCTATTATAAAGTTGATCATTATTTTAAGGATCGCAATGCATGGAATTAATAGCCTTCGCTTTGTTCTATAAAGACTAATTATATGTTCAACCTATGTCCTAGAGACTTTGAAAGTTGTTTTTATTATTGTGATAAATGATAATACATATTATTTTGGTAATGACATGATTCATGTAAATGTCATTTACATTACTTATGATAAAAAGCTGGTAAGTTTCTTTCGCTTGTTCTTCTTGTCAGCTAAAAGACGTCCTGAACAAGTGGTAGGGGAAAAAAAATTTTGTACGATTCAAAAGTGCTTGTAATAGCCTACTTGAATAAAGATATTTTCATTTTCATTTCATTTCATTTCACTTCAGTTACTTAAGCGACATAATGGATTACATATATAGTATCAATTTTGCATTTACAATGCTATACTGAAAAATATCTTTGATGAAAAATGCTTATATAATGGAGATACCCGAGACCCAATAAGACTGACGAATTCTAGATTGATCAATCACAATAGTTTTCTTTTTCATCTTAATCGAAAGTATTCTTTCGACTGTTTAAGTTAATCTCTTGAACAAATATGAAAATACACTCGCTAGCAGCGAAAAGTTAAAATGCTTGAAAAATTCGTCAGTCCTGTTGGATCTCGGGTAGCCAAATGGCTAGAATAGTCGCCCGGATTGCAAAAGGCAGTGAATTCGCACCATCTCGGGTACCTGGGGATGGTAATTTTTTAAGCATTTTTCATTAAAGATATTATTTGACGTTATGTATTTTTCTGTTACGGTGACTTGCAGTGTATGTCTAATTTTATCAGTATTTATTTTCAAGTTGAATCATCAAGTTCAATCGTTAAATATATACATATTTCAGCGGAAAAAGAGCGTTGTAATATAACGGGTCTAGCCTGTCTTCATTCAAAGAAAGCTTATCTCACGACTCTCAAACCTCCTTGGCGTAAGACCCCGGGGCTGGTATGCAATTGTCTGCCTTCATGCAATGAAAATGAGATCACAGTCGTCAAGGACGTACACATTAAGTAAGTTCTGTTTTTGCAGTGAAAAAAGTATCTAGAAATTGTCAACTTTTATAAATTATGATTCAATATTACGATTGTATTAATGAGCAGATGCGGCGGCATAGCGAATAACACAAGTCAACAAAAAAAATATTTTTCTTTGAGTCTGTTATTTAGTGAATATTTTCTGATTCTATACATCGAAAAGAAAGCAGAAACTCCATTTATAATAAATAAAGTTTGCTTTTGTACCTTTACACAATGTAAATGAATATTATAGCGTTTTAGCAGTTTTTTTAGGAGCCGTTGCATATAAGATACAGGAGAGGGGTAGAGGGGGCTGTAGGTGTGAAGCGGGAGTGACAAACTGTCAACGGCAGTGTGCGCGTGCGCTTTGCAAAGGAATAACGTATTTTATGTGTCGTGAGGCCTAAAATGTCTTCCAAAAAGTGCAAAAATCCCGTGGACTCTTTTTCTTATATTTGCGGCGAATTCATTAAAGTGAGAGCCAAAAAAATTTGTTTGTCGTCAAATACAAGACTTTGTGAAGCCTATGAAGTTTATTTTAATTTACCCGTACGAAGTCAAGATAAAGTATGGGCACCTCATTTCTCATGTAGTAACTGCAAAAACACTTTAGAGGGTAAGAAAGTACATCATACTTTTCATTAAAATTTATATATATAAATATATCTATTCTGACACATACATTAAATGTGTCATTCGTTATTGAATAATGTTAATTTTTTTCCAGCCTGGTACCGAGGAGAAAAAGAAAGGATGAATTTTGCAGTACCAAGAATATGGAGGGAACCAACTGACCATATCCATGATTGCTATTTTTGTGTTGTAAATCCAAGTAAGCGTCGCGCAGGTACAAATGCCAAAAAGATTGAATACCCAAACATACCATCAACGTCATCAACATCAACTCTGCGTCAAGACTCTGAGGCCTTTCAATATTTAAAATCATTTTTCCCGAAATTGTCAGAGGCTAAAATTAATGCTGGTAATTTCATCGGTCCACAAATAAAAAAAATTATGGCCAGTGAACAATTCCTACAGCTCTTCAGTACCTACGGAAAACAAGCGTGGCTCAGCCTTAAAGCAGTGATTCATGGCTTTCTTGGCAACAGAAAGGCAGAGAATTACACGAAGCTTATTACTGATATGCTTCACACCTTCAAAGTTATGGGTTGCAGAATGTCTTTGAAAGTCCACATGCTCCATGCTCATTTGGATAAATTTAAAGACAACTTAGGTGCATATTCAGAAGAGCAAGGGGAACGTTTCCACCAGGATGTAATGAACTTTGAAAAACGTTATCAAGGACAATATAATGAAAACATGATGGGTGACTACATTTGGGGGCTCATACGAGAAAGTTCCAACTTACACAGAAGAAATACCAAATCTGTTCATTTTTAAAGTCTTTTTTGTATTTGTGGGTTTATTTATGCCGTCTTGTATATTTAAAGTCAATAAAAATATGTGAATTCAAAATTGTTTTCCTTTTACATATAAATGAAATGAAAAAATAGAGCTTTTTCATAAAAATTAAAATTTCGTTTTAGTAACTACAAAAGCAAACTTTATTAGATAAAAGTATTTTTTCTTTAATTAGTTAGGCATAAGTAATCAAAATCAGAGGTACAGAACTCAGACTCAAAATTCGTGTTGACCTGTGTAATTAGCTGAAACTATTCGGTGCTTTCGAAGACACATGAAGCTGTTGGTCCCAGCTGCGCTTGCGGTTGTTAATACCTTCCAATCCGCATTAGGCCAGTGTATAGCCCATTTTACTTAACCATAAGGAATGCCTGAGCCCTTGCTATGGAGACATAAAGTATAAGATCATCTTTGATTTAATATCGTGTATTGCACATGTTTTAAGGAACAACAAGGGTATATCTGCCGTGGAGTTAGTGCTAGCTTATCTGCCCACAGAAAGATTTAAAAGAAATGTTGTCAGGAGTCGACTTGATTTAGTCGGTAAGACAATTGTTTATAAGCAAACGGTAGTCGGATTCGTGTAACAAGCAATCTATAAAAAACCATATGTGTTTTATGTGAGGCCCCTTAAATATTTATTTTATTCTGGTTTTTATAATTGTTGTTATTGTGGCGAGAGAACTATATTATCTGTGAAAATTTTAACTGTCAGCTATCACGGTTCTTTATCTACATACACCCTGGTGACAGCCCGACAGACAGCGGACTCTTAGTAATAGGGTCCCAGTTTTACGCTTTGTGTACGGAATCCTAAAAATGTTTACTATTACTTCACTCAATTAATGATACTGCCTGATCTTAATTGCATCTTAATTATGTTTAAGAAATTACAATTGTGAATAGGAAATCATTATTTGGTGGTGATAATAAAATCTAACTTATCATTTCGTACTAACATTTGCCTCAAAAGTTTGTTTTTTCGTATTATTATTACAGTTTTAATAAAAATACTATGGTTTGTTTAGGCAGTTAAAACTGGTCCGATCATGAAAATTTTTTACTTATGAGAAGCTACCACATTATATAGGGCTTCTACACTATTGCCCATGACGGGCGGTTATTGAGTGCCACCATGATTATAACTATCATTGCGCCACTGTCCACACTTGTTATTTGCCATCTGAACTATATGGACGTCGAAACAAGAACAAGAACAACAAATTGTCCTTGTGAAGCGTCCTTTTGGTATAATTCTATACACATTTTATTATAGATATTGATATTTCTTATATTTACACGCGCACTATCCATTAATGAAACAACTTTGAACGGTTTCATCGCGTTTGTATTTAGTTTTATTAACGTTATGTGAACACGGAACCTGTAAAGGGTCAAAAACTTTGACAAATGAAACCGTTTAAAAGTTGTTTCATCTAGTTCACTTCTTCGGCCACGACATTTTAGCATCGATTATAGGCAATACAGCACGCGTGTCGTAAAAAAATACGAACTGAGTTATCGGCGACTATGTGGACCCGTGCACGATCATGACCAAACATCCTTTGATGATTGTCCCAAAAACCGACACAATAGCGACTATGCACTATTATGGCCTCTCGTGGGCCATTATAGGCGATCATGCCATCTACACTATGTGGCCTGTGATCGCCTGTCATGGGCCATAGTGTGGAGCCGATGATATTCGGATGACATACATTAACATACGGATGACATATTTTAATTATAACAGCTATAAGGTTAGTAAAATGTGTTATGATAATATTTTTTTTTATTATTTCAGTATACGTGGGTGGAACCGCAGGCTTGTTCGTCGGTGCCAGTATATTAAGCTTCGTAGAATTCATATTTTTCTTTACTATTCGTTTGGGTAGCAATTTCCTGATGGATTGGCAAAAACGTAAATCTAAGCAGAGTATTCTAGTCAAGCCTAAAACAGAGGATATAGGAAAATCTTTAAATGTGAGCTGTACCTTAGATCCGCAACAAGCTCCCTATCAGAATAGTGGGATTGGCCCATCAATAATATTTTATAATAAATTCCACGAAACTGCATACTTACATAAATTGGGAAAAATATATACAAAATAATCTAAACTAATCTTATAAAGAAATAAAATAAAATACAAATCCGATTATGAAAAATCTTTCACCTACGGGAAGTTATATAATACGCGGGAAAGTCGAGGGAAAAACTAATTAAATCGAAAATTTACCCACCTAATCAGCGCGCATACAATGACTTGCAGGAAATTTGAAACTGTTCCAATTGCATCAAACTAATAGAAAATTTCTGACACAAGTCTTTATCTATCTATCTATCTAAACTAATGGAGTGAAATATCAACATTCACAGTATTAAATAAACACTACATTATTAATTATTACTAATTTATTTTTACATTTAATGATGGATATATTGCCATTTGTAACATATTTAATATGAGTCTATTTTGTGTGTAGGTATCCAGCTTAATACACAGCTTCTATGATGAGTAATATCGTGTAGTTTTCTCATTCCATTTTATTTGTTCTCATCTCGTGTGTCACAAAAGAGGAAACTTATTAGACATTAAAGGCGAATTAAATGACCATAGCATGTAGCACAGCCATCCAGTAAGTTCTGGAAGTGGCCCAGTTTCTTCGACAGGAAGTCGCCCGTTAGGACTGATGCAAAGTCTCGATACCTATTTGTGACAACTAAACATCATTGTGTGATTTTTATTACTGTCTTAATTAAATTTATATGCACAACAAAATATTATTTTTTAATTATCTTACCTGCGGTTATCGAGTGTAGATCCCGAAGAAAAACTAGAGGTGTGCTGGTAGATTTTAAAAAAATAGGCACATAAATATATATTAAATAAGAAACGCCAGGTTTACACATTAATTATAATTAATATTCATCAACGATAGCCGTCAATAATCTCAATATCTTTTTATTTTCTAATTTGATTTTGTTGCCCTCATAGTACGAGTATATACCCTATTCCTTAGTCTACGGAATTCCGTAAACATTTATTTTTTTACCGACTTCAATAAAAGGAGGTTAAGGAATTATATATTTACCAAAAAACTAACACCTTATCCTGATCCCCTGATCCTATTTACGTCAGTATTTTTTGTTCATACCTTTACCTAAAACATATACCTACCTACTCTCTTGTAATCTAGTAATGTAAAATTTGGCGTTAGTCTATAAACTTACAATATTTTCATGATATTTGGTCGATTTTAGAGCTACAAATGTCATTAACAATTACATAAAACTTTTTTTTGAGTGTGGCTGTGTAACATTTAGAGGCATAAGGTGTTTATTCTTTATCAATAACATATTTTACTTCCTAAAGAATTTTAATCGATTATGTCCAATATTCAATCAATGTTACTACGGCAAAATTTTATTGTTCATCGAAAACCTATCTGCTAATAAGCAATGAGTGCTTAATATCAATGGAATTGTGTTTTACTTTTCAAAAGAATAAAGCAAATAAAATCTCAAATTAGTAATTAAATCATTTATTTATGAATTTCCGCTTATCGTCTATTCTGTAATAAAAATCAGCCTACTCGACATCTTGCAAAATCGTGTTGCTTCAGCATTCAGCTTCAATAAAATAAAACCTTCATTTTCTTTTCGAAAAGGTTTTATCGGATATAACTCTATGCTTATTTAACGCTACTTTTATTACAGAATAGCACCACTGATCTAAATAAAAAAAAAACAGTTCTATATTATATAAGTACTTAATATAACAATTACATAACTTTATTTTATATAAATTACAATTATTCAATTATTGCTCATTCGTGTGAAACCTGAACGTATATTAAATATAACATATTAATATTTTAGGTAGGACAAGCGACCCGGTTGTGGCCATTTTTAAATTTCTCTACATAGGTAAAATATAGAGAAAAAATATTGAATTGATAGTATTGTTAAATATATTATAGAAAAAAAATAGAATACGTATGAAATAATTAGAAACACTTCCCATAGGGTGTCAACAATATTTAGACAAAATACTAAATATTAAAATGGTTTAAGAATTCATACAATGGTTTCCCATAACTTGAATAATAGTTATATATCGAAATTCAATTTAAACTTCCATTATTTATTTTATTTTATTTATTTATTTATTCTTTATGCACAATCGTACAAAGGCGGACTTAATGCCTTAGGCATTCTCTGCCAGTCAACCTTTAGGTGATGTGGAGATTAAAATAAAGGATAAAAGTAGGTGCATATGTAATCTTTGAGAGAAAAAAAAATAATATAAAATAAGCATAACACAAACATACATACTATATATAACATAATAATATATAACATAATACATATATAATATAATAAAAATAAATACAATACATACTTATAAATACTATGCCTAGTAGAAATGAGATAGCAATTTTTATGATTCTGCCTGATCTAATATTAAATTGCGCAACTTGGATTTAAAAGCAAACCGACTGGCGGACATTCTGATGTCTGTGGGGAGTGCATTCCATAGGATAATGGCTTTAACAAAAAAGGAAGAGTGGATGATGTCAGAGTGATGAGCAGGACACATAAGTAGTCTATTAGAAGAAGATCGAAGGTCTTTTGTATGACTCGTACATAAGTACTGAAAGTGTGGAGTGAGGTAGCTTGGAGCGTTAGGTGATTGCAACAAAGAAAACAGGGTTGTTAGAGCACGGACATCTCTACGCTTTCGAATAGGCATCCATTTCAAAAGGGAGCGATGGGCAGACACGTGGTCGTATTTACGGAGATTGAAAACGAATCGAATGCAGTTGTTTAAAACACGGTCAAGTTTATTGAGTAGATCTGCATTCAGGTCGAGGTAACACACATCACCATAGTCGATTATGGGGAAAATTAAAGTCTGCACAAGCATTGCCTTGGTTTTGCTAGGTAGAAAGTTTTTCAAGCGATACAGCGCACGCAACGTTCCAGTAACTTTTTGACAAATTGTAGTCGTTTGAGTCTGCCAGTTCAAATTAACATCAATGTGAAGTCCCAGGTCTTTAACACTATCGCTAAACGGTATTGAGGAGCCGTCATACAGGATAGAATGGAGATTAGTGCTGTCGATCCTACTCATCATCACGCGGCTGCCCACAAGTATAGCCTGACATTTCGCCGGGTTTACATGAATGCCAAAATTTTTAGACCATACGAGTATTGTGTTAAGATCCCTATTTAGTGCATCAATAGAATTGTTCAACCTATCGACGTTTTCCTGAGCATATAACTGTAAATCGTCAGCATACAGATGATACGAGCACTGAAGTTTAGACGTAATGAAGTTAATGAAAATTGAAAAGAGAAGAGGAGAAAGAATGCCGCCTTGGGGAACGCCAGCAGCGAGCCCACTCCAGGATGAGGAGGATTCACCCAACCGGACAGACTGCTGACGGTCCCGAAGATATGAGGAGAACCACTTTAACTCATCGTCAGAAACCATGAGATATTCCAGCATAGCAAGAAGGATGTCATGATTTACCGTGTTGAAGGCATTGGAAAAATCGATAAGTACAAGACATGTTATTCTTCCACTCTCCATTCCCACTCTAATGTCACCGGTAACCTTAAGGAGTGCTGTCACTGTACTGTGTCCTGGTCGAAAACCAGATTGTAATGGGTTTAATAAAGAATTCTGGAAAACATATTGAGAAAACTCCTTATGTACGCAGGCCTCCAGGACTTTGGACAAGAAGGGAAGGATAGAGATGGGTCGAAATTGATTGGCATGTGTTGGATTGGGAACTTTCGGGAGAGGTCGGACATAGGCCTTACACCACAATTTAGGGAAAGTGCAGGAGTCCAGAGAGAAGTTAACAATGTGACATATAGCAGGAAGAAGATGATCTAGAATGGTGACAATCATACGGCGACTTATTCCATCGCAGCCCACTGCATTTGACTTAATAGAAAGTATAATCTTTCTGACTTCTGACGTTGAGACTGGTGAAAAACAAAATGGAGCAATATTGCGACGCGTTAGACCATTTATAGAAGCAACTGTACTTGCAGCAGTAAAGTCATCTAATTTTGAAGAAGTGGAAAAGTGACGATTAAGCTCGTTTAATTCTACAGAAACTGGAAGGTCCATATTTCGCGATTTACCGATACCCAGAGTTCCTAGAAACTTCCAAATATCAGCAGAAGATGAAGAAGAAATATTATTGAGAATATGGCGACGTTTTGCATTACGTATCATCAATCAAGCGATTTCTAGCGAATTTAAAAGCAGTCCATTTCTCTTCAGCTCGATCCTTTTTATAATTACGAAAAGCCCGATCCCTGCGTCGCATCGCCATCCGAATACCATTTGTCATCCAAGGTGCCGGCAATCGTTTTAACCTGATTTTCCTTATTGGCGCATGGACATCGTAGAGCCCTATAACTGTTTTGTTAAAAAACTGAATCATTGAGTCAACATAAGGGGCCTGGATCAATGGGTCCCAACAAATATCTGAGGCATCATTTTGTAGTCTATTTATATCCATGCGCGTGAAGGATCGCCTGTGCAGAAACTTAGGAGGGGGTTTTGGGGGCTTAATGAGGTAGGAAAGGAAAATGAGATCGTGGCGAGAAAAACCAGGCGCAACGTGTTGGCCATGTGAAAGGACTAGGGAAGGGTTAGAGGTGAAAATCAAGTCCAGCCATGAGTCCTCGCCACCAACATTATGGTGAGTTGCTTGAAGAGGAAGAAGATGTAAGTTGGCCGACTTAATGATATGGAAAAGGTTACGGGATCGATAGGAATGAGGTGAAAGAAGATTCGTATTAAAATCGCCCATGATAACGTGATGCGCACACTCAGAACCCAAAGATTCTAGAACTAACTCAATTTCGGAGAAATAGTTGACTGAAGGTGGACAATAAACTACCCCAAGGATAAGTTGACGACGACCTGTACCAACTTCCACGAAAAGAAATTCAGCACAGGAATCAGAACCAGAGCAAGCAATAATTTTGTAGGGAAAGTTATTACAAAGATAGATTGCAACACCACCCCCCCTTCCACCACTGCGATCATTACGAATGAGAGTAAAATTGGGGAGGTGGTGGATAACAGATGTGGTTTGAACCAAGTTTCCGAAACCAGAACAGCGTGCACATTACGCCCTGTGATGAAATAAATAATTTCTTTTTGACTTGATCTCAACCATGCAACAGTATTTGAATATCAATTGCAAATCTGTAAAGGTTAAATTTAACGAAAATTACCTACAAAATTCATTATATTATTTTACAAAATTCATTCTAATAGATTATTTAATGTCTTGTCAATACCATTGATTTTCAGTATACTATTAATAAATTAACCTCAACATCACTATATGAATTCCAACTAATCGACCTTTGATATTTTTTTCTAAGGCGGGCTATCACTATACTCTACATTTAACTTTACATTTTCAAAAGTTCAAAATAAAAAGCTTACTATTGAAAAAAAAACATATATTTATAATCTTTGAAA